GGGCTGTCCACTCTCTCCATTCTTGTTCAACTTTGTGGTCGACGTACTTTTAGAAATGACACTTTCCTCGTCTAGATTTCCAGGGGTTGAACATCTACCGGGAGGTTCACTTGTTGACTTGGAATATGCTGATGACATAGTTTTATTTGGTGAAGACGTTGACAAAATTCAGAGTCTTCTGACCACTCTAAGCAACAATGCAAGCATGTTCGGGATGCGATTCTCTCCCTCGAAATGCAAAATGTTGCTTCAGGATTGGGTTGCATTGACACCAGAACTAGTGATAGGGAGTGAAGTAATTGAGCGTGTCGATCGCTTCACTTATCTTGGAAGTCTCATCAGCTCTTGTGGTGTGGTGTGTGACGAAATCTCAGCACGGATACAGAAGGCTCGACTAGCTTTTGCCAACTTGCGTCATTTATGGCGTAGGCGAGATATCCGTCTATCAACCAAAGGACGTGTTTAATTTGCAGCAGTTCGTTCCGTCCTACTTTATCGCTGTGAAACATGGCCGGTAAGAGTAGAGAATATCCGTAGGTTACTAGTATTTGATCATAGGTGACTTCGAAGCATTGCTCATATATCTTGGGACCATCGAGTAAGTAACGCAGGTGTTAGGAAACGGATACTAGGTAAATATGGCAAATCAATTGATGAAGTAGTGAAAATTCATCAGTTGAGATGGCTGGGATGCGTCTTGCGTATGCACAACCACCGACTGCCTCGACGTGCGGTGTTCAGTGTTATAGGAGTAGATTTGAAGAAAGCTAGGGGCGGCCAGACCAAAACATGGTACAAATCCATGAAGTCACTGACAACTGGACTGAGCCATTTTGGTAGGTGTAGACTACCTGGTTGGGGACCGCGAGATGATAGCAGTCGATGGTTAGAGACCCTGAATGACATGGCTCAAAATTGTTTGCAATGGTGTGCACAGGTGCATCCACTTTTTGTGTCCTCTCAAATTCGAATCTTCTGAATTCTTCATGTTGTTTATTTTCTTTCCAAATTTATTTCACTGGATTATACTCTTTGAATAACATCTTGAAACCCTAATGTTTCCGATTACTGATAATACTACATAATTTGAGTCGACAACCGCATCTCTGTGCTAATGTGGTGTGGCAACTCGAACTGATGTACGTACGTACGAATCTCTACGTTGTTACTGACTGACTGACTGATATGTGTTAATAATAATTAACAGAAGGCTTGAGTAAATTAACAAGGATAATAATAACAATTTCTTACTTACTTAATTACGCCTGTTACTCCTAATGGAGCATAGGCCACCAACCAGCATTCTTCATCCTACTCTGTCCTGCGTCTTCCTTGCTAGTTCTATCTGATTCTTGTCCATTCTTCTCATATCTGTCTCCATTTCTCAGCGTAATGTGTTCTTTGGTCTTTCTCTTCTCCCCTGGCCTTGAGGATTCCAAGTGAGGACTAGCCTTGTGACGCGGTTGTGTGCTTTCCTCAATGTGTGTCTTATCCACTTCCAGCGTTTCTTCCTCCTCTACAATCTAATTTGTTCTCCCCTACAGTATGTTGTTGCTGATAATGTCTGGCCAACGGATCCGAAGTATTTCGCTTGGGGCCTCTCTGGGGCTACTTCCGGTCGCAAGTCCGTACAAAAAAGGAGGGTGAGAATATGGTTAGCGACCTCATCCCGTTGAAGACTAACTCGCTAAAAAGCACTTACCAGAAAATAGTTGAATAACAATTCTATGCAGTATAAAATAGGTAGTCGCTTAAGGTTTTAAAGAATCAATAAACGAATTGATAATAGCTCCTAAAGAAATGATGACCATTTCAATGGAGTTGATCGCAAAGATTTTCACTTCAGGGAGATAATTTTATTGAGATTGAGTTTTTTGAGCTGGATCATTTATTAATAGGATCATAACTTACTGAATATGAGGAAGATATTCAAGATGAAAATATGGTTGTTTTATTACTGAAGCTTGTATTTTTTGATGGACTATTCAGGTCAGAGAACTTAATTTCAACAAAGTTATTCCATTTTGTATATTCTTATGCAGAACGAACTAATAATGTACTCTAATCTAAAAGATATAATCAAAATAAAAGACAATTTTAAAGTTTTGTTGTCAAGTAAATGAAAGATTAACCCTATTTTTAGGCAAACAGTCCTAGTGATTATTGAATTATCGGAAATATGAAAAAAAGATTGATACTGTTTGTGTTCTCAGTTCACAAGACATACTTGAAAACATTTACCCTAAGTTTTACATGAGCGAGTTACTGTATTATTAGTGAATGCGCACTGCTATGGAGTCCTATACTAGAATGAAACGACCATCCAGTGCTCCTAAGTCTTCAATGGTGGTGGTCTAGCATTGGTCAATTCATGATCTTAATCAAAACACAACAATCTCCACAACTTTATACTGATATTTAAGGTGTATTCAAGGAATTTAGTCCTTAGTTTTTGTACATACGAGATAAGTAAAGTCATCTTAACTAGTTAGAAAAAAAACTTACAAATGAGTTACAAAAATAACTAAGTTCTTTGAGTAAGGACGACAAATCAGCTCATAAGAAAGGGAATTTTCATCAACCAAAATGATTAGAGCATTATGTATGTCTTATAATAGCCCATCTCGGTGAGGAATATTTATTGTTGTAGGAATAAGTTGATTCAAAACTATGGAATCCCAAATCAAGACGTGTATTCAGTCTAGGAAGTTATTACATGTTGGATTTCACTCTGTTGATAGGTGAACACTACCTGGTTGGGGTCCGCTTGATTATAATAGCCAGTGTTTAGAGACTTTGGCTAAGAATCATTTACAATGGTTCAGAAGCATTCAATCTTTTTAACCCCTTTACATTTAAAACTTTTAAAGCTGTCTTATATATTTTATTCCAAGAATTCATTTTTTATGGTTCATACAATCTATGTCTAATCTTTCTACTATCACTGTAACTGTCACTATTTCTACTACTCTGAAATTTGTATTGATACAGAGGTAGAGTAGAAGACACTCGTAAGCTACTAGTATTTGACCACAGATGCCTTAGAAATATTGCTGGCGTCTGCTGTGATCACCGGGTAAGTAATATTGAAGTTAAACGCAAGGTATTAGGGAATGATGGTAAATCAGTTGATGAAGTTGTGAATCTTCATCGACTCAGATGGTTGGGTCACGTGTTACGTATGCCCGAACACCGATTACCACGACGTGCAATGCTAACCGGTGTTGGAGATGGTTGGAAGAAGGTTAGGGGCGGCCAAACCAAAATGTGACATCAGTGCTTGAAGTCACTAACTTCTAGTCTGAGCCATGTTGGTAGATGCAGACTACTTGGTTGGGGTCCGCGTGATTATCGTAACCAATGGTTGGAGACTCTTGGTGAAATGGTTCAGAATCTATCACAATGGCATCGGTGTATACACTCTCTGTCTTCTCTTAAACTAAGAGATTAAAATTGCTTCATATCTTTCTTTCTACGAACTAATTCTTTCTTCCTATACTATATGCTTATATACAATCTTCCTTTTATATATTACCACCTCTGAATTAACCACTTATATGAATCCGGTGTCCATCTTGTTGTGTTAATGAGGTATGGCAAGTTGGACCGATGTATATATGTGCCTGGTCCTACGTTGTAGCTGACCGACTGACTTGTATTGATACGTGTATTTTGTTGTACTGACGTATTGTTACAACTGAGAATGATTCACATATGTTCTAGGTTCGAAGATATTCATAACTCATTAACGGATCAAGCATAGAAAGAACAAAATATTTTACAGAATAAGCTGAATTCATCATAATTTAGAAATTATCATTAAATAACTGCTAAAATGCCTTAATTCACAACAAAATTTCGAATCATACTTTAGGCAATGAATTGAAAGTGGATCTCTAAAACTGGATAGGAACTCATCAAAAGCAAACAGACGATAGGAAATATAATATTTAAAAACATGATACGTAAGACTGATGTATCCAGTCTAGTTAAAAAAATGTTCATACAAAACGAGATTAGCGACTTATTAGTTAATAATTATAATAATCATACTATGGTTTAAGCTACTGATGTCGACAGATATAAGTAATATGTCTCATCAGCCAAGAAAAGGACGAGAACAGAAAGTGATTAATATTGAAAATGAAGGAACAATGAAGTTTGTAGTGTCGGTTATTTTACGTTAAGCCCATATACCTTGTTCTAGCTTTCAGACAAACCAATCTATTCATTCTACTTGAGCCACACTTTGATCATGTTAGTTATTCACTTGTCAACATTGACTGTTTTTATATGAGCGCATATGTGTGTGTACACTTTTTATCCCATTACTCATCATACGTCTGTAACCTATTTTTGTGTGACTACAAATATCGCTTCTCGGCTCTCTGAGCTAAGATCATGTGTAGTAATATTGATTAACGCTTGGTTAAATGGAGTTGGTTTACCCGCCATCTCCACTGCGCGCCGTTTCACTTCGCTCTATTTCATTCGCTTCATATTACAAAATATATGTATTCAATAATCCATTCTCGTTATTTGACTTATTTAATTCCTTTATTGACTAACGCGATTTAAGTCGATGATTATACAGGAGGATAGGCGACATATATATTTCGACAAAAACCATTCATATGATCTACTTGGATTCAGATCCACGGGCAACTAGAGTGGAGAACCCATCAACAAACATCGTCCGATCTAAATGACAACAATAAAAAAGGGCTCCACTAAAAGTCTAAGACAGTTAGATAGATATTTCGCAAATGAAGTATTTACTGTATGGTTCTCAGATTATACTAAGACCCTGCCTGTGTCCTCATTCACCATAGTACTACCAATCAAATAAGTGAATGTGTTTCTAATCATTTAAAGCTTATTTAGTCACATAGACACTATGAATTTCGTTTTTGTTGTAGTGAAGATTTCCATTTTGAAATTTAGTAAATTTCACTTTGTTTTGTTTTCTTTCTTTTTTTCTTTCTCTAATAAATTCACAGGATTTTGATGCACTTTTACAAGAACATCGACAACTTAGACAAGAATGTGAAACACTTCGACATGATACAAGACAAACTCAAACATTACAATCATTGGTTGATACAAAAGTAAATATTTGGGAGGAAAAATAGCGAATTTTAACACAAAACATTGTATATCAATTTAAATACGGCTTTTATCAACTTTAAGTGAAGATTATAGTATTTTTAATAGGTGAATTTATGAGATGATCTATGCTAGATTACCATTGAAAACCTGGAAACACTGTTCAATGCCGGTCCATTAGTCCAGAGGTTAAGCACTGACACACAAAATCGAAGATGTTGGGTTTCGGTCCTGTGTGCCGAATCATCAATACGCACTACTGAGTATTCCCATACCATGACAAAACGGTTGTTTAGTTCTTTCAGATTTTCAATGATGATTTAGTTTAGATCGTCTCATAAATTTAACTAATAGAGAAAACGACGAGACTAATTTATGGACGAGCCAATCAGAGGCGTTTCAGAGATTTCAAGGTTACGGCGCCAACTTCAGTGCTTAATGCTAACGTACGATCGGTTCACAGGGAATTTTGTACAAAACGTGATAATTGATCGGCTATGACAAGTAAAACAGCGGGACTATAATTTATGGACGAATCAATCAGTTATAAGATAATAGATTTAGGATTTTAACGCGAAATCCTTTTATCCATTTAGCTAAGTAGATTTCTGGAATTACAGCTGATGTCAGTTCGTGATGAAAATCCTTTATATAATTTCTAACTAAGGCAACTTACGACAATTATCGCGAACTGGATAATAAAAGCATCAGTAACACTGGCTGCAGCCAGTTACTACAATATATACGGATGTTTGCAGAGCGTACAGACTCCTACATAAGCTTAGTTATGTGCATCGTGTCATTATCCACAAGTAGCATTTTGTGCACTCAACAACCGGAGTGCATATAGACAATATTGAAACTATGTGGTCGAGGCTGAAAGAGTATTTGAGACTTTATCATGACTCCAGAGGCCGATTATTCTGTAGCCGTATGGATAATTTCCTCCACTGCATGCATTACGATTTTAGAACCTCAGAACCTCCTTCTAACCCTGATAAGTTTTTGAACCATGTATAACATACTTTTGCTCTATACTTACTGTTTGCTGATTGGCTAATATTTCTCAAGTTCACTTGAGATTCGTTCAAAGGTCGTCCATAAATTATAGTCTCGCCGAGAAAACTTCACTTTGATAGTTATTCATGGTATAGCGAGATCATTTAAGTCGTTCGTTATATAATCTAATCAAAAGTATCTTGCATCACATTTTTATATTTTAATTGCCAAAATTTGTTATAACTAATCTTAAACTTCTCATCTTAAATTTTCTTTAATGAATTGTTATAATTTGTGATTTATCGATCGGACCAAGGACGCGTAAAACACGTGCGAGCAACCTAGAGTCCTGATTGGTCCTGCTTTCCGCCTAACCCAGACAGTTAAGTCCAGAACGCCAATCTCAGCCTCTGCGATATGAATCATGTATTTCAATCATACTGAGTTTATGTATCAATCAAATAGACCACAACGTACCAATAAAATATGAAACAACAAGAATTAGCCAGATGTTGCTGTGAATGAGGGAGGTAGTAATCAATATACTGGGTATAACTCAAGAATGGTAAAACGTATAATAATAGTTTATGGGTCAAAATAAAGCTTATAATAAGAGGAATATGAATATACATAGTTTAGTTACTTAATCATTATAAAACAGTATTGGCCCATCAATAGATCCCAAAAGTTACCATTCATTATTCTTGTCGGGACATAACATGAATTATTTAACTTTATGCAAAACATAACATTAAATAAGAACTTTCATCTTAATTTGATTGAATAGTTTCATAGTAATCGAACGCCGAGTTGATATGAGACATTAAAGAGGAAGAATATTGTATTTGTGCAAAATCTCATCGAATTAATTTGAATTCAATCCGATATTTTGCCTATTAATCTGAGATTTTACAAATACATTCCTTCTCTTTAATGTCTAACATTAAATATCTGAATTTTCTATAAGGTATTTACTGATGAACTAATTTTTTTTTACATGTTAACTTTCCTTCCTATCTAAGATTACATTTCGAAAAAAAAAACAGTGAATGAATTAATGTCATATACAAAAATATACTACTGAAATCATTTGACACTTGCACGCGAGATTTATAGGTCTTGGTTTCGAATCTCGCGGGGTGGTGGGATCGTGGATGCGCACTAATGAGGAGTCCCATACTAGGACAAAACGGCCATCCAGTGCTTCTAGGTTTTCCATGATGGTCTAACTTCAATCGGCTCATAATTTCAATTAGTGAAATTACTAAAATCTCCACAAAAACCCCTTCTAATGCCGAATCATTCTAATCAATATTATAATGATAAGATAAATGCACCAATCAGAGAAAGGATAAATAATAATAATTTGATTGGATGAAATAAGTTTTAAGTAGGCAAGGTAACAGACAATTAAGATAAATATGATACAACTGTTTTATTACATGATTAAAATGTATAGAAAGTAATAGACAGTTGCTATGACAATTATACTTATTCTTCTAAATGATTAATTCATTTTAAAATGAGTTGATCGTTTGATTTATAAATCTAACTAATATTTAGTATGGATAGTTAATTATATTGAATTTAATCAGTGCTTGTCAGTCAGTCAGCTACAACGTAGAACCAGGCACATATGTGATCTGTACTTCTAAAATGTCTATATTCTAAATGGGTACAACAGACATAACCGGAAGTTGAATTAAACATTTCAATTTGCCTCATCAACCGTGGATGTTTGTTTTATATGATTTCCTGTAATAAAACAAAAGTAGTAACTTAGATAAATTTCACATTAAATACATAAATCAGCGGTGTGACTATAATTTATGGAAGACCTTTGAGCGACGCCAGACTGACCTTGATGGTGTCCACCTAATAACTAGGACCAAATGAGGGTTATAAACCTGTGTAAGGAATTATAATCATAATTTCCAGTTGTTGATTAAGGTGAGAAATTAGATTTAGGGTTTTCATCAGGAACTGACATCAGTTATAATGCCAACATCATATTTATTCGAATGAATGGGTGAATTTCGCACAAAAACCCGAGACCTGTTATCTTTTACCTGATTGGTTTGTCCATAAATTAGTCTTGCCAAATCAACTTTTTGAAAGTTATCAGTACCATTCTGTGGTTTTGGATGGCTGATCAAATTTAGTCATTTAAAGTATCATTTGATATTTTAGGGAACTCTTGCCTAATCTAAAATTTAAAGCCTTTCCTTTTACAAAAATTTTGAATTAGTAGTATTTATTACAATCGAAATCAAAGAGATGTAGTTGGCAAGGAATGAATGAGATTAAGATAATTAAAAGGTATGGAAGAACATTTTAATATAATCGACAAAACTTAGGAAATGGTTAAGAGAGCATTTTATATGCATATTGGAATCTCCTCAGATAACAATTAATTGCTAACTAGTTACACTGTTAACATAATTGACATTAATAGTGTGTCCAACGTATTTACCCCAGTCATCAAACTGGGAACTGATACCGAACAGGAGTCTATAAGAAAATTCAATTGGTCAGTATTCACACCAAAATGCACCATATTATTCACATACTTCTCAACAACATAAGGGTTTTAATATAGAAGACTGATCTCTGAATAGTCGGATGACGCAAGAATTATATTATCTAAGAGCATACAAATTACAAGAACAAATGAAAATAATGAGAGTAAACAAGTATGAAAAACATCACTCTATTTTCAACTAATCAATGATAGTAAACGATACAACAATAAACGAGAGTGAATACAGCATGAGCATTCGTATGTTTTATGATTGCACATCTTATCTTCCGGGTTATTTTGAAATATATCTTGGTTTCTTCTTAACTTTGTTCTGAGTTGAGATTGGTAAAGCGAAATGTAGGTGGCTAATGAGGTTAGACTATAATTTATGAACGACTTTTGAGCGACGCTGAAGTGACCTTGAGAATGGACACCTACTGATTAGGACTAAATGAAGATTATAAACCAGTTAGAATTTTCATTTACAGTTGATAGTTAGGGTTAAAAATTAGATTTATTGTTTTCATCACGAACTGATATCAGCTATAATGCTAAATCTCTGTTTAACAAAATGTATGAGTGAATTTCGCGCCAAAATTCATGACTCGTTACCTTATATCTGATTGGTTCGTCCATAAATTATAGTCTCATCGCTAATAAAATACCAAACAAATGGGAACATAACGCAATCAGCTTATTTGATTGATAGTATGATAGTTACATATTGAATGTATTCTGAAGCGGATATAGTCATAAAAGTAGGATTTCAAATCAGTTCGTCTGTTGGATATTTATTGGTTCAGAACATTAAAGTTACAATTTACTTAGGTGATTGGTTATGACCATGTAAATTACCCATTAAAAATCTTTCAGTATTATACACAGAAAGTGATCTGACTTATGTAGAAGTTACATTTATGTCTTATGCTTATTGCAAGTTTAACTTTCCTTGTATTCCAATATCATAAATCCTCAAACTTTGTTCCAGAACGTTTTTTTGGACGATATCTATTTAATGATTGATGTATCTTCTAGTATTTTATCGTGTAGCAAATTTATTTTATTTATTTAAACACACAAAGATTGCTACAAGGAGGCACTAAACAGATCTGCACAACATAAATTATTCGATTTATCTAAGGGCTGAGATACCATCCGAGTGCCCAAACCGAAACAGGTGGTTTTCTTACAGGGCCACACATGGAGCCTTCGACCTGAAGGTCTAATCCACAAGGCAGTGAAGCAACATCAGGGGATTCAGTCCTATGATAGCCGATGACCAATCATTGGTTCATATGTCATTTATTCCTTCAAGATACTAGAGCCCATGCGAATCATTGTTTTAGAATCAGGGTTTTCCAACTCCCCTAGGTGGATCCTCCATATTCACCAACACAGTTAGAGCACCGGATATTCGCTTTTCGTCCTCTCAATATCGTAAACAACAGTAATTTCGCAAGAAGGCGATGAGTAGGACTTCCCTGGTAGTGGTTGTATGCACGTAGCCATGTGAGAGCATTTCGAGAGGGAGAGCGGACTCTCCCCACTCTCGGCCGTACCAAGGCATTTGGGAGCCAAGTTCTATCATTATTATCTTTTAACTCGTCATAAATTTAGCATCTATTTATTACTCACATCATTTTTTTCATACTAAAGGAATCGAAAATTTTAACTTTGGAAAATGAAATACGTCTTTTAGAAGATGAAATTACTCGTCTTCGAGATGATGGTCTAATTACTCCAAATACATCAACTAGCAGTGGGATTGATGATTTAGATAAAACTTTACAAGTATTTCGAAGTAACGAACGTATTCTGAAATCTAAAGTAAGTGATTAATTAAATATTTTGTAGGATAACACTATAGTCATATTGTTTATGTATAATAATATTTCTGATACTACTAACTAATTATGGGATTATGAAGACCTTTGGATCTGAGGGAAAACATGAAATACAATCGACAGCTCAGAACCAATTAGACGATTTGGACTTGATGGCAAAATTCTGGAAGATGTAGAATCCTTCACGTACCTGATCAGCTGTATCATCGATGAACAAGGAGGTTCAAATGCAGACATAAAGGCGAGGATTGGCAAAACAAGGGCCACATTCCTACAATTGAAGAACATATGGAACTCAAAACAACCGTCAACCAATATTAAAGTCACAATATTGAAAACGAACGTCAAGACAGTTCTACTGTATGGAGCTGAAACTTGAAGAACTACTATAACCATCGTCAATAAGGTGCAAGTATTTATAAATAGTTGTCTATGCAAGATACTCAACATCCATTGAGCGGATACCATCAGCAACAGACTTCTGTGGGAGAGAACAAACCAGCTTACTAGTATTGGACTCCTCAACAGTTCGCATCCACGATCCCGCCTCAAGTGATTCAAACCCAGAATCTATCAGTCTCGCACGAGAACGCTTAAACACTGAGCTGGCACCCAACGGTGTTAATGTCTAACTTCAACTAATTCATGAAATTGAGCGACACATCCACCATTGTCTTCAATAAGTAGTTACTATCTCACAACTGACCCGGTTGAATTCCACTAGTCATTGCTTTTTACTAGAACTCCAGAATATACCTCTTGAAGCTAGTCACTAGTGAGCATATGTTAATTAGTATCAGAAGGGGATTTGTGGATATGGTAGTAATTTCAATGGTTAAGATCATGAATCAATTGAATATTTTAAACCAATCTATTCGGTTCTAGTTGGTTGATTTATTTTCTATAATAATCCATTCATTTGTTTATATACAATTTGAGATTTATAAAATCTATTCTACTCTTATTTGATTATAATCCATTTGTTTATTTTTTCATATTATTTCTCTTGGCGGGGGGGGGTGATAATAATTCAATAGCTTACATAGATACAATGATATAGGAAAGAAGACGATGACAACAAGTATTGATTAGAATAGTACCATGTGACTTCTATAACTTAAACTAAAATGAATATCCAAGTAGAGAAAACAAATAACAAAAATATAATTCTCGACAGAAAAGTAGATATACTTTATGACGTACAATCTGGAAATAATCCTCTATATGGAATAAATGAAAAGAAAAAATTATTTTTTTTTAGTTGTGAAGTTATATATATATTAACACTGTTGAATACTTGCTCAATAGTAGTCTAAAGGTTAAGCATTCATGTGAAACGAACTGAAGGTTTTGGATTTGAATCCCATGTTTGGAATTGTGGAACCTACACTGCTGAGGAGTTTATAATGTAGTGTAGTGTAAACCAATAGTTTTCATGATGAATTGACTTAAACTAGATAGTTAGATCGATAAAACAGGGAACGTTAGATTTGTGTTTCATATTTGTAATAAGACATCTCAGCGGTAAAACTCACCCTTCACTTAGACATGAAGGGTTAGATTTAGCGTCGACTGATCCTATTAGAAATAAAAGTAGACTGAAATTATTTCTCCGAAAATTCTTAATAATCATGAAACATTAAGTTCAATGGCAATAGATTCGTTGCAAATTTTAAACCTTTTGAATGCATGTCAAGACGTATAAATCACTAAAACAAAAACAATAATGCGATCGATCAAAAATGGCAGTTTAATTCTTCTGAGATGTTTTTTTATTTCTTAGCTTATCTAATGATGTTAGCAATTCACTTGGTATTCTTTTGCTTGAATCTTCCAATTAAGGTTTTAAAACTACAATTGATCAGTATCTTATTAGCATACGTGCATAGTGTGCGTATTGCCTCGATATTGCCTTAATTCACAAAGATGGATAGTGGCTAGTAGTGGGATCAAGGAAGCGCGTTTCTTCCCATTTCGGACTCGTCAGCTAGATGTACCTGCATTTCAGAGTTGATGTTCAATCAGTACCGTTCGCTTCAAACGCCATTGCGTTATCCACTCAGATGAAACGTACATCCTGCATTCCACTGATTCGAGTGCATATATACATCGGGAAGAGAATGACTTATCGAGCGATATTTAAGTGATTAACATCTAGGATAAAGAGAGATGCGTTGGTAGGTTGTTACATCTGATTAAGCATACACATTTATACAGACATGATAGTAACCATAACAGTACAAAGAATAGATTAATTGTTACTATTCGAATAACATTATCCATTAAATAAGTTAATAAAAGAACTCGACAAAATTAATTATAAGCAACATTGATTGTAGGTGAGTTGCTATAATTCAATCTATACAGTTTCATACTAGGATGAATGAACTTTTTACTTTGTTCTGGTTTCCAATGCTTTTGTGATACTAACCATAAAAAGGTTATTAAATAATTAATTAAAGGAAATATTTATTCGTGGATTGGTTAAAATTAAGCGTTAATAGCTCTGGATACCGGCTCATTGGTCTAGAGGTTAATTGTTAGCGAGCGAGACCGAAGGTTTTAGGTTCGAATCCCGCGAAAAGGATCGTGGATGCATGCTACTGAGGGGTTACGTACTGAGACAGAATGGCCTCCTGGTGACCACAGGTTTCTCATGATAGTCTAGCTTCAATTGATCCATGAATTCAACTGAGAAATATTTACCATATCTTCATATCTAACAAGATTTTCAATATTCTTTCTAATATAACAGTAAACGTTTTGTCAAAAATAACTTTCAGATTGAAATGTTAAATAGTGAAATTTCAAAACGTGAATGTGAATTATACACATTACAATCACGTTTAGAAATGACTGATAAACAACATCAAGATCAAAATCATCATATTAATGTATTAAAAGAACAAGTGAATACACGTGAACATAAAATCTCCATGTTAACAGCTGATGTAAGTATTCTTTTTTTTGTATGCGTGATTTTATATTGATGTACATGAAGTGTTTTGATAAATACTATAGAAATTTAGTTATAGTGGTCTAGAGGTTAATTGTTCGCTTGCAAGGCAGAAGGTCTTGGATCCAAGTCCTACGTGCCGGATCGTGGATGTGAATTGCTAAAGAGTCCTAAACTAGGAAGAAACAGTTGCCCAGTACTTCAAGGTTTTTAATGGTGATCGATTTATGATCTATGTATGATAAGTCTTGCGGATTGAACGCTATATTCGTCGCCTAGGCTATTCTGTAGCCCCCAAGCTAGAACTATAAAGCAATCTGAACACGAGAGAAAAGACTCAAAGTATGCGAGAAGTAGTTTACTCCGAGGTTCATTTTAGTACAGAAAATACAGGATTTTATAATATTTTAAGTGTTCTTGGTTTGCTAGAAGATTCTGGAATGCTACTAAACATAGTAGCAGTGTAGCAACCAGCCAATCAGAACCTCTACATGTGACGTTTCGCTTCTTTGATATTTTTGGCAAAATCTTCAAGTGAACGCTGATTGGACGAAACGCATTTTAGTGATTCCTGATGCTTGCTTGTCTTTTGCAAGCAATTTTCTGGATCACTCCGACAATATAAACTAAGAATAGTAAGTTGTTAGCATTGAACATAAAATCAGCGTTAACAGTTAAGGATTAAGTTAGATATTCTTTTTGACTGACTGACTCATTCATACGCTTACTCATTTACTTATTTATATCTACTTTTCCCTTTTACTCTTTTTTTCTTTTCTTCTCTCCATCCTGCTTTACTTTTACGTATTTACTCATTTATTTACATACCTGCTCACTCATGCTTACTTACTTACATCTGTTACTCCTGATGGAAAATAGACCGCCAACCAGCATTCTTCAACCCACTCTATCCTGGGGCTTCTTTTCCAGTTATATCCAATTATTGTTCATTCTTTTCATATCTGTTTCCATCTCTCGGTGTATTGTGTTCTTTGCTCTCCCTTTCGTCCTTTAATCTTGAGGATTGTAAGTAAGGGCTTGTCTTGTGACGCAATTGGGTGGTCCATTCATACATATATAGGTGAAATATACTATCGATGAAAAGTGTTTGATTGTAATGCATAAAACTATTTGTATGTATATGCAATTTCAATTTTAGATAAATTGTGTTATCTTTTTTGAAATTATTATGAGAAGGGGTTTTGTGGAGAATTTATAAATTTCACTAGTTGAAATCATAAGTTAATTGAAGCTAGACCATCATGGAAAACCTGGAAGCACTAAACAGCTGTTTCGTCCTAGTATGGGACTCCTCATTAGTGCGCATCCACGATCCCCCCCGCGAGATTCGAACCCAGGACTTATCAGTCTCGCGCGCGAGCGCCTAACCATTAGACCACTGAGCTGATCGGCATCCAACGGTGTTAATGTTTAACTTCAATTTGGTCTAGCTTCAACTGACCCATGATTTCAACTAGTGAATTTTCTTTTGAAATTAATAATAATAATAATGATCATTTAAAATAGGCAGAAGATTTTCGTAAAAGAATTAAAGAGAAAGAAAATCTTTTAGAAAAGAAATCAAAAGCATTGAATAGTGCACAATCAGCTAAACGACAAATTGAACAAGAATTAACTGAACTTAAAGATCAAATGGATATAAAAGATAGAAAAATATCCTTATTACAGAAAAAGGTAAGAAAATGAATTAAATTGAATTGTATTATTCCAGCGTTTAATGTAGATTTATATATAAACAATTATATATGATTAATTTATTATAATCAGAGAGGGGTTTTGTGGATATTATGGAAGGTTTAACAGTTGAGATCATGAGTCAATTAAAGCTAGATCACCGCGGAAAACCTGGAAGCACTGGACGGCCATTTCGTCCTATTGTGGGACTCTTAAGCAGTGCATATCCACGGCACCATCTCGAGTGATTCGAACCAATGACCTATCAGTCTCATGCGTGATCGCTTAACCTCTAAACCACTAAGCTCCCCTTGGCCTTAGTTGATTGTGGTGCCAGATTTCTTGGTTCACCTTGACATCATACATGATGTCCCTATGTTTCTTTGTGATTTTACTCTCTACCCATCTATCACATCCGTGTCTATAGTCCCGCGCATACACTTTCGCACCAACTTTGCAGGGAATTCTAGTATTCTTCATCTGGGGTCTTTGCTGGGCCTCTCGCTTGGGCGTCATCACACTATGAACTGTCCGTAGCTTTCGCTGCATAAGGATCGCAGCAGGGGATTTGAAGTTTGCCAAGAAGTCGTGCGGGGTCGTCCGGTACACAACTAGAAATCACTCTAAGATATCTTCTATGGTCCCCTCCCCTCGTGCTTTAAGCATGGCTCGTTTAAATATACCAACGAATCTTTCAGCTTGTCCATTAGATTGCGGGTGATATGGCGGAGAACGGACATGGTTGATCGAGTTTTACAGGAAAAATTCTCGGAATTGGCTAGATGTGAACTGTGAACCATTGTCTGTTACTATTGTTTCTGGAAGACCATGCTGAGCGAAGATCTGATTAAGGAGTTTGATGGTCCGAGTTGTAAAGGATGGCGCAATTGGCAATATCTCTGGCCATTTGGAGTAGGAGTCAACTAGTATCAGATATGTGGTACCCTCTAGCGGCCCGGTAAAGTCAATATGCACTCGCGACCAGGGTTTTTCCGACTTTGGCCACGGTACTGGAGACAAATTAGAAGGAATTTTGCAGCTGTTTGACAATGTGAACATCTTTTGACAAAGTCGATAATCTGCTTATCCATGTTCGGCCAATATGCATAGGTGCGAGCGATGGATTTCACACGGTTTATCCCTGGGTGTCCAGAGTAAAATTGGCGTAGGACCTTGAAACTTAGGGTTGTTGGAATTACTACGCGATCACCGAACATCAGACAATCGTTAACAACACAGAGGGCGCTGCGACGATTCGCTAGTTGTTGAATATCACAATATCGCTAATAGTGTAGCATCGGAATCCTCTTCCCTTGATATTATGGCTATGAGTGTGTCCTCATCTGTGGTAGGATGGTTACTGATAAGTCTGGACAGTGCATCTGCCTGACCGAAATCTTTGGAACGTCGATACTGGATGTCGAAGTCGTACCCTAATAACGCCAATGCCTAACGTTGAAAATGATTAGCGGAATGCGCAGGAATACCTTTCTTTGATCCAAAGATTGATAACAACGGCTTATGGTCTGTGAGCAAGGTGAAACGGCGCCCGTAAATGAATTTGTGGAATCGCCGGACAGCAAAAATTAGGGCTAACGCTTCCTTCTTGATCTGGACGTAACGTTTCTCATTAGGTGTTAGTGTTTCCGAAGCGTGCATCTCCGCTTTCTCTGAACCATCGGGAAAGACATGCGAGAGTACGGTACCCAGTTCATATGTTGAAGCGTCAGCAGCAACCACAATGGGTAGTTTCGGATTGTAGTGGGTTAGCAGTAGATTGAAACTTAGCATGGCTTTAAGTTTTGAAAAGGCTGACTCACATTGCGTTGACCAATTCCAAGTAGCATTCTTTTCTAGCAGACGATTTAATGGATATCGTACGTCATGCAGTGATGGAAGAAATGCTGAATAGTAGCTAATCATTCGCAGAAATGACCGCAGTGAGGAGGCATCAGTGGTGGCAGGCATTTTCTGGATTGCGTAAGTATCTTGAGGATCAGGGTGTCGTCCGGAAGTATTCAAGATAAACCTCAGGTATTTAACGGAACGTAAGAAGAACTGGCATTTTTCTGGGCGAAGGCGAAAATCATTGTCCTGGAGGCGTTGTAGAACTAAGTGTGTTCTGGTATGCAATTCATCAGCAGTTGAACCGACAATGAGGACATCGTCAAGGTATGTAGCAACAACAAGAAAATCTGCCAGAATAGTACCCATGATCTGCTGGAAGATCGTTGGAGCAGTTTTGATACCAAAGCGTAACCGGGTATACTGAAAAACTCCTCGGTGAGTTTTGATTGTCAATAACTCTCTCGATTCAAGAGCGACTGGAATTTGAAGGTAAGCATCTGCTAGATCCAGCTTAGCAAAGTAGGTACCACCATTTAAAATAGTAAATAAGTCATCTGAGATTGGCAGCGGATAGTGATGCGGTTGTAGAGCCGCATAGAGTTCTGTGAAAACGTCTGCATAGATGCGTATGGAACCATTGGATTTTTTACAACTACAATTGGTGTAGCCCACGATGAATAGGAAACAGGTACTTGAACACCCTCAGTTTCCAAACGTTGAATTTCAGCGTCAACCGGAGGTAGAGATGCGTATGAAACTGAACGTTTTGGGTGAAAAACTGGAGTAGCTTCTGACTGCAGTCTTAAAACAGCTTCCGTTGTGGAAGAAAGTCCGAGACCAGGCTGAAAGAGTTCAGTAAATCGTTTTTGAAGGTCTGCAGCATGCTGTTGTGTAAAGGCAGTAGTTTGTACTTGATTGCAGATAGCGCTAATGGGAAGATCAGCGAGACCAAGTTCTCCGAACCAATCTAAACCTAAAAGGTTGAGTGGAGAATTTGTGGTGTAACACGTTCCATTGATGGTTGTACCTCTAAACGAAATGCAGCAATAGAGTTCACCATGAGGGCGGAGATGACCCCCACAGGCACTGACGGCTGTCTGACAGGATGGTTTGATGGGAGGTTGGCCCAAGGTTCCCCAAGTCTTTCTCAACAGAATAGTGATATCTGACGCAGTATCCAACTGCAACCGAACTGGCTGACCATTGATTGAGAGGGTCGGAAATTTGCGTCGAGTCGCGACATGAGTGTGGAAGACTGCTGCTAAACCCCTTGATGAGATAATCGGCTTTTTGGGAAAGCGACGCTGCGTCTGTGCATTTCGACGGTTATTGGATCGGTTGGATTTGCAAAAGCCGCTTTTGTGACCAACTTTCTGACAGCGATCGCACATATGCTGTTTAAATGGACAAAACTTCACATCATGCCAGGCTCTACAGTGCCAACATGGCGATGGGGCTTCTTCTGAGCCGGTTTGGAGTGATTGGAGACAGAGACAGCTCTGGCGTTCGAAGGACTCAGGGTTGTCGATCTCGAAGATTTTTCTGGTGCTGAACAGTATGAACTTCGGAACCACCCTGGCCCCCAGATCGAACCAAAGTGGTGTCACACTGCAGATTGATGATGCGTTGGTACTCGTCTATGATCGCATTGAGTGTCAGTGTTGGGTCTTGTTCAAGGCGGTTAAGCAACCGAGTTCTGATGTCGAAGAATTTGGGTGATTGAAGGCTGCATATGAGTACTGAGGACTTGAATTTGTCTTCAGTGAGGGATCTGAACTTGAACCGTTCGCATTCACGGTTGACAACGCCGGCGTGGTTCAAGAAGTCATCGGACTCATTCATGACCAGTTTTAAGCAGCGATATCGAGTATTGAAAAGTGAATGATGATCACCAAAAAGTTTTCTAAGAGATTGAATAATGGCGTCGAAGGAACGGTTGAGTGGGTTCTGCAGTAGAATGATGTTGCAATACTTGTCCAGCTCGGATGGACCAAGTTTCCGAAGGAGAAGATGCTCCTTCCACGAATCACCTCTGTCAGTAAAGTCAACTTTGAAAAGGTCTTCATAACGCCTGAACCAAGTATGAAATGTAATATTGGCGTCAGGATCACAAAGAAATTCTGAAATGCCACTGGTAATACCATCAACTGATTGAGGGACTGTCGGTGTAATTGGGACTCATCTCTATCAGCTTCAGCTGTTGTACGAACATTTTTTCTAATTTGGCTGGATCCATAGTTGGCCACCAACTTGTTTGCTGAATCTCCGTCGCCAAATTATTGTGGACCACAGGGTGGCTACTGTAATTTCTACCGATGACCAACTTCAGATAACCCAGTACGACCCCAATACTGTTCCCCAATCTCCAAAATATCAGAACACGAACCGTAGATGGAAATTGTTTATGGGGTCAGGAGAAGAATAAGAATAGGAATAAGAATAATACTTTACAGACAAATGCATATTTATACAGTTAGGACTACCGTGAATATTGACAAGTAGGAAAATGACACCATTTCACTTTCAAGAATGGCATTAGACTTAGCAGGATAATTTTTGGGATATTTTTCTGAATATCCCAACACCTTATTAAAACTTCAATTGAATTTGATCCAATAATAAAGAACTTTCATTCGTTTTTATTGTGAAAACAATAAAAAACAATTAATTAAATTTTATTTTAAAATATTGAAAATTACTAAACAAAAATTATTTTTCAATTATTCATGACAGAAACAATGACCTTTTAGTCCTTATAGTTTGTATTCTTCAAAGTCATTAGTTAATATCCGCCTGGAGCACCCCCCTCCCTACTGACGTTTCTGCCAGTTACAAGCCCGGATAAAAAAGGAGGGTTGGGCATAGAGTTAGCGAACCCATCCTTTAGAAAACTAACTCGCTAAAAAAACATTGAACCAATCTAAGTTGTAAATGTTTATTATATTTTGGCATACATATTATCTCTATATCAAAGAAGTGGACTAAAACATGGGAGAAAAGAGGGAGAATTTTCTTTAGTTTTTGTCAGAGTAAAATTGAAATAATCACTGATGTTTTAAAAATTGATTTCTTTTCTCCTTTTCATTCAATTAACTATTTAACTGATACAAAGAATTCTATTAAGGTAAAATAGGTTCAGGGAAGAAAACTCAAGTATTGATCATTAAATTAACCATGTCATCTGAAATTAATTCATTTATTATCAGAAGGGGGTTTTGTGGAGATTGTAGTAATTTCAACAATTGAGATCATGAGTCAATTGAAGCTAAACCACCATGGTTAGGCGCTCACTCGTGAGACTGATAGGTCATGGGTTCGAATCTCGCGGTGTGGCGGGGTCGTGGATGCGCACTGCTGAAGAGTCCCACAATAGAACGAAACGGCCATCCAGTGCTTCCAAGTTTTTCCATGGTGATCTAGCTTCCATTGAATCATGATCTCAACTGTTGAAATTCATTTATTATACTTTTTAAGGGTTATGAGTTTGATTCTTTACAGGATTATGAGTGCATATTTCTAAGGTCCTTAAATCTGAGATATAACAATGGCTTGTTACAAAATATATTTCTGATGGAAATTAGCTCCAACTTGGATAAAACTCACTAGGAAATCACTTTAAGGAGCGATCGCAATATTTTATTTAGATTTAACAACAGATGAACATCAACCATGTTATATGGAAGGTGAATCACTAGATTTCCTACGATCATTTGAAGATTTTATTTTCATAATTCTTAGAACATTTCATTTTGATATACAGTTTTATTAACTCCTGTTGGGGTAATATTAGGAAGATATGACATATGTACTTTTTGATACAACAAAAAAATTCCCATGACTATACACTTACATCATTTTAAAATCATTATAAGTCTACTGATAATTATTATGAGTAGTACAAGTTATTTAAAATAAAACATTTAAAACCACAAATCTGTATCACCTTACATTGTATACTAGATTGAAAATATAGAAGATTTACTTAATGATAAAGAAACACAATTAGCAACAGCTCAAGCTCGTCTTTCACGTATTAGTACAGAACGTGTCAGTTCAGATGGTGGACGTATTGGATGGGAGGAAACATTAAAAGATAAAGATCGACAAATTGAACGGTAAGAAAATATGATAAATAACTTTATATTTCATAATAATTTTGATTTGACTTGTTTACAATTCAGAATATCACTTCATTCTACGTTGAGTATTGTTTGTTAGATTCAACTATTTAAATAAATATAAATGATATGACTAATTGAAATGAACTTTACCTTGGTTCGTTGAGATCATTTACTTTTAGAGAAAGCTATAAAAACTCAAGCGAATAATTCTATTCTATGTATTTTATCTTTCCACTTCCTTACCATCTATGTACTTACGGCTGATTATTCATTGATCTTTAATAACCATTATTTAAACAAGTTTATTTTTATTTTCAAACTATGACCTACTTCATTACTTACTTACTTACTTACGCCTGTTACTCCCGATGGAGCATAGACCACCGACCATAATTCTCCAACACACTTTGTCCTGGGCTTTCCTTTCCAGTTCTATCGAATTTTTGTTCATTTTTCTCATATCTGTCTTCATTTCTCAACGTAGTGTGTTTTTTTGGTCTTCCTCTTCTTTGGCCTTGAGGATTCCACGTAAGGGCTTACCTTGTGACACAGTTGTGTGGTTTCCTCAATATGTGTCCTATCCACTTCCAGCGCTTCTTCCTGATTTCTTTCTCCTCTGGAATCTGGCTTGTTCTCTCTCACCGTAGGTTGTTACTGATAATGTCTGACCAACGGATCCGAAGTATATTGCGTAGATAGCTGTTAATAAACACTTGTATCTTCTGGATGATGGCTTTCGTAGTTCTCCAAGTTTACGCCCCATACAGTAGAACCGTCTTGACATTTGTATTGAAAATTTTGACCATGGTGTTGGTTGACAGTTGTTTTGAGTTCCAGACGTCCTACAGTTGTAAATATGCTGCTCTTGCTTTGCCGATCTGCGCCTTCATGTCTGCATCGAATCCACCGTGTTCATCAATGATGCTGTCCAGATATGTGTTAGTTTTTACATCCTCCAAATCTTCTCCGTCAATTATGATTGGATTGTTGCATGCTGTATTGTATCGGCGAATCTTGCTTTTCCGTTTGTGTATGTTGAGACCTACTGCTGCTGAGGCTTCTGCTACACTGATCGTTTTCTTCTGCATTTGTTTATGGGTGTGCGACAGAAGGACCAGACCACCCCATCCTTTTTGCGCACCATATGAAGAGGTGAGGCCAAGGGACTGTGAGAAGGACGAATAATACCAGTAGCTAGTAAATTGTCAAACTCACGTTTAGCGAAAGCTAACTTGTGCGGTGCCAGTCGGCGTGGTGTTGCCGTGAATGGGGGTCCGCAGGTAACTATTTGGTGTACCACACGATCGGTCACCGATGAAATCTCCTCCAGTGATCTAGTTAATTTGTGGAATTTCTCGAATAAAGCGTGGAATATATCGTCACGCGAATAAAAGACGTCTAAGATTCGGTACGCATTTGTTTGAGCCTTGATGCCCATGAATTTGCTGTTCGATGAAGTATCAATTAGCTGCAGCCTACGTGAATCGACTAGCGATTCGTAGTGCTGTAGGAAATCAATACCGAGTATGGCTGTGGGAACATCGGCAATGATGAACGTCGACAGATACTTTCGTCGGTTGCCTAGGTCGACCGTGATTTGTCGTGTACCATAGGTAGGAATGACTGAGCCATTCGCATCGCGTAGTCGAACCGCCGTAGCTTGTGACTTAGTGTTACCAAGAAGTACGACAGAAACATGGGCACCAGTATCTACTAGATACCTAGCGTTCTTGCGATAGTCGTGCACATAAGATAAACGACCAACCTGGGGTGAAGAGCCGGCGGGTAAAGGCGGCCGTACTCGCCGGCCTTTGAGTTTTCCTCCTTGTATGAGCACGGGGCTCGACAACGGTGGGCACCGGACCCGAAGGAGCGGCGAAACCAGCACCAACCTCCACTCGCTTCCGAAGCCGCCTTTTGGAGTGGTTTGGAAGATGTCTTCGTTGGGCGAGTGGTTACGAATTTACGAGAGAGTGATCTGGCTCGAGGGACATAGGGTTCGGGTATGTCGCAACGGTCTCGAAAGTTAAGACGTGTATGAATACGACCGCCTCCATCACTTTGATCCGGGAAGTGACTAGCGTCCATATCCACGTTCGAACGTGACGTTTAGGCAACTATATAATTTTATCGGTTGCCAGTCCTTGCCAATATTTTGTCTGATATGAGGGCCACCTGGTCGAGCGGTGCGTTTTTGAGCAGGGCAGTGATCGTTGAATGGGTGTGTGCTGGTAACGATTTGAGCCACAATTCTTTAACAATTGCGGAATCAGCTGCCGTAGGTCTTGCAAGAGATTGCAGGCGCGTGAGGCGGTGACTCAGCTTAGGATCACCCAGAGGGTGACGCGCTAATAATGTCCCCAACCGTTCCTCCCTCGATGGGAGGAAATGTTTGAGGATCGCCTCCTTGAGACGATCATAAACGTTAGGCACATTGTGGTTGAGTATGACCTCACGGACAGCGACTATGTGATTCCCTGGTAAAGATTTCAGAGCGTAGGCATATTTTTACTGTTGACTCGTAATGCGGCTGGTCTCGAACTGAGACTCCAGTGCAGCGAACCGAACTTCCGGGTCATGGGGGATAAAAGATACAGGTCTAAAACGGATAACCTGTACATCAGAGTCTATTATAATAATACTATTCTTATCGTTATTCGTCATTTCGAGTTGTTACCAGAATATTAGATATTGAAAAATATCAATATGAAAATGTGCAACAGACGTGGATAGATAAGTAATAGACTCACCGCAATTGGCTTCTTTGGAAGATTTGGCCTCGATTGAAAAGTGTTCGTATTTTTGGTGTGGTGTCGAGTCGCGGTTGTCTATGATCACCACTACAAGAAGGTTGCGTACCAGATATCAGAAGGCGATTGAAGGTTGTAGCAAGATATATTTGTTGGCGATTTCGTGGTATCGAAAGCATCCCGAGATCGTGCCAAAAGAGTATAAGCGGAATCACTGAGCAAAAGTAAGTGCGTGCGATAAAAGTAGATCACTACACGCTATCGACTAATTGCTTTAACTAATCAATTACTCTTGAATATATTTTCATCTTAAACCACGATTGGTTATAACTTATTCTTATTCATTTGTATAGTTTAAAAGAAGCTCGTCAACGTAGTGAATCAGAAATTGTTGAAGAATTAGAAACACAAAAACGTTTAAATAATGAATTTAAAAATCGTTTAGATATTTTACAAAAAGAATTAGATGAGAAAACAACACAATTAATGGAAATACGCGATGAAACAAATGATTATAGAACATCAAGATTTAAATTAGAAACAGAAATTAATCAATTACAATCACAATTAAGTCAAAGAAATTCAGAAGTGACCACTTTACAAATGGAGAAACAATTAGTAAGTTGTGTAATGTTTTGTTTTTGATGTATCAAAATTGAAAAGCTCACTGGTCTAGTGGTTAAGCGCTCGTGTGCAAGGCTGATAGGTCCTGGGTTGGAATCTCGCGAGACGAAATCGCAGATGTGCCCTGGTGAGTAGTCCTATACCAGGACGAAATGGCCATTCAGTGTTTCCAGGTTTTTCATGGTGGTCTAACTTCAAATAACTCATGATTTCAACTATTGAAATCAATAAGTTGTTTGTTTTGTTTTTTTGGTGTTTCAAAATTGAAAACTGAGGAATTTATTTTCTTTTTCGTTTTACACTTAAATTCCATGAATGACTTATTCAAGGTTATGTCTTACGAAATGATAGGGAGTCATGTTGGTCCGAATTCAACAGACAGCATCAATGTTTTCAAGATTTAAAATAACCTTCACAGACAAGAGCCAACTAACACAAAACCTAGGTTAAGCGAAATTTCTTGTGGGTAAATCTCCAGTAATTTACCATTCATAATATACATAATATTGAGTTGGTGGAGAAGATTTGTAGCTCAGGTGGATGATTTTGGTGGTGTTTTGTTCTCTGAGCTGGATGGTTTGGTCGTGGAGCTTGGCACTCAGGTCAATCAGCAATCAACAAACATTGGAATCAATCCAATTTATCAACCAATCAGGAAAATCATGCATAAATATAGGAACAAAAATCAAACCAATGGGAGACACAACCAAAACAAAGAAGTAAACAATGATAAATTTAAGGTCAACAAGAACCAATCAACATCGAGGTGCACAGAACAAGCTGTGAAACACATATGGAGAAATTCGAACACTTCACTTCTATCTGAAGTTTGTGCTGATGATGTCGTTCAGAAGAACGATGAAAGCTGCACGACCAAACCATCCAGCTCAGAGAACAAAACACCACCAAAATATTGAGTTACTTAGAATAATAGCTACATAGGTGATAAGTCTTGCTAATTGAACGCTATATTCGGTTCTTAAGCTATTCTCGTAACCCCCAAGCTAGAACTACCCAGGAACCTGAACACGAAAGAAAAGGCGTAAAATATGCGAGAAGTACTTTACTCTAAAGGTTCGTCCTAGTACATAAAATATAGGGTTATAAAGTGTTATAGATGTCCTTGGGTTTCCCGAAAATTCTGGAATGCTACTAAACATACTAGTAGTATAGGTAATCATCCAATCAGAAACTCTACATGTGAATTTTCCCTTTGTTTATGTTTCTGGCTAAACTTCAAGTGATTCCTAATTGAATAAAATGCTTCATAGTGTTTTCCTGAGCCTTTTTTGTCTTTTGAGAGAAGTTTTCTGGATCACCCCAACAATGGGATCATGATGAACATTCTGATGACAATACTGTTATTTCAGATACTTCCCTACTCCTTTTTCCATAGTTAAATTCACAACCAATGAGATCCTGGAAGCATTGGATGCCTGTTTCGTCCTATTATGGGATTATTGATATGGAAATTTAAACAGGTGGACATTTATAACAGATCCCATATTGATTCATTGTGAATATAATATTAATGATAACAAGATCTTCTTTTTTGTTGCCACTAAGAATTCCCAATCAAGAATGTTTCATAGACAGAAAATATTTCCCATGAAATGGGAGTGATACATTCATCACAAAACCCTATAGTATTATTGATCAACTAGGATGATTGAATGAATTAGAGTTCGATTTTCAAAAGTCAAGTAAAAGATTCAGCCTATCCTAACTTTTCGCCTACTTTTATGTCATTACCAAGGTTATTATAAAAAACAATATGGTTTAGACGAATAATTAGCTTTGTGTTTGCTTAATGAATTACATTATTTCTCACTGAACTATATTAGGAATCTTACAATGATAAAATTACTTATATGAGTTCAGTTGTACAAATTTAATGATATGAGCAAAGATGGACAGTTGCTAGTAGTGGAATCCAGGACGCGTGTTTTGTCGTGTTTGGCACTCGTCACCCGGATGTACCTGCATCTGTGTTTATAAAGCTTGTGACCTAAGACAATATCGAGGCCGTCCACACAGGATGCACATATTTCAATGAGACTGATCAACTGCAGTCCTAAATAACAATGTGAAGCTACAAGTAAACAACACCACATGCATTTAAAATTAAGTGATATTTGTGTTGAAATATACTATGATTCCTAACTATTTTCAATTATATTTTAAGTGCTCCAGCCTGAAGGTTCCACATTACGGAGTCCTGTAACTTTTTGTAATTTCAAATATAAATTTCTAATTGAATGTATAATTGAAGATGGAAAGTTCTAGGATTCAGTGATTACTAGTGAAAATCAAGTGGATGATATATTCACCTTAGATAATCATCTATCTGGGTGTTCTTTTGTCAAATCATATCGCCTTTCTCACACATATTTACTTAATTTTAATGACTAACTTACGACTCTGACCTTTAATGGAGCATAGGCTGCCGACCAGCATTCTCCAACCCATTCTGTCCTGGGCTTTCCTCTCCAGTTCTATCTGATTGTTGTTCATTCTCCTCATATCTGTCTCCATTTCTCAGCATAATGTGTTCTTTGGTCTTCTTCTCGTCCTTTTGCTTTGAGGATTTCATGTGAGGACTTGCGTTGTGACGCGTTTTGTCCAAGTGAATTTAAATTCACCCCATTGCACAAGCAACTGGCCATCAGGACTCAGTAGCTAAGTGGATAACGCGACGGCGTTTGAAGCGAATGATACTGGGTTCGAGTCCCAGAGTGCACATCAGCTCTCTGAGATGCAGGTACATCCAGCTGACGGGTCCGAAATGGGACGAAACGCGCGTCCTGGATTCCACTAGTAGTCACTATCCATCATTGCTTACAAATACACAATATTGTTTTTTTTGTTTTTTGTGTCTTAGTTACAAAAACAAATAACCACTGAATCTGATATGAAATTTTTACAAAGAACAGCAGAATTAGAAGGACAATTAAATCATTATATGGAAAATTCATCTAAACTTCAAACAGAAGTAGATCGTTTATTAAGAACAATTGATACAGAAAAATTTGATAAAGAAAATCAATTAAATGAACTGAAAGAGTAAGTGATTAGTTTTAGATGAGTTTACTGTTATTCATATTACATTCTCTAATCATAAGGATTGAATTACCTACTTACTTACGTCTATTACTCCCAATTGAGCATAGACCGCCGACCAGCATTCTCCAAAACACCATGTCCTGGTCCTTCCTTTCTAGTTCTACTCAATTGTTGTTCACTCTTCTTCCTCTTCTGTTTCTCATATCTGTCTCCATTTCTCAGCGTAATGTGTTCTTTGGTGTTCCTCTTCTCCTTTAGCTTTGAGGATTTCATGTGAGGACTTGCTTTGTGACACAGTTGGGTAGTTTCCACAATGTGTGTCCTATTCACTACTCCTGGAGCCCTTTTAGGGCTACTGCCGGTCCCAATGTCGGATAAAGGAGGAGGCTTGGGGGATGGGGTTAGCGACACCATCCTGTAGAAAACTAACTCGCTAAAAGAAACGCTAACCAGAAAAAATAATTTAATGATTGAATTGCTAAGATTTTATTATCGTTCGGAGCAATAATGTCATCGTTTATATCCAGTGGAAGTTAACATTTTGATTATTCTATTCAGTTGATAAGTAGATATCATTAGCAAGTTTTAACTTGATGATTAACTTGATAATTTCAAATAAATTAAGCGTTCGGTAGATTGTTATTAATGGGAATAATATCTATCCAATATTCCGATGGGTAGAGGCATTAAAATGTCTGATGTTTCCTTACTAAATGGAAGCTATTTCTTGGAAAATACCTTTTTGTATTATTTTGATATTCCTAACAATGACTTGATGGTTAATGAAGATGGTATGCACTTCTATTGTCTACCTAATTTAAAGTCTTTCAAGTTTTAGAAGATGAGCAGGTGGCGTTTTGTGTACTGAAGATGTTCTTTGGCTTGAATCAAGATTTCACGATATGACCTTCCAAAACAGAAGGCGTTACAATCTGTTTTGAGAAGTCATCTCATGAAATCTTGACTCAAGCCAAAGAACATCTTCAGTACACAAAAAACTACCTACTAATCCTATGAAACTTGAAATTCCCCAAATTTGATCGACAACAGAATTGTATACCATCTCCAATAATCATCAAGTCATTATCAGGAATATTAAAATAATACAAAAAGACTTTTCTAACTGGAAGGAAAGGATAGTAGCTGAAGCCTTCAATATATTTATTAATCGTACAGCACTCAACAGAAAATATGGCTTTACTATTCACCAGACTTTGACCACCTATCTGAGCTATCGTGTCTGATTCTATTCACATCTAATACTATCATCATATATATAAATCCAACTCTATCCTTGTCACATTTTTTACTCATTAACATACAATTTAAATATACGAGCGTGACGGAAAACGTTTTTGTACATACTGGCTATTCGTAACTTTTATTTGTTACATATGATCTTAATTAAGGTACCACTAAAAATCAGTAAAAAACAAGACATCCATCTTCATCTGGAATTGAACTCCTCAGCATTGCTCTCTGATGACCCAGTTTAGATATAGAACCCAAGACCTTCAGGATTTTTGGAGATCTGCAAATGTTCCCTGGCGAGGGTAGTGAGCGTATACCATATAAGTTTCATATCTCGACAAAATACCTGTTTATTGCTCTCCTGTTTTCCATGGTACCTCGAATAAGATCAATCTGTGAATTATACAATCTATAAATTAAATAAGTCTGAAAGAAAATCTCTTCAACAATTACAAGTATCTGTCTTCTTTTTTCCGAATATTCCTTCATACTGATATCTAGCCAACTTTGTTCCTTATTTCATTATTACAGAGAACTTCGTGAAGCACAAAATAATTTGAATAATTTAAAACGTAGTCAACAAAATGAACGAAAAAAATCAAGTCAACAACTTGAAGAGTCAAGACAACGTGAAGAGAATGCACAATCTGATAATGAAATATTAAAGGTAAGCGTTGATTTAAGTGTTAATTGTGGTAGTTTACACTTTTACTATTTTTTTCGAATAAAATATCTGACGTTAGTTTATTGGAGGTGGCCAGTTGAAAATCTTGCTTTACTTAGATTTCATGATAGTCAACACTTATTTACTTGGTGTGTTTGTAATCTTCACTTTATTTATATTTCTGCCTAAACTTCAATTGATTGCTGATTGGATAAAATGCTTCTTAGTGTTTTCCTGAGCCTTTCTTGTTTTTTTGCGAGAAGTTTTCTGGATCACCCTAACAAGTTGATTAATTGGACAACTGTATCTAGTTGTTAAAAACGACTGAAGTATGGCTTCAGTTTCGCTCACGTAATCACTAATACTAAGTTCAATGGTGCTCATTTCATCTTAATTGAGATTACTTATTTAAACCGGTTTGAATTATTTTTTTTCTGGTTAGCGGTTTTTTTAGCGAGTTAGTTTTCTACGGGATGGAGTGGGGTCGCTAACACTATGCCAAACTCCCCCTTTTTATCTGAGCTTGGGATTGGCAGTAACCCCAGAGAGGCTTTATGTGGAGTTAATTAAGTGAGATACGGATATGAAAAATACCATACTGTATTAAAAAACATCTTATTTAAAACATTTATTCATTTGAATGATTTCAATATTCATTTGATAGACAAATAACAAAGAAATTGAAAAATCATTTATTTTAAAGGAAATAATGAATTATCATTTATCTAATATAAATCACATCATCAACTTGAAGTTAAAACGATTGGATCCTTGGAAAATTTCGTATGCCTGTTACTCCTCGTGGAAGAGCATAGGTCACACACCAGCACTCTCCATCCAAAGCTGTCGTGGGTAATCCTTTCCAGCTCTCCAGCCTGTAACTTCTCTAGAGTTACTGCCGTTCCTAAGCCCAGGTAAAGTAGGAGGGTTGGGCATGAGGTCAACAACCCCATTCTGTAGAAGAAATCATGCTAAAAATACGTCAACCAGAATCCTTTGACAACAACAAAATATACTAACCAATATAATAATTCAGATCACAATGTAGCAATATGAATAAATTTTTCGGGTAGAGAAATTCACAATTTTTTTAAACATTAGGCTTCAGTCTTAATGTTATTTCATTAAGCCAATTATCATCAGCGTTACGGGTCAATACATAATAATTTTGTTCTTGGTTGTTGGGGAAGTTAGATCCCCGGAACTCACTTGGGAAAGGACCTGATTTTGTAATTTTATTTAGAAAATTTGAAATTCTTTATTTGATTGATAATAATTTCTAATAAAAAAGGATAAATAATCAACACAATGTTGGTTTCGCTTCATTATTACTTTTCATTTGCAGGGTATTATAACAGAGAAAGATGGAAGAATTCGTGAATTAGAACAAGCTTTGCGCGAAAGTGTACGTTTAACAGCGGAACGTGAAATTTACGCTTCCGGTCGTGATGATGAAACAAGACATTTAGAGCAACAGGTATCTTGGTTTTTCATAGTTCTACAGTTTTCTGACTACTAATAATAGTAATAGTAATAATAATTCTATGATGAGACACTTTTCTATAAAGTGAAACTAACTGCAGATTAATCAAAATACGCGAAACCCTGAACAGTTGGTTAGTTTTAGTTCGCAATCTCTGTTACAATACATGTCGACCATTAGTCGAATAACTTCAGATATTGTGACGAACTTATGAGTTTTTTATGCTTTGGACCACGTCTTTAATTGACCTGAGTTGACTTCATTTTTATTCTCAGGTTAATCCTCGGAGTATAGCTATATTGTGTTCCATTCAAAAAATTCAGAAGTCAAATACAAACTAGGTAGTAATCTATTTTTGCATGTATGTTGATTCAACAGACCATATGTTTGGTAATCAGACTAGCGAAGGGAAGAGAACATGAAGAGTGTCATTTAGATATGAACATGGTTCTCACACTAATAACAAATCATGACGAAAATTCATCTTGAAGTTACAAGCCACTTAAGTATAAAAGAGTCCTGATAAAATTAGTAAATAAGGGTTCTGAAGATTGTACAGTTTGTTACTTTCAACTACACTGCTCAAATAGCACTATGATAACGTCTCAGATTGTGAAGCTAAACGATTTGTGTTCGAGTCCCACAGGGAGCATCAGTTTCCTCAAGATGGAAGCTATACCTTGTTAATAAGATTCAACTAGCAAGAAGTCTAAGTTATATAGGGTATCGTAATAACTATGTCCAATCACCAATCATATTTACAAACTACATTAAGCAGTAACAATTATGTACCCAGAATTATAATAATGAGTTGTAGCTAGTGAGCTTTAATTTCATAAAGCTTATGTTTTGCGTCACTAGTGTTAACTAATGATGCCTTTGAAATATCGCAACTTACCTGTTGTTGGAAATGTGAATAATTAGATGCTAACTCAATAGTTTAAAAGAGTAACCCGCTTGCTAAGAAACGTAATGATCCTGAGTATGATCCATGTTGTGAGAGTTAATGGAAGAGAAGTTTAGTGTTAGGGTAAGACAGTTGTTCAATCCATCTTGATTTTCAGTGGTTTTCTAGCTGAAGTCTGTCAGTATCATCGACTACAGACAATTTCAACATTAATACTCTAAAAACTGCAAAAATGCAACTGGAAAACAATAAAAATTGATGAGAGTCATGATAAAAAATTGAAAATACAAGAGAGAGTTACAGAACTGTCCAGCTAAACACATCTTTTAAATCGACAGTCGTGTTACGAAACCTAGATTGAGCTTAATCTTGTTATGAGGACATATACCAAGTAAAAAAAAAGTACTTTTCCCTTTCATTTATTTATGCGTCTAATTGTAGGTACGTGAATTACGAAGTAATCTGGAACATTTTCAACGTGAAAGAAATAATCTCTCAGCTCAGTTAGCTTCAGCACAAGAAGAATTAACTGATCGTGAAAATCAACTTAAAACTTTAGAACAAGAATGTGTAAGTTATTTGGTTAACTTCTGTAATGAATTTAATCATGTAACATTATGATTCATTCTCGTTTGTAAACAGTCTTATTCTCACTTCCTATTGTTAACATTTCGAACTGATGTGTCTAGAACTTCTATTGCATATTAACTTCTTCTATTTAAATTACCATGTAATAAGAACTGGAATAGAAACAGACCGGAAGATAGCTAGGTTTCTTTTTACCAATCAATGAAATCACTGACTTTTGATAGATTGAGACTGCTTTTTTGAATTTTGGCTAACTATCATGATTCGGAATGTTGGATAGAAGTAGCATGATTTTCATTTCTTCTTTCCCTATCTTCTCTTAAATAAAAACGGATTGATTATGATCAATCTTTGTTGATCCTGTCAACAAATATTTCTAAATTATCAAAATCTAAAAATGGTGAATATTTTAGAGAATATGAAGATATATATATCATATATTTAAACACATAAACATTGGTACGGAGGGGCACCGAATACATATGTGCTACACAAGTCACTTCATTTGTATATGCGCTGTGATACTATCCAGGTGTTTTTTTTAGGGGACCACATCTGGAGCCTTCGACCTGAAGCCCTGATCCACAAGGCAGTGAAGCAACATCAGGAGATTAAGTCCTATGGTAGCCGGTAGCCAATCATTGGTACAAATGCCATTTATTCCTTCAGGATACTGGAACCCATGTGAATCACTGGTTTGGAATCAGGGTTTCCCAACTCCCTTAGACGGACTCTCGGTGTCCACCGAGCCGGTTAAAGCGACGGACATTCGCTTTTCGTCTTCTCGACTTCGTAAGTAACAGTAATGCCTCAAGAAGGCAATTAGTAGGACTTCCCTGGTAGTGATTGTATGCAGTTGGCCACTTGAAAGCATTTCGAGAAGGAAAACTGAATCTCACCACTCTCGGCCGTACCACGGCATTTGGGAGCATTTTATCAATAAAATCTATAAAATACAATTCATCATTTAATAGATAAAACTATATTCCAATATTTATGCTTCCATTGAAACTTAAATCCGTTAGTGATCTCTTCAAATGTCATAGTCATATGGTAAAACGTAAGAATTTTCAACTTTCAAGATAAATTCTGATATTGTCTAATGAAACCAATATTAATCATTAACAACTTGCTTCTGAAAAAGTTGTTCAAAGACTTGTTATTCACAGTCATGGCACGTACGAAGCAGACTTCCTGTAAGAGTACTGATAAAAAGGAAACAAGAAACCAGTTAGCTACCAGGGCGGCACGTATGGCTTCACTAGCGACTGGTAGTGTTAAGAAACCTCATTGTTATCGTCCTGGGACAGTTGCCCTACGTGAGATTCGTCGTTGCCGAAATTCGACCTAGCTACTCATAAGATAAAAAAAGCTCACACAAAATAGTTTCTTAACATATTCAAACAATGTAGAATTAAGAAATGAAGCACAATGATGTTAATGATAATGGTAATTTACAAGATCTCAAACATTCATGCGAATACTATAGGGGATAAGACACATGTCCATATATATATATGTTAGTGGAGCTTTTCATTTTGACGTAAATTAGATCGGACGATGTTGTTGAAGTGCTCATCACTTTAATTGCCAGGGATCTGACTCCAATTGGATCGTATAAATGTTATTGAAATATACATATCGTTAAAATTATCGACTTAAATCGTGTTAGTGAATAACGGAATCAAATAAGTCAAATATGAGAATGAACGTACATTTTGTATAATCGTTTATCGGAACAGATAATCAGAGAGACGTAGCTAAGGTAGCAAAGAAGAGAGAGCAAAACGAAACGAAATGACGAGCAGTTAAGAAGGCATGTAAACCAACTCGATTTAACCAAGCGTTAATCAATATTTATCGTCACACAAAAATAAGTTACAGATATGTGATGAGTGAGATAAGAAGTGCACAAATATACGCTTATATAAAAACAGTCAGGGTTGATAAGTGAATAATTACTAAGGTCAAAATGTAGCTTAAAAGAAATAGATAGACTGGCTTGTCCGGAAGCTAGAATAAGCTATGTCCGCTCGACATAGGACTAGGCACTACAATATATTCTGAAAACAGTAACTCCAGAATTCATGTCAGTTTACAGATATGATCAGTTTGATATGATTAGTAACGGTATTGGGTTCGAGTTCCAGAGTGAACATCAACTCCGGTATACAAGTACATTCAACTGACGAGTCCTAAATAGGACGAAACGCTCGTCCTAGATTCCACTTCTAGCCACTATCCATCTTTACTGATAATGCTTGTAAAATTAAGGCAATATTGAGGCAATAAGCACAGCATACACTTGTATGACAATAAGAGACTGGTCAGTTACATTTGGTATTTACAAATTACTCTGGCTTCAGACCCCTTGTCATGTAATTCATCAAAGGCCTTTAAAGATAAATATTCACAGAAATACAAACTTTATATTTAGTTATTATGTATCTTACAGTAAATCTTTGTTCTTAATCAATAATTTAGTTCCAGAATTATTTACCTGAATTGGAAAAATTGCGACGTTCAAATCATGAAGCCAATTTACGTGTAGCAGCTATGATTAAACTGACACAAGGACGTGAGCATACTTTAACTGATCAAGATCGTGCTGCAGTATGTCTCATTTTCAATTGTCTTATTCATTTTTGATGACATATATATTTATGTAGTCTATACGTCTTATTGGTTGACAAGTGGTATTAATAATAGTGGGGTTCTACATTTTTTTGTATCAAGGATGGATTTTTGTTCTCTGAGCTGAATGGTTTGACTGCTAATTAGCAGTCAAACGCCATGATATCTCCTCACTTATATTAATGCACGTGGACAACTGCGGACACTCATTCGATTGGAAGAACGTAGAAATTTTAGACAGAGGAAATTCCAAAAACACCAGAGTATTTTTAGAAACCTGGCACTCAGGTCAATCAGCAATCAACAAGTATATTGAAATCAATCCAATTTATCAGCCAATCAGGAAAACCATTCACAAATACAGGAACAAAAATCAAACCAATAGGAGACACAACCAAAACAAAGAAGTAAACAATGACAAATTTAAGGTAAATAAGAACCAATCAACATCGAGGTGTACAGAACAAGCTGTGAAACGCATATGGAGAAATTCGAACACTTCACTTCTATCTGAAGTTTGTGCTGATGATGTCGTTCAGAAGAACGATGAAAGCTGTACGACCAAACCATCCAGCTGAGAGAACAAAAATCCATCAAAATCATCCACCTGAGCTACAAATCTTCTCCATCAACTCGAGATATTACCACACATGCCTCACAATAGACTTGAGTGACAGTACCACTGTCTTTTTTCTATCTATTTGGTTATAAATTTAAGAAAATGTTTTTGATCATCAGTGAATCTATCTTCGATGTGTTTTCTAAGTGAAGTGTATCTTTAGTGAAAGGCTACCGTACAGTGAAGTTTGTGCAACCTTGAGATTAATTAACCAATTAAAAACAACAGGAATATATTGCTACGTTAAGTTATGGTTGGAGGTAGTATGAAAAAAACCTTGAATTTAGGCTTTGTGTTATTTGGTACACTACACCATACATCCCAATATAGTACATGTAATGTTGAGTCACTTAGACTATTGGTCACATTGTAACCAGATCAAATAGAATTAGACAAGTATTAAGAAGAACATGATACACATGATATTGGTCATAACTAAGTAGTTAATCAAGTATGGATATATTGCCATATCACTTGCAGAACTTAATTATATATCAGATTTTAAAGTATCTATGCAGTTTCTTTAGTCTTTCATACTCATAATCTTTTTCGTACGAAATCATGTTCATTTAATGATTATACAAATCCTTTGTTCTTATCAATCCTAATCAATTTGAAAATGCATTTTTGTTATAGTTATGATGACTGACATTAAATATAGAAAAATATGGGTTAAAAATGAAACAAACGAAAAGACAATGAATGAGGTATATCCTGGAGTTCTAGTGGGGAGTAGTGACCAGTAGAGTCCAACTGGGTTTGTTGTGAGATAGTAACTCACTGATGACAACGGTGGATGTGTCGCTCAATTTGGTGGATTAGATGAAATTAGACATTAATATCATTGGATACCGACCAGCTCTGTGGTCTATTGGTTAAGCGTTCGCGCGCGAGACTTGTAGGTTCTGGGTTGGAATCTGGCGAGGCGGGATCGCAGATGCGCACTGCCGTTAAGTGCTTCCAGGTTTTCTATGATGGTCTAGCTTCAATTGACTCATGATCCCAACCATTAAAATTAATACAAAATTAGATATTACACAGAAATGGTACGAAATATGCTCTGTAAATTACTTTGAACGACATAGCGACTGAATTAATTCAATGAATTTTTTTACTGAACAATAATAATACTGAGTTGAAACGTAATCTTGCGTTTTATGTCATACTAACACTTCTACAAAGTTCTTTATGAATTGAATGATAATTGGTATTGACTTATTGAGTTTTGTGCAAAGCACTGAGAGCTCTCCTCTTACTCATGGTTTGCTTGAACGGTATGATGTACTTTTGCTGTACACTTTATTCAATACTCCGTAGTGTTCATTAATTTGCTGATTACATATCCTTTGCTCCTTTGAAATTTACATATTAATATTGTTCCAGTAAGTGTGAGCCATTCTGTACTACCCTGTTTTGCCGAATATTCTATACATGATAAATGAATAAATAATATCGATGTAACATAATGCTTATAGCTTGAAAATGACTTCTCATTAATGTCCTGTTAATTATTTCTTCTTAAATAGTTATCTACCATTCCTCTCTTCCCGAATATATCACTTCATGGAACTTGGTCAGGAATGTCTGGTGGTTTAGAAAATATCGGTGCAACAACTGGTACAGGAAGATCAGGTTATTTGGCACCATATCATACAGGTAGTGGTGGATCATTATCTCCACATTTAGCAGGAAGTGCATTTCAATTCATTGGAAATACTTCATCTAGTGCTGGTATAGGTACAGTTGGTGGTAGGGCATCAGTACCTGGTCAATTGATGTCTAGCCCAGATGTTATTATGTTATCGAGAATGTTACAGGAAAAAGAAAACATGGTAAGTAGTATATATATGGTGCTTCGATAGCGTATTAAGAAGACGAAGATTATCAAGACTATGTGATATATTAGCGCAATACATTTTGAACAATCAGATCACACATATACTTGTTAAGAACATTTATATACAAAAATAATAGGTCAACTAGACTAGAAACGGAGGCTAAGAGGATACAAGGATAATAGTAATAAGAGTAATAATAATAATGTGAACACAATTAGCAACCTAATCACTCTGTATAATAAGTCAATATCACCAGGGTAGGTTTAAGGTGGGAATAAACTGTTTTTGAATACACAAAAGAGTTTTGAATTTTCGTATGGCTGAGGCTTCAATAAACCCTTTTGGATTTTTATATAACACCACAAAAGCTTAATTCTGATCAATCTTATCACCTATTTCAATTGTGTTTGGCAGCAGAGGATGATGGATGTTTATCCTCTACTCTTATTGTGTCATTTGATTCTATTTGGTTAAGCAACAAATCAGGTACATGTTCACATATCTTAATTTTGAGATCACTATTACTCCTCTTTATGTATGTATGACCACACACACATTTAACTTGGTAAAAATAGTGGGATGTGATGCAACCGTTTTCTCATCTTTTACGTTTTCCATGAAGCATGAACCTTGTTGTTTCCTTGATAATGATCTTTGCTGCAGAATATATCTTGTTAATAACTGATTTAAGCCTTTGTTTCAATAAAAGGTTATTTAAATAATCTCTAAATGGTAAGGTGATGTAGACAGGCTTTTTCCGCCAAAGCTATAGTAGGTCTCACTGTACCATGAACTTTCCATCTATTTATGAATTTAAGGAGATAGCCATTTTCCATTATTGTTTTATTTAGCCACTTAACATCATCATCATATACCTAGGAAGCATCGTCGATGGACAAGGAGGACTCGATGCAGACGTAAAGCCGAGGATCGGCAAAGCAAGGGCCGCTTTCCTACAATTGAAGAACATATGGGACTCAAAACAACTGTCAACCAATATCAAAGTAAGAATCTTCAATACGAACGTCAAGGCAGTTCTACTGTATGGAGCTGAAACTTGGAGAACTACAACAACCACAATCAAGAAAGTACAAGTATTTATAAATAGCTGTCTACGCAAGGTACTCAACATCCATTGGCCGGATACCATCAGCAATAGCCTTCTGTGGGAGAGAACAAACCAACTTCCAGCTGAAGAAGAAATTAGGAAAAGACGATGGAAATGGATAGGACATACATTACGCAAATCGTCAAACTGCATCACGAGGCAAGCCCTAACTTGGAATCCTGAAGGGAAGCGAAAAAGAGGAAGGCCAAAGAACACATTGCGTCGAATAATAGAAGCAGATATGAAAACGATGAATTACAACTGGATGGAGCTAGAAAGGATTGCGCAGGACAGGGTTGGATGGAGAATGCTGGTGAGCGGCCTATGCTCCTTCACGAGGAGTAACAGGCGTAAGTAAGTAAGTAAGTTAACATCATCATCATTAATGGCGTCATTTGTGTAAATATGATCAAGCCTGTTGAATAGTCACTTTATCAAACCCCGTTTGTATTACACAGGGCAATAACTACAATAACTAAGGTATTGACCTATCCAAGTTGGTTTTCTTAAAAAGTGCGCTAATATATATCATGACATAGTTTTGATAATCTTCGTCTTCTTCATTACTACACTATTGAAATTTATCAAAGAGACTAATTGCTTTAAACCAAAGCAATTTGATATTGAATGGACGAATTTAATTTGATTGAGATCATGAACCGATTGATGTTAGACCACCATTGAAAACCTGGAAGCACTGGATGGCCGTTTCGTCTTATTGTGGGATTCCTTAGCAGTTTTCTATGGTGGTCTAACATCAATCGGTTCATGATCTCACACAAAAACTTAACAATCTCCACAACCCATAAACTGAGAATTTAATTTGATCATTACAAATTGATGTTTTTATTCATTTTAGCTTCAACAACATTTGCAAGAATTAACTCGATTAAGATTTCAAAATTCTGAACTTGAAATACGTTTAAAAGCAACACAACGTGAATTAGATACAAAATCGGCTAGATTAAATATACTTGAAACTACTCATGTAAGTTAATTATTATGCATGTTTTAAATTAGACGCTTTTCTCTAGTTTGAGAAAAAACTCATTAGCATATAGATATATAGTCGAATAAAGGGGATTTTTTGATTTCTTAGAGTTGGTCAGTTAGTCAGTCAGTTACAACGTAGGACTAGGCATATATATGCATCGGTCCAAGTTGCCATACCTCATTAGCACAACAAGACGAACACTGGACTCGTAAAAGCAGTTAACTCAATGGTGCAATGTATAAAAGAAAGATTTTATGTAAGGATATAGTACAGAAAGAAAGATATGAAACGATTTTAATCTCATAATTTAAGGGAAGACAAAGAGGGTATACACCTACGCCATTGTGATCGCTTCTGAGTCATGTCACATAGAGTATTCAACCATTAGTTACGATAGTCACGCGGACCCTAGCCAAAGTAGTCTGCATCTATCGACCTGGCTAAGACTAGAAATTAAGGTGGGTAGCTTGCTAGTTTCGAATATTTGTTTGGTTATATCAACTATTTTCTTTTAAGATATTCATGGAAAGAGATTTTATGCTGAATATGAAAATACATGATTTTGATTTATGAATGAATAAACAAGAATCTAGGTAGCTATTTGTTTTCGGGACATAAAGAAATTTTAACCTCACTGTTATGTCCTATGGCCCTGCTAATTATCATGTGATAAAATTGCTAATCAGAATACCGACCTCCATAATCTTATCGCTGTGCTAAACCAATTATACGTCAACAAGCACTATCAGCTTTGCACCAACTTTTAAGTCCTTATTGGTCCTCTGTTTAGCAACTTCTCCTTTAGCCCAACCCAACCCGTTCGGTTCAGAACAAAATTATCGATTCCCACTATGACCTTGATTTTATATGCATTACTCAACGAATCCCAATCAATATGTGAGAACATGTAACAAGAAACTTTATAGTTATTCATATGGAACTTTATATAGAATCGATAGTGACTATTCTAACTTTTATCAATGTTGATCATACATCAGAGGTACAACGATACAAATCGATAATTAGTAAGCCTTGATTATGTTCAATTAACATTCAATATTACAGTGTCTACATACATTCATTCATTGAAACTAATGTAATTTCTATTATATTTATTAATTAAACAGTTGAATTCAGCTACTGGAATACATGATTTAGGCACAAGATCACCATCAAGTAATCAATTATCAAAAGAATTAGCAATATTACGTAAAACAAATCAAGAATTAAGTGTAAAGTTTAATCAATTACAAATGGAATTAGATGAACGTTCACGTGGTGGAACATCAACTGTTGGTGCTTACGATAGACTGAAATCATCAGTTGTAAGTTTTTTATTTTGTTATTAATAATAATAATAATTTCGAGTTGAAGAAAATCGCCAGATGTAAATTATCATTATTATTATGATTATTATGACATGAAAAATGATATTTTGATCGAGATCATGAGCCGATCAATGTTAGATCACTATTGTAAACCTAGAAGCACTGGATGGCCATCCCTTTCTAATATGGAACTCCTCAGCAGTGAGCATCCATAATTCCACACGCGGGATTCGAACTCAGGACCTTCAGTGCAAACACTTGATCTCTAGATAATCGAACCAACATCCAACACCAACCATTCCGTGATATTGCGAGACCATCTTTCATTGTCTTCGGTGAGCAACTGCTTCGCATTCGATACGGTTGAACTACATATTGTTGTAAGAAATTGCAAAAGGGCAAATCATGCAATCAATTAATAAGATTTTAGAAAGAAGATAATAATATGTTTTCGAATTGTACAGGTTGATTGAGGAAGTAATGAAGAATTTGAGATGGAAACTACAACACAATAACTATTATCTTTTACTGTAAAGTCATTTTTTTATTAACGTCTTAAGCTGACAAGTTCCATACAATTATAAATAATTACCAGAGTTTTAACTAACAAGTAGAATGTTTAGTAATAAGATGGGGGTTGGAGGTAGTCAACAGAAAACCATGGACCTAGTTTTCGTGCTACTTTGCACTCGTCAGCAAGGTGTACCTATAATCTTGAGTGAACTGATGCTCCTTGACGGATTCTATCTCGTGTCACCAGCTTCACAGTCAGAAACGTTACCACCGGGTTATCCGAGATGCGACTGACCTCCTGCCGGACTGAGATGTATTTATAATTGATTGATCACTAGGTAATGATGTCCTTCTTGCGTATTAGTTGCTTGGGGTCGTCTATGCGTATTGCTTGATTGTACAACATAGCAATTTAATTTTGTTATCAGTAGTACAAATGTTTAATTTTTGATTTTTTTTAATGATATATATTTATCACTTATACTTTCAGGGATTACATGCAACAGACTTTACAGAAATGGCTACTTTGAGACGAGAACTTGCTTCTGCTAAAGCTGAACGTGAAGTGGAGGTACTTAGTTTTGTTTACTTGTACACGTATTGATCTCTAATTTGATCCAATATTTACTAGTATAGGATTTTGCAGGTTGTTGAGTTTCATTGAGATCATGAAATAATCAATATTAGATTACCACTGATCAATTCATGATCTCAATGATGGAGTACCAAAAATTAAGGAAAAAAACACTATTATCTAGTTTGAAGCAACCAACAAAAGTTCTATTCCTAAGCTTAAATTTTTTTAAGACTCAATAGTAAAATATAGCTTCGATCTTGAAGTACCTAATAGTAAGTAGCTTCATTCATAATATACTCAGTTAGTTAGTCATCATCAACGAAAAGCATGGTATAGATTTAAGTGATCCCAAGTTGCCCTACCACATTGGCACAAGGAGATAAAATTAGTGAGAGGTGTAGTAAAAATAATCGAAATATCATAGTTTACAATGTTACTTTGAAAGGATGAGAATCGAAAATATAGGTAAAAGGACAAGGTAAATATGTGTGTATGGAAGAATATTGTAATTCAAGATCGAGAGGATGATATGGAGTAAATACATTTGAGCTACTGTAATTGATCATGAGCCATGACACCCAAAAGTCACAAGTCACTGATAGCAATTAGTTAATCTGTATTCACGAGCATGGCTCAAACTGACAGTTTATGAATTTATCTGCTGACTGGAATAAATTAGCATAGGGGAGTAACAATGTAATGTTGATAATGCCAACTAAACTGATTAGTATAACAATAATATACTATTTTCTGTCATATAACTGGTAAGCAAATTAAAATGTGTTATAAAATTATTCTAAAGTGTTTATGAAATGAACGAACAGAGAGTTGTACTTACAGAACCGATCTTCAACTGACAATTATGTGAATTTTAAAACTGACAATCACATTCTAAGCAAATATGGATAGTGACTAGTAATAAAATCCAGGAAGCACGTTTCGTCCTATTTCGGACTCGTCAGCTGGATGTACCTGCATCTCAGAGTTCATGTTCACTCGAACTCAGTACTATTCGCTTCGAAAGATATCACGTTATCCACTTAGCTAATGAGGCAATAATCTCAGTATGCATATATGCCAAACCTAATCATCAATGGGAAGATTCATATAAACAATACCATGTGAATTTGACAATCACATTGTCTTAAGCATGCGAACATATATTTTAGGAAATTTAGTTTATTATCTAGATTACATGTTATTCAGTTAATTGAGTGTAAATGTAAGCCAAACATAATTTAAAAGATGAATAATCAAAGATGAAACTAATGATCACAAAGTAACCCATAGATACTCATTTCAATTCATTAAAGTGAAATGAAGGCAGATTATAATCAATAATTGGTTCACCAACTAAAAGCTACTGAAGTCTAAGACTTACTAGAAAGTTATAATCAAAGCTTGGGGTATTGTAACAGTGTATATCTATGATTGTAGATCAGGAATTTTTCTATTCTTAATTGAAGTAAATTAAGGGAATCATAACAAATCAGCTTACTACTAAAGGAAACTTATATTCTACTTTGTAACTTTTCACCTAATACATAAGCAATTTCATTATTCAGATACTAAATCAAGCTTTATTTAAGTGAATATGTAAATCGGTAAATAGTCCACTCTTTATTGTTATAAGTTCTTTTAAATCTAGTAGTTCTGAAGTATTTAAGTTCCATTCATTATAGATTGATTAATCTCAGTTAGATCACCAGTGAAATCTAGAAAGCAATGGGCAGCTGATGTTCCCTAGTATTGAACTCTGATGGTATACATCACTCTCTTAACAAAGATTGAGCTAACAACCTTTAGGTAACTCATTAAATAGGTTAACCGTTAGAACGATTAAGGAGATAACTAGACAAACATCCAGTTTTTACAACAGATAAGTCCTGGGTTTGAATCCTGCGAGATGGGGTCGTAGATGCACAGTGCTGAGGAGTCCCACAATAAGACGAAACGGCCGTCCAGCGCTTCTAGGTTTTCCATGGTGGTCTAGCTTCAATTGATTCATGATCTCAACTATTGAAATTACTACAATCTCCACAAAACCCCTTCTGATACTAATTGATTAATTAGTCAATATCCTTTCCTTTGTTTTTCTATCATTTAATATAAGGTTGCTAGTTTAAACAGTCAAATGGAATTAATCAAACGAGAACGTGATGATTTGAATGAAAAGTTTAATGAAACAAAATCTGATCTTACAGAGAAAATTCATCAGCTACATACATTGGAAGGTGAAAAAGTAAGAATATGTTTGTAATATTAATTTATTGTAAACCATTTTTAAGGAAGAAAGTAACTTCATTTCATATATGAATAGTATAAAATATTCAACTTGAAGTATTTAGACATGAATACACATGTACACTACTATAATCAGTTTATTTCTCCATTATCTTAAGAGTTTGAAAGTTTCTCGGTGACCTTTGAGTGATGCTAAAGTGACCTTGAGAGTGTTCACCTAAAAATTAGGACCAAATGAGGGAGGAATTATAATTTACAGTTGATAGTTAGGGTTAAGAATTAGATTAAACGTTTTCATCACTAACTAACAACAGCTATAATACTAAAATTGTATTTAGCTAAATGAATGAGTGAATTTCGCACCAAAATCCGACACCTGTTATCTTATACATGATTTGTTCGTCCATAAATTATAGTCTCGCCAGTTTTTCAAATTAATTTGTATTATCTGCACAATCCACTCATTGAACATCATTCTTTTGTGTGAACAGATTTCATTTGATTGTTTTATGGAATGCATCTTTTATTCGATTTTCTACTGAAGTGGATATAACAATGTTATTTGATATGAATTAATACTAGACTATATATTCTTTTCAGTGACTATTCATTATTAAAGTAACTGTGGAGTTTTGTTCTTCCAACTTAATGCTATTGTCATGAATCTTTCATTGTTCTTCTGAACAATGTTGTCGGTATAAACTTCTGGTGGAAGTCTACCTGATGTTTGTACTGACAATAAATAATAAAACCATTCAGTTGGAAGAACAAAACTCAATCTAAACCATTTACTTGAGGTAAAAATCTTCACCATCTCATAATTTAACTGTTTACAGATCACTTTGCCATTTCACTGGGATCCTAATACGTTTACGTCTTTAAAATATACTGATTTCTTTATTTCTTTAGATTATACTCCTTGAATAACATCTTCAAACCCTAATGTTTCCGATTACTGGTCATACTTTTACTACGTCTACTACTATGGGATTTCAATAGACAATTGTATCACCGTGCTAATGTGGTATGGTAACTCGAATCGGTGTATATGTGTACAAGGTTCGACGTTGTTCCTGACTGACTGGATGAGATATTTGTGACATTCCAATGAGTTACTTACTTACTTACACTTGTTACTCCTAAAGGACCATAGGCCACTGACCAGCATTTTTCAACATACTCTGTCCTCAGACTTCCATTCTAATTCTATTCAATTGTTGTTCATTCTTCTTTTCACATTTGTCTCCATTTCTCGGCGTAATGTGTTCTCTGTTCTTCCACTTCTCCTTTGGCCTTGAGGATTCGATGTGAGGACTTGCTTTGTGACGCAGTTCAGTGCTTTCCTCAATTTTTGTTCTACCCACTTCCTGATTGTTTCCTCCACCGGAATCTAGTTTGTTCTCTCCTACAGTAGATTGTTGCTGATAGTATTCGACCATCGACCGATTTGTCCCTTTCTTTGATTGTTTAATCTGTTTTCTTCAAAATTACACAAATCATTTTTCTTTTTTTTCCAACCAAAACAGATTCACATTTTATCTGTAAGTATAGGGTGATAATTTAAGAAAGCTCGCGACTTAAGTTAATATCGAGACAATCCTCACAGGATGTAAATATGCCAACAAGAGACTTATGAACTACAGTCCTAAACAACGATGGGAAGTTACGAGTAAACAACACAAAGTGAATTTAGTTAGTTACTTATTTAAAGATTTCCCTAACATAAATCAAAGGCATTTAACATACTTTCTTTTCCTTTCTTTTTAATAAAGGAAAAACTTATTTCAGAAAAAGATGCTTTACAAAAAAAATATGAATCAGTTTTGAGTCAATTAAGTGAAAAATCTGAAAAACTTAAACAACTCGAACAAGATTGTGTAAGTTCAATATTACTATTTCATTTTTGATTGAGATCATGAATTGATCAATATTAGACCACTATTGGAAACTTGTAAGCACTGGATGACCGTTTCATTCTAGCATACGACTCCTCAGTAGTGCACTTCCACGATCCTGCTCGTGAGATTCGAAACCAGAACCTTCGGTCTCGAGCACGAACACTTAACCGCCATACCACTCAGCCCCCATCCAGTGGTGTTAATGTCTAACCTCAGCCAATCCACAAAATTGTGTGACCATCTTCCATTGTACTAAGGTTGATATCTGTTTCTACCTGATATCGATTAGCTTCACTGGTCACGGCTTCTCACTAGAACTTATGTGCTCATATTATAGTAAGTAACTTCCTACAGATGCAATTATGAACTATTCCCTAAACTGTCGAGCACAGAGTCTTAGCTTAGCCAAAGTTAGAATAAATACGCTATTTGGCTTGATTATATTTATCTGTTTCTAAAATATAAATTCACACTGTTAGTATGGTGTATGCTACTTATGTCGACAGATATAAGTAGTATGTTACACCAATATGAATGGGAATGCCTGTCGAAAGAAGGTTGAGAAGATTCAACCGAATAAAACAAAACAAGGAAAATAAAGGAATTGAGAATTCTAGGAATCATGAAGGATGTAAAGGACAATCAATCGATAAAAGAACTCTGTAATTTTACATTAGACAATAAATTAGTTGTCTACATCTGAGTATTCGTTCATTTCATTAGTATACAAAACAAACTATTAATGCAATCTGTCAAACATGGAAAAAGAGAGATATAAATAACAGAAGAGGTTTTTGTGGATATCCTAGTAATTTCAGTAGTTGAATTCATGAGTCAATTGAAGTTAAACCACCATGAAAAACCTGGAAGCACTGGATGGCCATCTGGTCCTAGTATGGGACATACCAAACACTAACTAACTGGAGAAAAATAAAAATAAGTTAACAATCGTAATATCGTTTATTGATAAACATAAAGTTATGATTATTGAATTAACATAACATAATCTGACAAGGTCATAGAAAGTTGATGTATTGGTAGTCATTTCATGTTGTTAGGTTCCATTGATCAATCATGCTTTACACATATGTTATTCATATATAAAACAATTAGTACTACAAGGACAAGAATGTTAGACTCACTATTCAAATAGTTTTACACAATATCTTATTCCTACTAATGCTAACTATAGGAAATTCACTATTGAACTTACAGTTTCTAAGTGAGATTGTATATCAGAAGGGTTTTGTGGATATTATAGTGATTTCAAAATCATGAGTCAGTTGAAGCTAGACCACTATGAAAAACATGGAAGCACTGGACGGTTGTTTCATCCTATTGTGGGACTCCTCAGCAATGCGCATCCACGATCCCGACTCTCGGGATTCGAACCCAGGACCTTTAGTCTCGTGCGCGAACGCTTAACCTACTGGACCACTGAGCCGGCATCCAATAGTGCTAATGTCTAACCTCAACCAATCCACGAAATTGCGTGACCAACTTTCATTGTACTGAGGTAGACACTTGTTTCTACTCGACATGGATTAACTCCACTGGTCACGGCTTCCCACCACCACATCAATCGGTTCATGATCTCAATCAAAACCTATCAATCTCCACAACCCCTAAACTGATAATATTAATCGTTGAATGTTGACTTGGTGATCTAAATGCAAAACTTTCCTAGATTTGCTTAAAGGTCTTGAATTCGAGCCCTCTATGAAAAGCCCCTTTCATAATAGAATGACATTGCTATAATATACTTTCTTGTTTTATATGGTTGCCGAATGTGCATTTGTGAGGTAATGTAGTTAGAGTTTATATGTTTTGGAATTTCCGATCATAAAATAACACAATAATACTGAATCAGGTTTTGAATAATAGATGCAATCAACACACATTATCTATTCTATTGTTTTTATCGGTTGATAATATCTGAATACAACAAACAATTGATCATAATGTTTCAAGACCACTATCCAACACTGTACATCGATGTTTTTCATGTTCAGTATTTAGATGTGATTGATGTATTCAAATGTCATAAGATTAGCACAATTTGCTTCTAATTGATTTTGTTATATTCGAACGATGAATAAAGGAATGGTAACTGATAGGAATTATTTATGGACTATTATTAAGTATATTCCTATAGGATCATTATTAAGTAACTAGATTATATCAGTGCCAATAACTTCTAGTCTGAACCATGTTGGTAGATGCAGACTACTTGGTTGGGGTTCGCGTGATTATCGTAACCAATGGTAAGAGACTCTTGGTGAAATGGTTCATAATCGATCACAATGGCGTCGGTGTATACACTCCCTGTCTTCCCTTAAACTATGAGATTAAAATCGTTTCATATCTTTCTTTCTACGAACTAATTCTTTCTTCCTAAACTATGTCCTTATATACAATCTTTCTTTTATATATTACCACCTCTGAATTAACTTCTTTTATGAATCCGGTGTCCATCTTGTTGTGTTAATGAGATATGGCAACTTGGACCGATGCATATTTGTGCCTGGTCCTACGTTGTAGCTGACTGACTGACTGAACTAGATTATAAATATATCTTTTATCATAAGCATTCATTTGATTTATTGGCTAGTGCAATATGATTTACCGTGACTAACTTATTTCCAGTTTATCAATTACATTATCTCACAATCACAGCCACTTTTCGATTGACTTTGTATAATTATTACTTTTAATTTAATTGTGCGATGACATTTGGTTTGTTTGCATATAAATTACATAACTCTAAAATATACGATTCACAAAATGGAAACTCATATTTGTGTTGTGAACTGAACAGGTTAAATTGGACTAGACGAGAAGTTGCTATACAGAGGGCTAATAAGGAGTCAGAGTTGGCTCAACGTTACTAGTGCTGGTTGATGTGTAATTAGTTTCACACAGCAACGATTTTGTCACGTAATAATTGACATAGTCATAAGTCATAACAGATTTCACACTAACATTTTTGTCTAGCACAACTTCCAAGTAAAAAGTATTTCATATATCAAAATGTTTATAAAATAACAAAAATACCAGAAAAGGTTTTGTGGATATGATAGTAATTTTAGTAGTTGAGATCATGAGTGAATGAACCCTGCTAAGAAGTCCCACAATAGGACGAAATGGCCGTCCAGTGCATCCAGGTTCTCCATGGTGGTCTTCATTCAATCGACTAATGATCTCAACTATTAAAATTACTATGATGTCCACGAAACCTCTTCTGATACTAATCAACATATGTTCACTGGTGGCTAACTTCAGAAGGTATATCCTGGATTTTTAGTGAGAAGCAGTGATCAGTGGAGTTCAACCAGGTCTGTTGTGAGATAGTAACTCACTGATGACAATGGTGGATGTGTCGCTCAAATTCGTGGATCGGTCAAAGTTAGGCATTAACACCGTTGGATGCTGGCCAGCTCAGTGGTCTAGAGGTTAAGCGTTCGCGCGCGAGACCGATAGACCCTGAATTCGAATCTCGCGAGTCGGAATCGTGGATGCGCTCTGCTGAGGAGTTCCATACTAGGACGGAACGGCCGTCCAGTGCCTCCAGGTTTTCCATGATGGTCTAGCATCAGTTGACTCATGATTTCAACTAGTGAGATTTCAATAATCTCCACAAAACCCCTTCTGATAATACTTGATATTAGTTTGTCATTCAATACCTGTCATTAGATTATACAATATTCTGTAATATATTCATTTATTAATTTAGGCAAAATCACATATTGAAGAAATAAAAAGATTAAATACTGATCTTGATGATTTGAAACATCATGTTGGTTATTTACAAAATACCATCAAAAACCGTGAAAGCCGTATTGAAACAACTGAAAAAGAATCTGTAAGTCTACATATATTCATACTTATATAAATAGTTTTGTTTCACTGTAAAATCAATATTATTTAAATACATAAAAAATGCCTTGGTACGAACGAGGGTGGTAAGAGACAGCTCTCACTGTCGAAATGCTCTCACATGGCCACGTGTATACAGCCACTGACAAGGAAGTCCTACTCACTGCTTTCTCTCACCAGCGGTGTTGTTTACGGCTCGATGGATACCGAGAGTCCATCTAGGGGAGTTGGAAAACCCTGATTTCAAACCAATGGTGTACATGGGCTCCAGTATCCTGAAGGTAAAAAATGGGGTCTGAACCAATTATTGGTCACCGACTACTATGGGACTACATCTCCTTACGATGCCCCACTGCCTATTGGATCAGACCTTTAAGTCGAAGGCTCCGGGTGTGGCCCCCTAAGTAAACTACCTGCTTCGGTTTGGGTACCCGGGTAGTATTCAAGCCCTCACACAAGTCGAATGATTTATGTGCCCTATACCTATTTGATGCGTACTTGTACCAATGTTTATATGTTTAAATAAAATGAAATAAAAAATATATATAATGAAAAAGAATTCACAGAGCTACGTTTTATAATTAATGTAAACTCATCGATAATGTTTATTTGTAATATCAAGTTATTTGATATACATGACAACAGAATATCATCTAGTGTTTGTGATGTATCATTATATTTATTATTCAATGATTGGTTGGTTTTGTAATTGATTGATCGTGGAGTGGTAAATATGTCAGATCCTACTTAGTGCAGATGGAATCCTATCGACCAAATCGCAATGTGACTACTAGTCTAGGTGTATTGGTATTGTGTGCACTATGTTGAGATAAGATGGCGTTTGGAGGTAGTCAACAGGAAACCATGGACCTAGGTTTTTTGCTACTTGTCACTTGTCAGCAAGGTGTTCCTGTGATCTTGAGAGAACTGGTGTGCCACCTGACGGATTCTATCCCGTGTCATCAGCTTCGCAGTCAGAGACGTTACCACCGGGCTATTTCAACCGCAACTGACCTCCTACTGGACTGAGATGTATTTACAATTGATTGATCACTGTGTGGTAATCGCTGTCATGTATGTCAAGTCCATCTTAGTGTAGATCGAATCCTATCGACCAAGTGATTGATCACAATATACTTCTTTTTGTAAAAGAATTGAATTGATCAAATTTGTATGTTTTAGCATAGTAAGAGTATCAAACCACACTGACAATAAATTTTAAAACGCTACAGGCGTTTAAGGGATTTCATTTCTCTAGAAGAATTGTATGAAAGAACTATCAATAATTAGATACCTGAAAATATTCATCGTCTAACTATGAATTAGTTTCACTGAGTAAATATAAGTTGACTTAGAAAAGAAGAAATATGTTTCAGTACTGAGAAAATGAACAAATTTTAAAGAACTAGAAGCTATTTGGATGGTTCTGTAATGATGTTAATTAAAGTTTATAAAAATCGAACATTCTAGGAATGATAGTTTCATCCTACTAATAAATTCTTTTAGCTGCTCACATCTATAAACTTTACAATGATGATTACATTCAAAGCCTACATTTCTTGTATAGAGCATAATACATCTAGATTATTGACGTGATATAGAGTTATATATATTTATAATTTCTTTTATATGAAACTGTAATGTGGAGTTCATCTAAGCTGATTAATTATATTTTCCCCTACTCTGAACAATGTTTGAACTCCATCTCTCATGATTTCTCTATGGGACTCCATAAATCTGTCTGTAACTTTGTGATGTAGAAGCAAATTGTTTTTCTAATCATTTAGTGTAGTTGCTTAGAAAGGCATTTAAAATGTTTAGTTAAATTTTTTGTATAAAGCTGATACTAGCTATTCCATGCATGCTGATTTTTCACTTGTTGTCCAACTGACCTTATTCTATGATTGGAACTATCTTTAAAACACTTGGTATTGCCTTAATTCACAAACGTTATAAGCGAAGATGGATAGTGGCTGACGAGTCCCAAATATGACGAAACGCACGTCTCGGATTCCACTGCTAGCCACTATCCATTTTTGGATGGTGGTTGGAGGTGGTCGACAGGAAACCCTGGACCCGGGTTTCGTGCTACTTGGCACTCGGTCACGGCACGGATAGCTCAGTGGTAGTATCTCTGACTGTGAAGCTAAGGGACACGGGGTAGGATCCGTCAGAGACCACCAGTTCCCTCAATATTACAAGAAAAATTTTCTGACGAGTGCCAAGTGGCAAGAAACCTAGGTCCATGGTTTCCTGTCGACTACCTCCAACCACCATCTTATCTCAACATAGTGCATGCAGTGTCGAGTCACCTAGACTAGTGGTCATATTGGAACTTGGTCGATAGGATTCCATCTGCACGAATAAGGACTTGACACACATGACATTGATCACCAGCCAGTGATCAATCAATTGTGACTATCCATCTTTGCTTATAAAGCTTGTGACCTAAGGCAATGTCGAGGCAATACACACACAATATGCACATATACCAATAAGAGAATGATCAATTGCAGTCTTGAAACAACAATATGAAGATATTGGCAAACAATACGAAGTAAATTTAAACTTCATCTATTGCACAAGGAACTGGCTATCAGGGCTCAGTAGCTGAATGAATAACGCGACGATATTTGAATCGAACGGTACCGGATTCAATTCCCAGAGTGAACATCAACTTTGAGATGTAGGCACATCCAGCTGACGAGTCCCAGACACGACGAAACATACATCCTGGATTTCATTGTTAGCCACTATCCATGTTTATCTTTAGAAATAGTTGTTAGTTTTAAGTAATATATTAGGATTCTATTAAAAGAATAGTTGCACATTTACTAAGATTCATTTTATTCTGATTAAATTTGTTTAAAATTATAATTTTACACTTGATGAAGATAATCGAAATTTTCCTACTGCTTTCTATTTTTGTTCATTTTAAATACAGTTTAAGCTAAGAGATGAATTAACTAATATACGTAAACAATTGACAACTGCTGAAGCAGAGGTAAAGAGTTTACGTGATGATGCAGTTTATAGAGAAGAACGAATTAAGCAAATACAAAATCAATATGTAAGTTATAAACACTTATCACTCAAAATGGGTTTTGTGGAGATTGTAGTAATTTCAACAGTTGAGATCATGATTCAATTGAAACTAGACCACCATGGAAAACCTGGAAGCACTGGACGGCCCTTTCGTCCTAGTATGTGACTCCTTAACAGTGCGCATCCATGATCCCGCACCCGCGAGATTCGAACACAGGACCTACCAGTCTCGCGCCAGGCGCTTAACCAACTAGACGACTGAGCTGGCCGGCATCCAACGGTGTTAATGTCTAACTTCAACCGATCCACGAAATAAGGCGACACATCCACTATTGTCATCAGTGAGTTACTATCTCACAACAGACCTGGTTGAACTCCACTGATCACTACTTCTCACTAGAACTCCAGGAAATACCTCCTGAAACCAGTCACTAGTAAGCATATGTTGATTAGTATCACTCAATATTTAAATAATAAAGGTAGTGACTTACAAATGTATATTGGAACAATGATTGGATAATTATAGGGAATGGATTAAACAGCTACAATTGATTTTATATTCAAGAAAACAGTGTATAACATCCTTTTCGATATCCTGTTAGCTTATATGTCTTCAATTATTCGAAGTGATGTTAATTTTAAGTGATTTATTGTTATGACTGATTTCATTGGAATTAGTTAAAACTATATGGCCAAAACTTTGAAGAGAACAGGAACACCTAAAGATAGATCATAACATGATTTACTCGAATACGTAATTACACGACAATAAGTGTTTTCATCTATCATAACTGATATTGCTTTGTATTATTGGATTGGATTTACACTAAAAACCTTGACCTTGAATGAAATGGCTTAAAATCGTTTGCAATGTCGCAGATGCATCCACTCATTGTGTTCTCCCAAATAATAATCTCCTCAATTCGTCATGTCCATTTTTTCCTCTTTCCATATTTATTTCACTGGATTATACTCCTTGAATAACATCTTCAAATCCTAATCTTTCCGATTACTGCTTATACTTTTACTACCTCCACCATTATGGGATTTGAATCGACAAATGTATCTCTATGCTAATGTGGTATGGCAACTTGAACTGATTTGCGTACGTATGAAAGTTCTATGTTGTTCCTGACTGACTGACTGCACTGACAACACATAAATCGATAATAAGTATTATTGTTATCCTTAGTTATCTATGTTTCATTAAGCCACAGAAACATTAGAAGATAACACTTAGTTTATGACTTATTACTCCTTTAATGTAATGAAAATACAAAAAAAATCCTTGAATATACTTTAAATCAACTAAGCATATGGAGGAAAAGGATTTAATGATTTATGCTGATGGGTCCAATAAGATTAATCAGACTACGTCGCAGTATAAATTACATTTTCAAATGAAGATTTTTTGAACTTCATCATCTAATTGTCTAATGTATTAGATTTTGCATTGTAGCTAAGTCATACTATGCGATATTTAATAATGTGAAATGACATAAGACAGTTCATGTAGTATAAGGTATCACTACATGAAATCTATCCACTTAATGACTTCTAATGGTTGAATTTGTTAGTGGATACAACATAGACCACCACTAAAAACCTGGAATCAGTAGATGACCGACTCAATGGTCTAGTGGTTAAGCGTTCGCTCATGAGACCGGAGGTCTTGAGTTTGAGCCATGTGTACGGGATCGTGGATGAGCACTGCCGAGTCCCATACTTGGACGAAACGGCCATTTGGTGCTTCCAGTTATTCAATAGTGGTCTAGTTTGTATCGACTAATAAATTCAACTATCAAAATTACTACAATCTCTACAAACCGTATTCTGATCTTAATCATTTCTGTCAATAACTATTGTTTTATTTATTTTCCGTAATTAACATTCAATATGACCATTGTGATAATATATTGTAATTATCAATTTAATTTTTACACATTGCAGACAGAGGAACTGGCACGACTACGTTCTACTAATCAAGAACAAGTAACACGTATTGGACATTTGGAAATGAAACTAGATGAGAAAGGACATCAATTAAAGAGTCAAACAAGTGAAATTGTACGTTTGTCTTTTTGAAAAATCATATCTATTTCGCAGTTGTATTATACAAAAGGATTTTCGTTGTGAAGTACTATTGAGAAATATGAAACACTGTACAGTTGTCTCTTTCTAATATAAAACTTTACAGTAGTGCTCATCAACTAACAGATTATAGATTTAAAAATTCATGATCTTAAGGCATCTAAGCAAGCACTGAATTGAGTTAATATTCAATGATTTACATTTCTAATATCAAGAAATCTACTGCTAAAACACTTTAACTAAGAAATCTTAATTAGTGTATGATCAAAACATTTTTGATAGAAGGTTAAACAGAACAGACGACGCTTAAGCAATTGAAAACTTTTAAGCGGTATTGATTATCTATCTATTTTTGATGAAATCGGTGGTGTTTAGCGCTGTGAATGTATAACTTCTATGAGTGAACATTTTAGTTGAGTTCCAAATGATAATAAAATGGTTACCCAGTTGTTTCGATCAGTGGTTCTTCAATTGATTTTTATCAGAAAGGGTAATTTAATAATTGAATTCATGAATCAATTGAAGCCTAACCACCATAGTAAACCAGGAACCACTGGATGGCCATTTCGTTTTATTGTAGGACTCCTCAGCAGTGCGCATCCACGATCCCGCCTTAAAGGATTCGAACTCAGAACCTATCAGTCTCGAGCGCGAACGCTTAACCTCTAGACCACTGAGCTGGCCGGCATCCAACGCTGTTAATGTCTAACTTTTAGTTTGTTATAAAGATTTGTTTATATTCTGTACTTAAAAGATGTCTTTATTCATTTATCCGACATTTGAATGTTAGTTCGGTCGACTTGACATACGCTAATTTGAATTCTTGACTGATTGATTCAGTCCTAACATTCGTATGTATACTTTTACATTTCATCCAATTCAGTACAATTACTATGAATTTATAAATGTAAGGTCTGAATAAGTTATATATATGTATATATATGTATATATTGTTTGGAAATCTTTTGTTTTATGTAAAGCGTTGTCAAGCTGATGAAATTACTCGCCTACAGTCTACAATCGAAGAAACCAATAATCGATTATCAGTTAATCAGAAACGTGCAGAAGAACGTGAAATGAGATTAAGAAAACTTGAAAATGAAAATGTAAGTCTGTTAAATTCATCATAACTGGTTGTACAGGGTTGTAGACTATATTCTTTATTATTTATTTATTTCAACACATAGATATTGGTACAAGGAGGCACCAAATACATATTCGCCACACAAATCTAATTTGATATGTGTGAGGGCTGTGATACTGCCCGGGTGCCCAAACCGAAGCAGGTGGTTTTCTTAGGGGGCCACACCCGGATGGGCCTGAATTTCTGACCCACAAGGCAGTGGAGCATCGTGAGGAGATGCAGTCCCATGTATCCGGTGACCAACGATTGGTTCATACGCCGTTTGTTCCCGCAGGATACTGGAGCCCATGTGCATCATTCGTTTGGAATCAGGGTTTTCCAACTTCCCTTGTTGGACCCTCCATATCCACGAACCCGGTTAAAGCGCCAGACGTTCACTTTTCGTCCTCTCAATTTAGTCAACAACATCCTTGCCACGAGAAGGCAATGAGCCGGACTTCCCTGGCAGAGGCTGTATACGCGTGGCCATGTGAGAGCATTTCGAGAGGGAGAGCGGACTCTCCCCACTCTCGGCCGTACCAGGGAATTTAGGACCATAGACTTTATTCTGTAGTAACTGACTTTACTTTTTTATTATTTACATCAATTCACAACTTATTCAGTAACTTTTTTATAGTCTGAAACTATAAGGTTTGTTTCTATAGGATTATTAGTGATATTTAAGGCAACAGATTCCGTATTCATCTGCTGTTACGAACATTCACACGTGTAGTTGATAAACTAATCAATACATAGTCTTTCAACTAAACGTGATTGAACACACATTAGTAACTAGCTTAGGGATATTTTAACAAGGTTCTACTATGAAATGTCATGATTAGTAGTTAGTAGATTTCATTTACTCACATAAAAGATAATATGATATCTCATTACATGCAAAATAGTTTCGTACAGCTATCCAATGTTCCTTAGTTTTCAATTATTTTGCAATGTATAACTGACATGAATTCACCCTTTTGTACCCTAATTAACATAAAAATTTGTTTTATTAAGTTCATTTATGATGAGTTTACTTATGACAATAATGCTAATGACACATTCACTTAACCAATAAGTCCGCTAGTGATCTTGACATTCATAGACTCAAGTAACTTATTCCTGGATCTCATCACCTTCATAAGAAGACGAGTAAAGGTATCTAATTTATTCTGGTTTTTTTTCTAATTCAAAGGATACAATCGATCACAATGAACCATAAATTATAAATCATAATCTATACATAAGTAAATTACTTGTGTTACTTTACTCAATAGTTCATAATTAATTAACTATAGTCAATGGCAAATAATAAAATATATATACCCATAGCTAATGAGTTAAATAATTAATGAATCCATAATAGAATCATATATAGTAGTAATCCAAATACCGCTTTCCCATTCATTTATTCATTCATATAGAACAATATTAATCTATGAAGGAAACTAGTCATGGATTGTTTACGGATTCACCGAACAGAATATATAGTAATAAGGTATATATAACAAATGAGAAATATCACATTGAATCAGTAATAGTACAATTAATCATTAAAATATTCTCAGTATAGGGGTTGTGGAGATTATTAAGTGTTTGATTGAGATCATGACCCAATTGATGTTAGACCACCGTTGGAAACCTGAAAGCACTTGACGGCAATTTTGTCCTATTGTGGGACTCCTCAGCAGTGCGCATCTACGATCCCTTTTGTGAGATTTGAACCCAGGGCTTCCGGTCTCGCGCACGAACGCTTATGTATATATTTTTATGTATATTTTATGTATATTTTTATTAGTTATTTATAGGATATTACAAACTCAGAGTTTTGTTCTGTGAACTGGACGGTTTGGTTGTAGAGATTTATTCGTTCTTCTGAACGACAATCATCAACACAAAATTCAAGTAGACATGAAATGTTCGAACTTCTTCACATGTACTTCACAGCGTATCCTGTACACCTCGATATTCAAATTAGTTCTTGTTGACCTTGAACTTGTCATTGTTTACTTCTTTGTTTTGGTTGTATCTCCCATTGGTTTGATTTTCGGTCCTATATTTGTGCATAATTTCCCTGATTGATTGATAAATTGGATCGACTTCAATGTGGTTGTTGATTGCTGATTGACCTGAGTGTTAAGCTTCTAAAAATTCTCTGATGTTTTCGAAGTTACCTCTATCCAACATTTCCCCACTTTTCCAGTCGAATGTGTGTCCGTAGTTGTCATGGCATTTAACTACTAATTGATGTTCATCATGCAGGTGAAGATAAAGAGGATGTCTACTTCGTAGTTGGCACCATTTATTTTGTAGAGATGTACAGGACAAGCTGTGAACTACATGTGGAGAAATTTGAACACTTCACTTCTACTTGAAGTTTGTATTGATGATGTCGTTTAGAAGAACGATGTAAGCTCCACGACCAAACCATCTAGCTCAGAGGAAAAAACTCCATCCAAATCATCCGCCTGCGGTACAAATCTCCACCATTACAAACTCTGTTCCTCATATACGGCGAGACTATAATTTATGGACGAACCAATCAGAGATAAAATAACGAATCATTAGTTTTGGCGCGAAATCCATTCATACATTTGGCTTAATAGAGATTTGGCATTATACCTGATATCGGTTCGCGTAGAAAACCCTAAATCTGATTTTTAACCTTAACCACCAACTGTAGATGTAAATTCCAACTGGTTTATTACCTTCATTCAGTCCTAATCAGTAGGCGTCTATTCTCAGGGTCACTTCACCGTTGCTCTAAGGTCGTCCATAAATTATAGTCTCACCGTTTCATCTTTATGTTACTTAATCTAATGTAGTTTATTTAACATGAACCAACTTTATTCATTTGAATTTAATCCATACTATTTGTAGAACAATCAGTTGAATGGAATTCATCGCTCTACATCAAATACATTGACTAGCATTTGATAGCGTGGACAGGACAACACTATGAAAGCTTCTTCGACACTACGGCGTGCCTAAGAAGATAGTCAATATCATACAGAACTCATATGATGGATTACACTGCAAAATCGTGCATGGAGGACAGTTGACAAAGTCGTTCAAAGTGAAGACCGGTGTTAGGCAAGGTTGCTTACTCTCACCCTTTCTCTTTCTCCTGGTGATCGACTGGATCATGAAGACGTCAACGTCTGAAGGGAAGCGCGGGATACAATGGACATCTAAGATGCAGTTGGATGATCTAGACTTCGCAGATGATCTGGCCCTTCTATCCCAAACGCAACAACAGATGCAGAAAAAGACGAACAGTGTGCCAGCAGCCTCAGCAGCAGTAGGTCTCAACATACACAAACGGAAAAGCAAGATTCTCCGACACAACACAGTATAAAACAATCGAATCACACTTGACGGAGAAGATTTGGAGGATGTTAAAAACTAATACACATCTGGACAGCATCATTGATGAACACGGCGGATCCGATGCAGACATGAAGGCGCAGATCGACAAAGCAAGAACAGCATATTTACAACTGAGGAACATCTGGAACTCAAAACAACTGTCAACTAACACAAAGGTCAGGATTTTCAATACAAATGTAAAGACAGTTCTACTGTATGGGGCGGAAACCTGGAGAACTACGAAAGCCATCATCAGAAGATACAAGTGTTTATTAACAGCTGTCTACGCAGAATACTTCGGATCCGTTGGCCGGACACTTTTAGCAACAACCAACTGTGGGACAGAACAAACCAGATCCCAGCGGAGGAAGAAATCAGGAAGAAGCGCTGGAAGTGGATAGGACACACATTGAAGGAAAGCACCCAACTGCGTCACAAAACAAGCCCTCACATAGAATCCTCAAGGCGTGAGGAGAAGTTGAAGATTAAAGAACAAATTACGTTGAAAAATGGAGACAGATATGAGAGAAATGAACAGCAATTGAATAGAACTAGAATGGAAGGCTGAGGACAGAGCGTGTTGAAGAATACTGGTCGGCGACCTATGCTCCATTGGAGGTCATAGGCGTACGTAAGTAAGTAAGTACTGTCTGAACGAAAAGATCTGAGGTTGACTGGATCCTGTTCTATATCGACTAAAAGTTGAGTGTTTTAACTATCATCTAAAGCTGTTATACTATTCTACAAGGTTTCTTGTTACTGTACATAATTTATTAGTATAGGAGAAAAAGATCAGTTTGCATAGAAGAAAATTGTAAAGAGTTTTTGTAAACTAGTCAATGTTTTTTTTTCCATTTTTTTGTGACAGCATGATTTATTAGATGAAATTCATGGTCTACGTAAAGGTAACACAGAGTTGGAGAGTCAAATTGATAGTTTAAGACAACGTTTGTTGGATAGACAAGAATCAACAGAATCTGTTACTGGAGTACCATTAACATCTACTAGAATATATCAAGTAAGTAAAATAGTTGTGAATCATTTAAACCTTGTTTTTTGTCTTGGCTCTATGTATTACAATAGTAGTATATAATTATTTGAAATGCAGTAATCATTCACCGATTAAAGCCATAGTCAGAATCAAATCATATACTTTAACTTGATACAGAAAAGTTGAACTGGTCGAAGAGCTTCCATGGCTTGTTGATATGAAGAACTACAATTGATCAGAATCTATTAGCAAATGTCCATCCTAAGCGTATTATCTAGGTCTTATAATTTTGTCACAAGTTTTTATCAAAGTTAAATAGTTGCTAGTAGTGGAATTCAGAATGCACATTTCGTCCTGGTTGGCACTTCACAGCTTGATGTACCTGAATCTTAGTGTTGATAATCATATTGAAACCTAAACCTAGTACATTTTACTTCAAATTTCAATATTTTATTCGCTGACCTACAGAGTCCAGGTAGTCACCGATTGATGTGATAGGTATAAACGAGTTGTAGCTTGAAGCGAGTAGTACTGAGCTTGATTTTAAATGTAAATAACAACAGTGGGTAACTGTCATATCCAGTTGACAAGTTCTAAGTAGGACACTATGCTCGTGATAAATTCCATTGGTAATTCTAATCAAATTTTATTTTAAATTAAATCTATGTTATCGTTGCTGCTTTTGGTTAGGTCTATTATGTTTACGTTGCTAACGGATATAAGAGTAGCAGATGTATATTATTTATTTGTTTGTTGTTATTTACTGTCAATATTCTAGATAACTGAATTCAATCTCATCTACTCATATTGTCTCAATCCATATATATATTGTAGAGGCTAGTACCCCCTATATCTGACTCCAATAAATAGTATCCCGTTAACTGAATATATATACATGATGTGATTGAATCTTTGTTTCCATCAATTATGTACCGATTTTTCACTAAACATATCACTAACTCTGATGAGTTTAAATGATTTGAATTCTTTTTTTGGTTAGCGTTCTTTTTAGAGAGTTTGTTTTCTACGGGATGGGGTCGTAAACCCCATGCCCAACCTTGGGGTATGGGACTGGCATTAGCTCTAGAAGAGCTACAAGCGAAGTTAACTCTGATCTGTACTCATGCAATTTAAAGTTCTTTGGTAAATTAAGGATTTTTCTCAAGGGTAATTAGATTCTTTCTAATCACACAGTCCACTGACTACTGTGAACATCTTAGTTGTACAAGAAAGTGATTGAGACTCTACATGCTTTTTAGGAATGGCTCTAACTGTTATATTCGTTTGAATATTAATGGAGGCATTTTCTTCCTTCAGAATGGTATGTATTTCTTGTCTATTAATGCTAACTAGCACTGGACCTAAAAAATATATCTTATAGCTTGAAAAATAATTCTTTACATTATTCAGCGTATCTGACTGTGTTACCGAAAGTAACTAGAGCACTGGACTAGAATACGCTGTTTTACACTTTACAACTTTATTCTCCTGTTTACAAAACTCAACTACAAACTTTATGTCTTTAGTTATAACGTAGTGAATCTTACCAACAGTTCATCATTAAATGTGTTTTCGAATCATTCATCTTTTTTTGTTTACTTAATATTAGCCAAGTATGGGATTATCTACAACCTCCAGTCAAGAATTAGACAGATTACGTAAACAGTATACTGAAATGAAAATATCTTGTGAACAAGCACAAAAATCATTTGAAGAAACTCAAATACAAGTGGGTTTAAATTGAACCTCTCTCTTTTTGTTTATTTATTTATTTATAAAAGGAAAGATCAATGATGTCATCAGAACAGATTAAATGTGTTTGATCTATGTCGAATGATTGGGGGCCTATTAAAGTAAGACGGGAATGGTGTGACAAACAAGCTAACGTCGAAGTCACACCTTGCGGTCAGCACCTTACCTGGGTTGTCCCATAGACGTATCGAGGTACTACAGGTGTTTTGAAGATTGTACAACGCAAAGGACATTATTACAGAAATATATTAGTTAAAGTCGATACAAGCAAAAATAAGACCACCGCCGGATAAGCCAGTTCATGGCATACGATTAACTGATGCGCGTTGTTCGTCCTTGACCTTGATGAGGATCGATGATTTGTTCGATATTCAGTGATCCAACTGCCGGATGATTTGGCTAGGGCTCGATGACATTTCACTGGCCCTACACTACTGATAAACATATAAGTAGTAAAGTATCACTTTAAAATATCAATTTAAATTTAAGTTTCTAGACGGAAAATACTTATAGCCTCAGAAATTAATATAGAAATAAGCCTGTTACTTCAGTTTCTTGTAGAGTTACCAATTAGTTACTGAAACATAAATGAATAGCACAACTTTACCAACTTTATTCTGTAATAGGATCTTATTTGTGTTCAACACTGTGTACTACTGAGTTTTGTTACTCTATAATAGAAAACTCTTCAGTACGCTTCTAGTCTGATGATCTTCCAGACACTCTTGATTAAAGCTAAGTTTATGGCAAAGAAAGCGCTAAACAATGATCAATTTTAATCAACTAAGCAATCGATTGTTATAACTTACCTTGGTAGTTGCTTTCCAATATACTAACACTGAAATGATTTCTACCGTTTAGATCATTCTTCTCCGTGCAAATAAGCAATAATTCGATACATTTTAAAGTTGCTTTTTATTAAACTAAACTATTCAACACTTGAAGGATGTTTTCTGCACTGAGGTACGTTAGATTTACAGCTATTAAAAAGTAGAAACCAATGAATAGATCTTTTGCCAAATTGGAATGCTTTAAAATGAATTTTCAATGTTCTATCCAAAAGTAATGACATGTATCCTTTAACAATGTTAAAAGTAAGAAAACAATCTTATTAACCATTAAATATCTACTTAGTTACTAGATAGTACACTGAAAAGAAAAGATCCTCAGTTTTAATGTATACTGTCAGAAATTTTCAAAATTAAATACAACAATCACTCAATGTAAGCAGAGATGATGGTGGCTAGCAATGGAATTTCAGGGCTCTGAATGTACCAGCATCCCAAAGTTGATCTTCCCTCTGTGACTAGAACCCAATACTGTTCGCTTCGAAAGCTATCGTGATATTCAATTAGCGACTAATTGACTTAAGGCACTATCGACGCAGTTCACACAGGATGTACATATGCCAACAAGAAACTGATCGATTGCAGACCTAAATATCAATGGTAAGATTCAAGTAAACAATACCAAGTGAATTTAAACTTTATCCCATCGCAAAAGCAATCAGCTATCAGAACTCAGTAGCTAAGTGAATAACGCGATGGGGTTTGAAGCGAATGATACTGGGTTCAAGTCTCAGAGTAAATATCAACTCTGAGATGTAGGTACATCCAGCTGACGAGTCCGAAATAGGAAGGAACGCGCGTCCTGGATCCCACTACTAGCCACTATCCATCTTTGCACAGAATGCATGTGAATTAAGGAAATATAGAGGCAATAAGCACAGTTTGTACATCTGCTCATAAGTGACTCATCAATTGTAGTCCTAAACATCAATGGGAAGATTCAAACAAACAATATAGTTAATGTCAGAAGGGGTTCTGTGGAAATGTTTTAGTAATTTTATAGTTGAATTCATGAATCAATTGAAGCTAGATCACCATGGAAACATCTGGAAGCACTGGACGTGATCATGGATAGGTAATAATGTGGAGTCTCATACTAGGATGAAACGTCTGTCCATAGTGATCTGGCTTCAATTGACTTATGAATTTAACTAGAATATTATTTAATAATTGATATATATATGTATATATTACTTAATTCTCTGAAACAATAATTGTTAGTATGATCAAATGAAAATTCAATATGATCATTTACAAGTACAATATGAACAAGAAAACGAAAAATGTAAAAAATTAGAAGAACAATTACGAAATAAAATCAATGAATTAAATGAACAAATTTCTGATACGGTAAATATCTTCTTTCTCTTTTCTTCTTTCTTTTTTCTTTCTCTTTTAATTATTATTGATTATTATATATTTATTAAAAGGGGTTTTTGTGGTGATTGTAGAAATTTCACTGATTGAAATCATGAGTCAATTGAAGCTAGACCACCATGGAAAACCTGCAAGCACTGCTCACTAATGTCTGGCTTCAACAGGTATTCCTTGGAGTTCTAGTGAGAAGTCGTTACCAGTGGAGTTCAACCAGGTCTGTTGTGAGATATCAACTCACTGAAGACAATGATGTACGGTGGCACAACTTTGTGAATTGGTTAAAGTTAGACATTAACACCGTTGGATGCCGGCCAGCTTATTTGTTTAGTTGGTTAAGCGCCTGGCTCGAGATTAATAGACCCTGGGCTCGGATCTCGTGGGGTTCGGGATCGTGGATGTGCGCTGCTGAGGAGTCCCATACTAGGACGAAACGGCCGTCCAGTGCTTCCAGGTTTTCCATGGTGGTCTAGCTTCATTTGACTCATGATTTCAATCAGTAATATATATTTCAATTATTTTTCAATGGTCAAACGAATTGTGAAATGTTTTACAAAACTCTATCAATTTAATTTGAAATGATCTATAATTTGAGTAAACATTTTTTCTTATAGAGTTTTGTTTTCTGAGATGGATGATTTGGTTGTGAAGATATAAAGTTCTTCTGAACAACATCATGATATGGTTCAGCTTTCATCATTCTTCTTTACTTTAGGCAGAAGTAAAATATTCGAATTTCTTTACATATGATTCACAGTTTGGCCAAAGGATGAAATGATAAAAGAAGACAAAACACTACATTGGACAAAACAGATGTTATATTTATCTTCACCTCCATGATGAACATCAATTAGTAGTTAAATGCCATGACAACTACGGACACACATTCGACTGGAAAAGTGGGGAAATGTTGGATAGAGGTAACTTCGAAAACATCAGAGAATTTTTAGAAGCTTAACACTCAGGTCAATCAGCAATCAACAACCACATTGAAGTCGATCCAATTTATCAATCAATCAGGGAAATTATGCACAAATATAGGACCGAAAATCAAACCAATGGGAGATACAACCAAAACAAAGAAGTAAACAATGACAAGTTCAAGGTCAACAAGAACTAATTTGAATATCGAGGTGTACAGGATACGCTGTGAAGTACATGTGAAGAAGTTCGAACATTTCATGTCTACTTGAATTTTGTGTTGATGATTGTCGTTCAGAAGAACGAATAAATCTCTACAACCAAACCATTCATCTCAGAGAACTAAACTCCATCAAGATCATCTATCTGAGCTACAAATCTTCTTCATCATCTTGAGTAACCATCTTGGTAGATTTAAAAATGAATATCAGTAAAACTCTAATTAAGATTAGACAAGAAAAAGAACTTTCGCTTTCGAGACCAAATGTCTTAGGTTCGAGTCCCACGCACGTCATCGTAAATGTGCACTTCTGAGAAACCCTGCGCTAGAACATTGATCGGTTCATTATCTTAAATAAAACTCAATAATCTCCACTACTCTATACAGAGTCAAAAGACATAATGTTGTAATTATTATTGACCATATGAAATCATCTTTAGTTTGATCAATTCTTATAGTGGTTATTAGACATTTGTAATTTTCCATAGTGTACATTTTATGATTCACAACCTATTCAATGTTGTTTGTATGATTTCTTGAAGTTGTTTTCCTACATCTTTATATCTTCAGTACAGTAAAACAATCCATATTTGAACTATTTATTTAAGTAAATTACATTCTAATGAATTAATCATGTATTACACTTCAAATAGAGTTCACATTAACACCACAGAAGATATTTAAGGTCGCTTGAAGTAATACTTCTAGATGTACAAACTCTTTCAAAGAAGAATGTATTTTAGTCATATAGATAAGTTTGTTTACTCAATGTTTTCAGATTCTAAAGTGAATAAACGGATTTCCAATTGAGGAACGTTCATTGATTACCCAAATATACATGTTTATTGTAAATTTTGTACTTTTGAATCGTGAATTCCATAACGTTGAATTAAAATACCTAGCCTTAGCCATGTTTGTAGATGCAGACTACTTGGCTGGAGTTTCCGCGACTATTATAACCGATGGTTGGAGACTCTGGGTGAAATGGCTCAGAATAGACCACAATGGCGTAGGTTTATACATTCTCTGTCTTCCCTTAAACTATGAGATTAAAATCGCTTCATATCTTTCTTTCTATGTACTAAATCTTTCTTCCTGTACTATATCCTTTCTTTTATATATTACCACTATTGACTTAACCACTCCTATGAATCCGATGTTCATCTTGTTGTGCTAATGTGGTATGGCAAGTTGGACCGATGCATATATGTGCCTGTTCCTACGTTGTAGCTGATTGACTGACTGACCGATAATAGCCCATATATCTTTATTCTAGCTTTCGGACATTTCATTCTATTCATTCTACTCGAGCCATATACTTTGACCTTGTCAATTATTCGATTGTCGGTCTTGACTGTTTTTATATGAGCGTATATGTGTGTGCCCTTCTTATCCCATTAACCACATGTCTGTAGCTTTATTTTGTCTGACTATAAATATTGAGTAACGCTTAACTAAAATGGATTTGGCTTCCCAGGCATTTTCCCTGCGTGTTATTTTGCTCTGCTCTGTTTCATTCGCTTCATATACAAAATATATGTATTCTGAAGTCAATTCTCGTTATTTGACTTATTTAATTCCGTTATTGACTAACGCGATTTAAGTCGACGATTATATACGAGAATAGGCGGTAACAAACATTCGTACGATCTAAATAGGAGTCAGATCCTGGGGCCACAAAATCCCTACAAGTAATTAAACAAAGTAAGAGTTTAATTTAATATTCTCATCACAAAATCACACTAGTTATCATACAAGAATACTTTGTAGCTATATAGATTAGTCACTCAAACAAAAATTCGAAAAGCTAACTTAAATTCCTATCACAAATCATTTATCCATTTGTATTGTATTTTGTTAGTTGAACGGGTTAAAAGTTGTCAAGGTTACCTGAAGTCACTTAAACCCATCTTCGTAGTTCAGCCTCACTATTCGTTCTTCCATACGTAAACATCGATTACTGATTGGTTGAAACGGTGTTCGTCATTACAATGTACTTTAGACGCTAAACTTCATCAAATCTCGTACGATAAATTTCAATGATGGGTACATTTAAATCCCAATATAATATTTATACTGATTGATGATTTTATCTAATTGTATGCTTTTTAAATTTATAATTTATTGATCTTTAGCGTACTTCAACCCAACCTACTCATCAGTTGACGTTAAAAATTGAAGAACTTCATAAAGAACTGGAACGTAAGGAAGCTCAGGTGAATGTTTATTAATTTGTATTTTTGTTTGTTTCAAGTATTTTCATTTGTTGCAATCGCTTTTTTATGAAGCAGCTCAATAGATACCGACTCAATGAAATACTTAAAATACTTCCAAATATATGGTGAAAAGACGGAGTTGATAAAACGCCTCTTGAGTAATCAAGTCGTACATTGATTTTATTAATGATTTTCAAATCAACTCGGTTTTCCTGTCACTTTTAATGAATTAGTTGTCAATTTTCTTTAATCTGTAAGTTATACCTCTAATATTAGACAGTTAGGGAAAATTAACAGAAAGCAATAAGCAACAATCTACTTGGGAGAGAACAATGCAGATCCCAACAGAGGAAGAAATCAGAAAGAAGAGCTGGGAGTGGATAGGACACACATTGAGAAAAGCACCGAACTGCGTCACCAGGCATGTCCTCACTTGGAATCCTCAAGGTCAAAGGAGAAGTTGAAGACCAAAGAAAACATCACGTCGAGAAACGAAGACAGATAGAAGAAGAATGAACAAGAATTGGATGGAACTAGAAAGAAAGGCTGAGGACAGCGTGTGTTGAAGAATGCTGGTTGGCAGCCTATGCTCCATTAGGAGTCACAGGCGTAACTAACTAACTAATAAGCCCGTGTTTTATTCTAGTTGGCTCTCATCAGTAGGGTGTATATGAAATCTTGAACATACTAATGTATCATCACAGAAGATTGGAACAGATGTCACTATTTCGGTCAAGTATTTTCCCATTTATAAATTGTAAACAATCAAATAAGTGATAAATTAAGGAATATAGTGATATTATCATTACCTAATATGTCTATGCTGCAACTGACATGTGACCTCATAGCTTTTCAGTCATAAGGATATGTTCTCATACATGTGAATAATTACATAGAAACTATAATGTTAACCCTTTAGTTCATCTATTCAAATGAGATCTTTCAGAAGAAACTTATCTGAATTGAAGACGCATTATCTGTAATGATTTTAATCTAAATACTGATTCTTATGTAAAAGAATCCAACAGATAGATTTGAGACGTACAACTTTTGATAATCAATTAAAACATGTCTATCGACTATAGTACAAGTAGTCAATAAGTTTTATTGTTTTAAATTGTCATATTAGTAAGTGATAGACATCATCCAGAAGATACAGGTGTTTATTAACAGCTGTCTACGCAAAATACTTCGAATTCGTTGGTCAGACACTATCAGCAACAACCTACGGTGGGAGAGAACAAACCAGATTCCAGTGGAGGAAGGAATTAAGAAGAAGCGCTGGAAGTGGATAGGACACACATTCAGGAAAGCACTGAACTGCGTCACCAGGCAAGTCCTCACATAGAATCCTCAAGGCGTGAGAAGACGTTGAAGACTAAGGAACACATCACGTCGAGAAATGAAGACAGACATGAGAAGAATGAACAACCATTGGATGAAACTAGAAAGAAAGGCTGAGAATATAGTGTGTTGGAGAACATTAGTCGGTGGCCTATGCTCCTTTAGAAGTAACAGGCGTAAGTAAGCCTTCGATTGGTACTCCAAATGAAATCATTCCTCAACAAATATAACTTATCAATGGAAATGTATCATAATTATTTAATAAGATACTCAAATGTATTATTATTCACGTGAACTTCTTTTATTTATAGATTACATGCTTGAATAAACAGATAGATCGTCAATATACATCATTATCGACTACACCAGATGCACGTCATACTGATTCCACTAATCAACAATTATTAATAGCTGATTTACAAGTTCGTCTTCGTCAAGCTATTGAAGATCGTGATATTGCACGTGAACAATTGACAACTAATTTAACTAGAGCTGAAACGTCTACACTGGATATACAACAACAATATATGTTGGATAAAGTAAGCATCGATATATATATGTTGATACATTTCTTTAAATAGAAAGTTACTTCAGTAAATTTTCAAGGTTATTTTACGGCAATAACTGAACATATAAATTGGTCTTTCGCATACATTTATTAAGTAATTTAAGTTCCTCGAAGACATTTTGTTGAGGTTGGCTTAATTTGTAAGTTATATTCATCATATACTGATCTCGGTTGAGATTACCGGGATAACATTGGACAATCGTTTCATCATTGTATGGGACTTTTTGTCAGTGAACATCCAGAACTCTTTAAGCATAAAAATCAAGACAAACTGCAATGTATAGTAAGAAGTCATGACTGACGAAGTTCACATATGTCAAGAATAAAACAGTTGTAATCGATAGAATTGAACAATTGTTAACCAAACTATGGCAATGGCTTTGTTGTGTAAACAATCGCTACAATTCCTAAAAGTTTACTTTCATTTGAAAATAGTTATCATCACAGGTGAATTTTAGCTGACTAGTCATAGATAAGGAGAAGATTATGATTAGTTGTTTTATCCTAGTGTTAGATAGATTAACAGTAAAGTACACTCGTGTTCACATCTAAAATCACAACTAGGACTTTATATTCACATAATGAACCCCTCAAATTTCCTATCACTTTATTAGGATTTCTTGAATCACATATGCAGTCATTTACTTCATGAACTAGTTACATTTGAGTCATTGAGTTTTAGTACAAAATAATCAAAATTATAGGACCTTAGTTAGTCAGTCAGTCAGTCAGTAACAACGTAGAACTTCGTACGTACGTACATCAGTTCGAGTCGCCACACCACATTAGCACAGACATGCAGTTGTCGACTCAAATTCCGTAGTGGTAGGGGTAGTAAGAGTATAAGCAGTAATCGGAAACATTAGTTAGTTAGTTACTCAGTTAGTTAGACTGTAACACTAAAAACTTGTTATTATTCTTCAGCCTTGGTATAGAAAATACGGTGAGATTATAGTTTATTGACGATCTTTGAGCGACGCTAGGCTGACCTTGAGAGTATCTACCTAATAACTAGGACTAAATGAAGGTTATAAACTTGTATTAACAATTCACAGTTGATGGTTAGGGTTAGGAATTACATTTAGGGATTTCATCACTAAATGACATCAGCTATAATGCCAAAACTGTATTTAGCCAAATGGATGAGTGAATTTCGCATCAAACTCCGAGACCTGTTATCTTATACATGATTTGTTCGTCCATAAATTATAGTTTCGCCGAAAATACCATAACATGTTTCGTTATATGTATTTTAATATACTTCTTATAGTGGATGAATTAAGACGTTAATGTGTATCTACTGGTTGTTTGTTTTGAAAATAGATTCTTTTATCAACTGTCATCAACTTGAGGTTCAGTGATGATAAAAAGAAGACATTATCGACCAGTTCTTCATATTTTGCAATGAATAATACAAACTCACAGCAACATAAGATTATTTCATGAAACTTCAGACTTAAGAGTAAACATGGTGACATATAATCACTGCTGGCATTATCAATGATTTCGATCAAATCGAGTTGATTAACTTAACTATGAAGCTATCTTTCTTACAATAGGTCAGAGATGGGTTCATAACCTACTTACTTATGCCTGTTACCTTTCGTCGAGGAGCATGGGCCCGTCCACTAGCATTTTCCAGCCAACCTTGTCCCAGGCAATCCTTTCCAGTAGCTATTTATCCTTTTCATCTTTGCTTCCATTTCCCGATATAGTGTATTCTTTAGCTTTCTTCTTTTCCGTTTGCCGTCAGGATTCCGAATTAGTGTTTGACCTGTGATACAGTTTAGTGATTAGATAGGTTCATTATTCAAGCTAAATATAATCGATATCTAACTGAAACTGTTGTTGTTCCAATATTCAATTCCTAACAATCTAGTACAATTAATGAAAAGACATCATTTCCTTATTTACCTTTTTTCTAGCAAAATTTACAACAACAAATTACAAATTTAACACAATCCGTACAAAATGCTACAAATGAATCAGAACGCTATCAAAGAGAATTCAAACAAGCTAGTTCACGTGTTCAACAACTTAGTCGTCAATTACAAGAAACACAATCAAACTGTGATTCAATTGCTCGACAAAGAGATAGTTTAAGAGATCAATTAGATCAGGTAACATTATTATTATTTCTCTTACATAACTAAATTATTACATTGTAGTGTCGGTTATTATGTTAAGCCCATATACCTTATTCTAGCTTTCGGATAGCCCATTCTATTCATCCTACTTGAGTCACATCCTGACCTTGTTAATTATTCACTTATCAACATTGACTGTTTTTATATGAGCGCATATGTGTGTGTACACTTCTTATCCCATTACTCATCAAACGTCTGTAACCTATTTTTGTGTGACTATAAATATTGATTAACACTTGATTAATTGGAGTTGGCTTACCCTCCATCTCCAGTGCGCGTCGTTTCTCTTCTCTCTATTCCTTTCGTTTCATATACAAAATATATGTATTCAATAATCCATTCTTGTTATTCAACAACGATCACTCATACGATCTACTTGGAATCAGATCCACGGGCCACTAAAGTGGAGAGCCCATCAACAAACATCGTCCGATCTAAATGACGACAATAAAAAAGGGCCCCACAACATGATCTCTAAGTTATAATGAAACAAGCGTTTAACTTGACAATATGTTAACAACTTTTCAAACATATTGGGATACTACTGTTTGAATTTTATCTTAATCAATTGAAATACAACCTATTTGTAATAGGACCTAAAAGAAAGTTGGTCTAAATATGTAAAAAAATTACTATATATATTAGCACATAAAAGGATGCAACTTTTTAAATTCACTTCGTATTGTTTACTTGTATCTTCTTATTGTTATTTAGGACTGTAGTCTCTTACTGGCATATGTGCATGTTGTGTGGATTGCCTCGATATTGCCTTAATTCACAAGCATTATAACGACGCATATTCAGCTGACGAGTCTCAGATAGGACGAAACGTGCGTTCTGAATTCCACTGCTAGCCACTGTCCATCTCTATTTATAATGCTTGAGAAGTAAGGCAATATCAAGACAATACGCATAGTATGAACATATACCAATAAGGGACTGATCAATTGCAGTCCTAAATATCAATGGGAAGATTCAATTAAACAATACTAAGTTAATTTAAACTTCACTCCATTGCACAAACAGGTGGCTATCAGGACTTGGTGGGTAAGTGAATAACGCGATGGTGTTTGAAGCGAACAGTACTGGATTGGAGTCCCAAAATGAACATGAACTCTGAGATGCAGGTAGATCGGGCTGACGAGTCCGACGTAGGACGAAATGCGCGTCCTGGATTCCACTGCTGACCACTATCCATCTTTGCTTATGGTACAACCTTTTGTTTAGTTATATTTCCACCAATGATCCATATCTATTGATAGTTATATGGATAATTAGAAAACTATAAGAACAATCAAGACAATTTATAAGTTACTTGATAGTAGGATGATAAGTAGGTCAAGACTTAAGGTGAGAAAAGGAAATAGATGAAGAGAAATGTATGAAACGTAATAAGAACTTTTAAGCTTCATTCCTCATGATTAATTATATAATATTGTGGTATGTGTGCTTCTTATATCAACATGAGTAGTATATAACGATGGTCAGGATTAGAATGTCTGGCAACAGAAAATCGAGAAGAAAAGAACGGGAACAGAAAGCAATTATTATGAAAGTACAAGAACAGTGAAGTCTGAGATGACTGACTGATATTTGCAAAAGAAACAGTGAAGTTTGAGACATTGGATCGACATTTTGCAAATGAAGTTTTCACTGTATAGTTCTCAGATCATAATAAGATGTTCTGTAATTTTGTATTCAATTACATTCGACTGTCCCCAGTTATGTTCTCATTTACTACAATATAATTAAATATGATTTGTTTTACAATACTGAAATGAGTATCATTATATTATTTAATTCATTTTAACTAAACAGTTAAAACGTAGTATGGGACGAACTGGTTCAGGTACAGTAACTAATATATTTGGAATAAGTAGTTCAACTAGTGGTATGCGTCCAGCATCTGCTGGTCCTGGAAATTATGATAATATTCCATTATATGGAACAACACCTGGAACAATTCAACTTTCTAGAGAAATGGATCGTTTACATAGAGAATGTGAACATTTACAAAATCAATTAAGAACTAGTCAAGAATCAGAACAAGAAGCTCATAATTTAGTTGATAATTTAAAAAATGATATAAAGAATCTTACAAATGATGTTGAACAATTCAAAGAACAAATTAAAGAATTAGAAAAACAAAAAAATGAATGTAACAATGAATTAGTAAGTGCATTTTTAATTGAAACATTTAGGTTATTTATTATATTTATTTTAATATCAGATGAGTTTTTTTGTGGAGATTGTAGTAATTTCAATGGTTAAGATCATTAGTCAGTTAAAGCTAGACCAATGATGAATGGGTCGCTCAATTTCGTGGATTAGCTGAAGTTAGACATTAACACCGTTGGATGCTGGCCGGCTCAGTGATCTAGTGGTTAAGTGCTCGCGCGCGAAACCAGTAGGTCTTGTGTTCGAATCTCGCACGGGGCGAGGTCGTGGATGCGCACTGCTGAAGAGTCCCACAATAGGACGAGACGGCCGTCCAGTGCTTCCAGGTTTTCCATGGTGGTCTGACTTCAACTGACTCATGATCTTAACCATTGAAATTACTACAATCTCCACAAAAAAAACCCATCTGATATTAATCAACATATGCTCATTAGTGACTGGCTTCAGGAGGTATATCCTGGAGTTCTAGCGAGAAGTAGTGACCAGTGGAGTTCAACCAGGTCTGTTGTGAGATAGTAACTCACTGAAGACAATAGTGAAAATATTTATTTTATTTGAACACATAAACAATGATACAAAGGGGCATCAAAATAGATATACGATACATGAATCAAATCGAAACAAGTGGTCTTCTTATGGGGGCTATTGTGACTGGAAATTGGATCGATTTTTACCCCGTGCCAATTGTTGTGTCCTTGGCTGAAACATTAGAGAGCAGTTTATTATCGATCAGACCAAAGACGCGTAAAACACATAAGAACGACCTAGAGTTCTGATTATCTCTGCTTCACTGTCTAGCCCAGCCAGTTGAGTCCAGAATGCAAGTCTCAACCTCTGAGATATGAATCATTATCTTTCAAGCATACTCTGTTTATATACCAATCAACACGACCACAACGTACCAATAAAATAGAAAATAACATTTGTACAATAATTAACCAGAAGTTGCTATGAATGAGGGAGGTAGCGATTAACAGAAAGGGTATAATTCATGAATAATGAATCGTACGATAGTAGTTCATAGGTCAACATAAAGCTCAGAATAAGTGGGGTATGAATATGAACAGTTTAGTTGCATAACAATTATACGATAAAAATATACTCATAATATTGGTTCATAATTGGATCCCAAAGATTTCCATTCATTATTCTTATCGGGACACAACAGAGGCCACACCTGGAACCTTTGATTTAAAGGTCTAATCCACAAGGTAGTGGAGCAACATCAGGAGATGTAGTTCCATGGTAGCCGGTGACCAATAATTGGTTCATATGCCATTTGTTCCTTCAGGATGGTGGAGCCTATGTGGACCATTGGTTTGGAATCAGGGTTTTCCAACTCCCCCTTAGATGGATTCTCCATTCCACCAATTCGGTTAGAGCACCGGACATTCGATTTAGTCTTCTCAGTGTCGTAAACAACATCGCTGGTGCGAGAAGGCAGTGAGTAGGACTTTCCTGTTAGTGGTTGTATGCACGTGGCCATGTGAGAGCATTTCGAGAGTGTGGCTGACTCTCACTACTCTCGGCCGTATCAGGACATTTGAGGGCTTGGAAAAGCATTCATCTGAAACATTGAGGTTAACCTGAGAAAAAAAAACTAAATAAATGGTCAATAATACTATGATGAAGTCATTCTCATTTCTAATTAGGCTAATCCATTTGAATCAGACGGATTAAAAAATGCATTATTACAATGTAATGACATCTGATATCTTTTGAACTTGATACTGTTTAATAAAACGTAGTGAATCTAAATAATAAACGATCTGTGGTGGTCGGTATTCAATATAATCCTTAAACTTCGTATAAAGTTCGTCTTGATAACCATCACTAGATGACGCCCCAACGATATATTAATTAGAAGGCGAATACGGAGTGTTGATTACGTTTATTATGTGACCACACACAGATATCTAAAATTACAGGTGCGTTAAACAAGCATGAAAGAGTTGTGCCGAAAACCAAGCGAGTGAGTCAGCGAATATGAGTACGAGTAAGCGAATACACTTGAGCGAGAAAGAGCAATGAACATGAATAACATGGACATATATACACATAGTGAAATGAATGAATCATCGAATCAATTTAGCGGTTAGTAGTAAGGCTAGTAGCGTGAATAAATGCGTGGGCAAGATGCAATGCTCAAGCATACACGTTCATACATTCTCAACAATAAAAAAGATACAATGTAATAGATAAGTTGTTGTTGTTGTACGGATGACTCAGTTCGTTAATAAGTTAACAAAATGACTTAACCAAATTAAATGTGAACAGACTCAATTGCACGTGAGTTGCTATAGCTCCAATAAGAAGTATGTAATATCTACCTCTCAAAAGATGGGCATAATGTTCACCAATTCTCATTGTATGACTTTGTAACCATGATATACAGTTTTTTCATTAGTTGAAGAAATAAATGGGTTGATAGTATGCCACCATGAATGTTTTGAAAGTCTTAGCAGAATATCGTGAAACGAATGAGTGTTTGATCCTGAAGTTGAGTAAACCAGTGAATGATCTTGTCAACTTAGATTGATTGTGTTGATTGGGACAGGTGTTGTAGTAGCGTAAGCAAAGCTAGAGGTGAATACTTCAAAAATTACTTCTCATCCACTTGCAGCATTTCTTGTTGTACATTTATTCAAGCAACTCTATTCGATAAATGCATCATTTTAACCCAATCAGGTATTTTGTAACACATGAAATATACTCATCCTCAATCACTCTCGTATTCAACTTTGTATATGTAAGTTACATTACCGTGATGAAACGATAGAATTTATGCAAACTAAATAATGTGGTATATTTCATCATCTTTAACATATTGAGATCAAGGTAGTACATCAAATCAAGTTACATAACATGACTATGAGATTAAAATTGCTGCATATCTTTCTTTCTACGGACTAATTCTCTCTTCCTGTACTATATCCTTATATGCAATCTTTCTTCTATATATTACCACCATTGAATTAACCACTTCTATGAGTCCGGTGTTCATCTTGTTGTGCTAATGCAGTACGGCAGGTCGAACCGATGCACATATGTACCTGATCCTTCGTTGTAGCTAACTGACTGACTAGCTGACATAACATGAGATTGAGTAGTTCCAGAAAATATAGACTTTTAAGTTGGGATAGCCAATATTACCTTTCTAGAAACTGGTGTGATGTAACTGGCAATCGATTGCAGTGATACCAACATATTCATTCGTTATTTCTTTCTCTCTCTCCCTCTGTGTGTGTGTCTGTCTCCAGAAGGTTCTTGTGAATATAATCGTCTAAATCCCATTCCTAAGTATAGATACACTCTAAAGAATATATATTCTGATTAATGTTTGATCGCCTACTATATAACAATATATGCATAAAAATACTTATAAATTGCATTCATCTTGTTTATGTGATCTTCTTTAGATCAAGACTCAACGCGAACTTCAAACGAAATCGGATGAAGCAAAAGATAAACTGACCCATACACAACAACTGTTGATTGAGAAAACAAGTCAGGTGATTTTTTTCAAAGACTTATAATACATTTTCTTTTGGTTAGATTATCATCTATCGAAATAACTAACAATCTAATTTATTGTAAATAAAAATTTATTCATTATTCATGTTATCATACATTTAGTTTCCAAGTGGAGTTTTGTTCACTGAGCTGGTTGGTTTGATCATGGAGCTTTCATTGTTCTTCTGAACGACGTCATCAGGTAGAAGTGAAGTGTTCCAATTTCTGCACATATAACTTCCAGTTTGTCCCATAAACCTTGATCTTAACTAGTTATTATTGGCTTTTAACCTGTCACTATACACCTCTTTATTTTGATTGTATCTTTCTTTGGTTTGATTCTTGGTCCATTATTTGTCCATGATTTTTCTGATTGGTTGATAGATTGGATCAATATCAATGTGTTTGTTGATTTCTGAGTGAACTGAGTGCTGAGCTTCTCTGGTGCTTTTAGTATTCCCACTATTCAAGATCTTAACATTTTTCCAGTTGAATTTGTGTCCATAGCTGTGAGTTACATGTAGAAAAACTCGAACATTTCAATTCTATGTGAAGTTTGTGCTGATGATATTGTTTGGAAGAACAATAAAAACTCTACGATCAAACCATCGAACCCAGAGAACAAAAATTCACCTAAATCATCCAACTGAGCTACAAATCTTCCCCACCATTTTAACATTTTACTTCTATTTTTTCTGGTTAGCTTTTTTTGGCGAGTTAGTTTTCTACGGGATGGGGTCGCTAACCCCATGCCCAACCCTCCTCCTTTATCTGAGCGTGAGACCGGCAGTAGCCCCCTGAGGAACTCCAGGCGGAGTTATTTTACTTCTATACTCATCAACAATTAATTACGTAACACTTTTTACTATACATTACCATAATGATCAATTTCCTATATCTTATTCTAAATCGCTCTTAAAACTACCAATTAAAAAGCTAGAAAGACTAAATGAACAGCATGCACTACTCTGTAATCACCAGAATTTTAAATCTTGGTGACCCTAGTATCTATACAATACGAGACTATGATAGGACATAAATAACAAATTCTAATGTGTATTAAATAGACAAGTAGGTTTATTATTAATGTAATGTAATTCTTAAATGAAAAAAAACTATGAAAACAGTTAACAGGTCAGATAGAAGTTAACAATCAGGAAAAATATCTGAATATCATAAGTTACATACTATAATATACCCTTATAGGCCAGGGTAATTTTACATTACACCATCTAAAATTTCATGTGACAACCCAAACAGTACGGCTCAATCCTGATTGCATGAGAGCCAGACACTATCCAGGCTAAAAATTTATAATCCGAACAGTACAGCTGAACCCCGCTTCACGGGAGAGTCAGATACCAAATAGGCTCAATCCTGTAGCGCAACCATACGGGTACACAGCACAAAGGTGGACCATGAATATCATAAACTAACCAAATAATAAATATGTATTGTAAACATATTATTTGATGGTGCTTCCAAAGTTTTCTATTTTGATTTATTTGACCATTTACTGGAGTTCATGAACAATATAACATTCATGATCATAGATCATTTTCAACAAACAGAATATCCACAAAGAACCCCTTCTGATATTATTCAACATATGCTCACAAGCGACTAGCTTCAATAGGTATTTTCTGGAGTTCTAGTGAGAAGCAGTGACCAGTAGAGTACAACTGGGTTTGTTGTGATATAGTAACTCACTGAAGACAGTGGTGAATGTGTCGATCAATTTAATGGATTAGCTGAAGTTAGACATTAACATTGTTAAATGCCGGTCAGCTGAGTGGTCTAGAGGTCCTGGGTTGGAATCTCGCAAGACGGGATCGTGGATGCGCACTGCTGAGAAGTACCATAGTAGGACAAAACGGCCGTTCAATGCTTTCAGCTATCTAGGTTCAATTAACTCATGATCTCATATATTAGGAAAAAAACAGAATAACATTTGATGGATGAACCAGATACTATTGATTTACAATCAACAGTTTCAATTATTACAGATCTTTCTATTACAAAATAACCTTCATTCATTTTCTTCTTAGAATTTTCACCTATTAAGTGTTTACTCTTTCCTGTTTCTTTCCTTTTAAAAAAAAAAATACAATTTAGCTTGAAAATGCAGTGAATCAACTGAACAATGTACGACAATATTGTTCAGAACTTGAACAACGTATCAATGAAATGTCACAACGACTAAATATGGCAGAATCACATGTAAATATATAAGGAAATGTTGTTTGTTTTTCTTTCTTAAAGGTTTTGCATAATAATTTATACTTATATTCATTAAGAGATATATTCGTTAGGCTGTTAGACAGCTTAGATCATATTAGATAGAATAAGTTTGTACTTTTCAATTGAATCTTACGACAAGTTAGTGATATGATGAGTTTATCGGCAGTAATGTTTTTGCTATGGTGATGTTTACTGTAGCTTGAGCAATACTACGCTTATTTGACTGATCATCAGATCGGCGAGATTATAATTTATGGACGAATCAATAAGATATGTTACAGCATCAATTTCAGTGTCCGATGCTCACGTACGATCAGTTTACAGCGGATTTTAGAGAAGACAGTATGATTTAGCGGCTACAGCATATGGGGCTACCAAGAAGTTTCTTTATTTGTGACAGCAGTAATCAAATGACTACTGTACCATGCGCAGACTACCGTGATGTGGTTGTCTTTCGATGTTATTTATGTTGGGGGAAAAGGTCTTTTAGGGCAGGATCTTTTTTAGTACGATCCAGATTGAGACTAAGGCAAATCATCATAATTGTTGTGAATTGAATAGTAGAAGCATCAATCACACTAGCTGCAATCATTGCAGATGTTACTGAAGCTTCGACAGGACAATGTACGAGTATTGTCGTGATATATGTGCAATAAAAATGACAGGCTTAATCGAGTCGTTTAGGGGAGTCGGGAGAATCGTTGAAATGGACGAAACAGTAGTTAGGAAACGAAAATTGAACAGAGAACGCAGTATTAAAGAAGACTAGATAAGTAGCACTTCCATAAATATCCCTCACAGGTCCTTGAAATATACGATAGGTCATCCGAAAAGAGACACTTCCAACGGGTTAGAAACCGCTTCGGTTTGGGCACTCGGGGCAGTATCCCAGCCCTCACATAAATCATTCGATTTATGTGGCTTATATCTATTTGGTGCCTCCTTGCATGTTTACGGTTAGAAACCGACAGGCAACGACAATAAAACCAATTATACGGGAATATGTGCAGTTAGGCACTATATTGTATACAGATGATTGGAGAGCGTACAGATGCCTATATAGACTTGATTATGTGTATCATGTCGTTATGCACAAGCGCAATTTTGTTGACCCTACAGCCGGAATTCACACTAACAATGTTGAAGGTATATAGTTGAGGTTAAAAGAGTTTTTGCGACCTTATCATGACTCAAGAGGCTATTTATTATGAAGCCATATTGGTGATTTCCTCTACCGTATGCATTACGGTTTTAGAACCTCTGAACCTCCTTCTAACTTTGATACGTTTTTTGAATTGTATCTACGTTAATTCTTTGGTTTTATATAATATATTTTTGCTCTATGCTAACTGCTTTCTGATTGGCTAATATCATTCAAGGTCATTCAAGATTCGTTCAAAGGTCGTTCATAAATTATAGTCTTGCGCTGATGGGTATCTAGAATCTTGATGGAACTGAATCTGCCTGTAGTGTTCGAAATCCTGTCACCCATTTTCCCGTTTTTAGGCGTCAACACAGAGTTATTCAGAACATAGAGAAAGTTTGTTCATTCAACATACCAAGCACACCCTAATGATAAACGCCAACTAACACGAAACCTAAATCCAAGATTTCCTGTCAACTAACTTCAAACATCGAATAGTAAAGATTCTCTTAGTCACTGGTATAATTATCCAAAGTATTTATTTTCACAAAACATGTTGTTCACCAGTAAGCTTATAGAGGTATTTCAAAAGTCTTATTCTTTTAGAATTTTATACCAATAAAAAAGGCTAAATGATTAAGCTAATCAGATCTGAAAATGCAACAACTTCAAAATCTTTCGTAAGAGAACAAGCTTTAAAAAGAAGTTAATCTGTTCTGATCAAGTAGATTCAGCGATTTCTATAATCAAATGGAGGTTAGATTTCATCACCGGTCGATTTTGACACAACATTAAAATGGATATTCCGTTAATTTGTTTAGGATCTTCAGATATTAGTTTGTTTACAGACTGATTCAATAACTTGAAGAGGTTACGATATCAGACGAATCAGACAGCATGTTCTTTCGTGTATCATATCCAAAATAAAACAAAGAGATAGGAAGAGGATAAGAAGTGAAATCATTAATATATTTAATTATAGACACAAAACGATCAATATGAGATTACTAAGGAGATTATCTGGGGATGATAATGGAGCATCTCAAATGATCACTATCCCCTCTTTGACTTAAACATTCATCTTGGCATAAAACTGAAAGAAATTTCTAAACCATAAATAAATAATGTTTAATTCAAAATAAATAAAATTATGAAATGAACATATGCTCATTAGTGACTGACTTGAACAGGTATTTCCTGGAGTTCTAGTGAGAAGCAGTGATCAGTGGAGTTCAACCGGGTCTGTTTTGTAGATAATAGTAACTCACTGATGACAATGATGGATATTTCAATCAATTTCGTAGATTGGTTGAAATTAGACATTAGCACCGTTTGATGCTGGCTAGCTCTGTGGTCTAGTGGTTAAGCGTTCGTGTGCGAGACTGATAGGTCCTGTGTTCGAATCCCGTGAGTCAGGATCGTGGATGCGCATTGCTGAGGGGTCCTAAGATAGTAAGAAACGGCCATCCTGTGCATCCAAGTTTTGCATAGTGTTCTAGCTTCAATTGACTCATGATTTTAACTATTGAAATGAAATATTCCTTATAAATAAATTTACTACCAGTTCTATTCATGAATAAATGAGGAGTTTTTTTTAATATGGTGGTTGGAGGTAGTCAACAGGAAACCATGGACTCGGGTTTCGTGCTATTTGGCACTCGCTAGCAAGGTGTACCTGTAATCGTTAGGGAACTGGTGCTCCTTGATGGATTCATAATATGATAGTATTATGTTGTTACTTTTCATCGCTTAACGTTGTGTTTTTAATTTTCACAAAAGACTCAACAACAAGCAGATGAATTAAAACGTTGTCAACAACTAGAATTTGAATGTAATCAATTACGTAATGAAATGAAGGCTAGTCATAATGAAGTGAGTTGACTTATCGTAATTATCTGTATTTACTTTCATGATATTTATGATGTGTTTTTAATGGCTCTTTATCTGACTCCAATTGGATAGTATCAATGTTATTAAAATATACATGTCTTCTATCGTCGTACATATTTATCGACTTGACTCGCGCTAGTTTATAACGGAATTGAAATAAGTCTGAGGAATGAAGCAAAGAGAAGATAGCGAAGCGAGATGACGCTCAGTGGAGAATGCATGTGAGCCAACTATTTCTTAATGAAGCCTTAATCATTATTTATAGTCACACAAAAATAAACTACAGACATGTGATGAGTAGAATAATATGTTAACACATATACGCTCATATAAAAACAGTCAAGCTTGATAAGTGAACAGTTAGCAAGGTCAAAACGTGACTCAAGAAGAATGGATAAATTGACCTGTCCAGAAGTTTAGAATAAGATATATGAGCTGGACATAGCAACTGATACTACATGTTTAAATATCATTACAGTAATTTGACGGTGGGCTTCAGTTCTTCCAAGTTCGCAAATGTAAACATGCGTTAAGTTCAATCCCAGACCATTCAGCAGCTATTTGTAAAATGTAGATGAGTAAGCAGTATCATATTTTAATGCCGAATATATATATATATATATATATATATATATATATATATATATTGTTGAAAATAACTATAACACGAAGGTCAAATTCACTTGATATTGCTTACATGAATCTTCCCATTGACGTTTAAGACTGTAATTGATCAATCTCTTATTGACATATGTACATACTGTGTATGTGTGAGTGAACATCAACTATGAGGTGCAGATAAGTTCAGTTGACGAGTCTGAAATAGTAAGAAACGCGCGTTATGGATTTCACTGCTAGTCACTATCCATCTTTGCTTATAGCATGAAAGGTCTATAATTTTTCCTAATTGTTCAATACAAACTTTGTTTCTATTCGATAGATATGTCAGTGTTGATATCATAATTAATACAATTCTAAGAAAATCTTACAGCTAAATAGGTTTAATCCAAAAGTGTGGTTAACTAAACAAAATAAACTGAATTTAACATTACTTGAGTTAAAGCATAAAACAAATATTTCAGTGAAGAATATGTTCTTAACCATTTCATTATCAAACAATCTACAATTGAGTCAATGGATATGGACAAATTAGTATGTTGATTAGCACGTATTGATCTGGTAGATGGAGTTAGCACTAGTGAATAAAGTAACAATCTAAGTGTGGAGTGCTTGAAGGTGGTAGTCACCAAAGAAGCCACATGAAAACGAAACAATTTATAAACTCTAGAGAGTATTAAATATTACGAAAGAAAGCTCAAGTGAATTTTTATTACTTCCAACCGTCTGTTACAATAATATTCAATTGGTGAAATTTTGTGACTACAGTTCTCTTATAGTTACACTTAGGTAACTTGTGGTTTAACAGAAGTATTTGTAGGAATCTACTTGACTGCATAATTTGCTCGACCATTATTAAACTACTCAAAACAAAAAATAGTAGTTTGCATTATAAAGTATATATAATTTTATTCACTTGGTATTGTTTGGCTTGTATCTTCCCATTGAGGTTTAGGACTGCAATTGATCAGTCTGTTATTGGCATATGTGCATATTGTGCGTATGCCTCGATATTGCTTTAATTCACAAGCTTTTTGTAAGCAATGATGGATAGTGGCTGTCAGTGGAATCCAGGACGCGCGTTTCGTCCTCAATAGGAAGATACAGGCCAAACAATACGAAATGAATTTAAACTTCACCCCATCTCATAAGCAAGTGGCTATCAGGACTCAGTAGCTAAGTGGATAACACGATGGCGTTTGAAGCGAATGCTACTGGCTTCGAGTCCCAGGGCGAACATCAACTCTGAGATGCAGGTACATCCATCCAGCTGACAAGTCCCAAATAGGACGTAACGCGCATCCTGGTTTCCATTGCTAACCACTATTCATCATTGCTTACAAAAAATATATGTAATTTTGGTTTCATTTCATTAATTGCTTTATTGTGCATAATTTTTTATTAGGTACAACACTTACAATTACAATTAGATCAATTAAATAGAGAATATCAAAATCAAGGAAGAAGAATAGAACAAATGACTATTGAATTAAGTACATCACAAGCGAATACAAATCAAATGAAACAAGAATTACAATTATATAAAGAACGTAATAAAGAACTTGAAATAAAAATTACTGATACACATGAAACAATAAAAGAATCAGAAAGTGAAACGTTGAATATTTTACGTGCGGAATTAAAAGATTCTCAAGTGATTAAACAACGATTTGAAGAAAGAATAAATTCATTACAAGAAGATTTAAGGCATACACAACAAGAATTAGATGAAAAAACTAGAGCATTAGATGTATTGGAAAATACTCATGTAAGTTTCTTTTTTAGGTGATTTGTAAGTGATATACTTAATAGTAAACTGACATGTTAAATAATCGTCTATCTTTGAAGTAGTTCACATTACAAATCTTTAAATAAGCTGTTGTAGATCACCAACGTTGATGATCTCTATCGACTGATTAAAGGCCTACTGTAATCGGACGGGAATGATGTGATGAATTAGCTAACTTTGAAGTCACATCTTGCGGTCAGCATTTAATGTAGATTACCTTTCTGTCATATCAAAGTACAATGGCTGTTTTAAAAACCGTATAACACAAAGGACGTTATTACGGAAATATATGAGCAAGAATGAGTACAAAGATGGTGAATATGGTGCCACCTATGACCAGTTTATTGAAGGCACATAGGTTTGCAAATCTCTCACCATTCTCGTTTCTTTCTCCCAGTTCGTGTCGTCCCATGATGTCTTCATATCCAGTGTTGTCCGTTCCAACCTCGGCATTGAAATCTCCCATCAGAATGGTCAGGTCCTTTGTTAGGCACTTCTCGACGATTGACTGCAGCCTATTGTAGAATTGATCTTTAGCGTCTTCATTGTAGTCGTTGGTAGGCGCATAGCATTGGATGATGTTCATTGAAATGCCCTCTTTCTTTGTTTTAAACGAGGCTTTGATGACCCTTGGTTCATGAGATTCCCATCTTATAAGCTCATTTTGCGCTCGTTTGGACATCATCAATGCAACTCCTTGTGTATGTGGGGCATTTTGTTCTTCATGGTCGGAGTATAACAGAAGCTCTCCTGAAGCTAGTCGTTGTTGTCCAACGTGCGCCAATGTGTTTCACTGATCCCAAGCACCTCTACGTTGTATCTCCTCATTTCTGCAGCAATTTGGAAGACTCTCTCGGTGTCCCACATTGTACGAACATTCTATGTACCTAAATAAATGGTTGCTCTGGTTGTCAGAAGGGGCATCGGCCTCGTGACTTCCGAAGGAACTCGGCTTTCATCATGAGGCGTCATAGTTCTTCTAAATGAAGACCTTCTGACTCCCAGGGCAGAGTTTAAAAGGTTTGAATAAGTTTTTCTGGTTAGCGTTTTTTTAGCGAGTTAGTTTTCTACGGCATGGGGACGCTAACCCCATGCCTAACCCTCCTATTTTATCCGGGTTTGGGACCAGCAGTAGCCCCCGGAGGGACTCCAGGTGGAGTTAATAAAACTTTAACAGAAGAATATTAATAACCTGAAAGCTTTCTTATGAATTTGAATAATGACCGACTTTCGAATTTGGCGGGGACATTCAGTTTGAAATCAGAAATATCAAGATGATTAAAACAAACCTATGTAGTTTATTTGTATTCGACTGATTAACCTGATGTAGTAAACAAGGTCATACAGAAAATAAATGGCGGGTTCTGTTGACGTGTAAATACACGAATTGGTCATGATCATTCGATTTATGTATTTATTTGATAAGAATGTTCACAATCATGATAATTAACATGTAATTTGTTCTTATGAGAATAAGATTTTGTATATCACATTACAAACTGACTATAGTTAAGAAGCCAAGGAGCATAGGACAGTTGTTAAGTCGTCATGTAAGGGGTTTCGGTAATCTACATAAACAACTTCTCCAGTCATTAAATACAGGGTGTTCATCTTTTTGACACTCTCGTTACCTTTTGATCAATGTCCTATTGGTGTAATATATCTCATTTCCATCATGACTAAACTCTCTTCATTACGATTTCAATAGTTGTTAACTGCAGATTTTAAAAAATTTCTACAATTCTTCTATGCTAACGAAATCTTTATAATTTTTTTATTTCAGCTTCGAAATCAATCTGAAGAAATAATCAATTTGCAGAAAGAGCTAAACAATGCACGTGTACAAATTGAAGAGCTTGGAGGTCCTATCGAACCAGGTTCTAAATTGAAAGGATCAGTGAGTAGTTATATTTGTCAAATAGTTTTCTTTATAGAAATTTATATCAAATGTAAGATAGATGATTAACAACACTGAATGAATTTTAAATCCGCAATTTTATGGATTGTATATATAATATGATGAGATTATTAGCAGAGTGTTTTATATGGGATTATTCAACGTTTAGTCTTCATTACGTCACCTATGGCGCAGGCGAGATATCTGTCTATCAATTAAGGGACGAGTATGCTGCACGGCAGTCCGTTCTGTTTGTATTTACGGCAGCGAAACATGGCCTTTAAGAGTAGAAGATACTCATAAGCTACTGGTACTCGTTCACAGATGCCTTAAAAATATCGCTGGCGTCTGCTGGGATCGCCGGGTAAGTAATAGTGAGGTTAGACGCAGGGTATTAGGGAATGATAGTAAATCAGTTGATGAGGTTGTGAATCTTCATTGACTGAGATGGTTGGGCCACATGTTGCGTATACCTGACCACCGATTACCACGACGCGCTATGTTGACTAGCGTTGGAGATGGTTGGAGGAAAGTTAGGGGCGGCCAAACCAAAACGCGGCATCGGCCATTGAAGTCACTAACTGCTAGTCTGAGCCATGTTCGTAGATGCAGACTACTTGGTTGGGGTCCGCGTGACTATCATAACCAATGGTTGGAGACACTTGGTGATATGGTTCAGAATCGATCACAATGGCGTAGGTGTATACACTCTCTGTCTTCCCTTAAACTAAGAGATTAAAATCGCTTTATATTTTTCTTTCTACGGACTAAATCTTTCTTCCTATTCTATATCCTTATATACAATCTTTCTTTTATATATTACCACCATTGACTTAACCACTCCTACGAATCCGATGTTCATCTTGTTGCGCTAATGAGGTGTGGCAACTTGTACCGATGCATCTATGTGCCTGTTCGTAGGTTGTAGCTGACTGATTGACTGACTGACTGACTGAGTTATTACAAGTTAATCTTGCCTAAAGAATCATAGAACTCTTCTTGGAATCCTACTTGGATTACTGCCAGCATGTGGGTAACAACCCCATTCTATGAAAATGCACTCTTTTAAGAAACTCTAACCAATCATAAAAAACTAAGAAGAATTATGATTATGATTATTATGCAATGAAACATCTTGTATACAGTTATATTTTACAATAATGATAAGTTCATTCTATGTTTTATTATACTATTTGTATTATATTCCATCTATTCAAATAGCCTCTAAAAGTGGAAATTGATACATTGAAAAAAGAAATTAGTAAACGTGAAGATGCAATTAATCGTATAGAAAAAGAATGTGTAGGTTAATTTCTTATGTATATATGTATTGAATGTTCGTTTTATAACATGGATTAGTATGTTTTGTCGTCGTCGTCGTCGTCATCATTGTCGTCGTCATCGTTGTTGTTGTTGTTGTTGGTGGTGGTGGTGGTGAAAGTCATGAATGTTCCAACCTAAGAACTGTATAATTCATTATTGTCATTTATAATTTAAACAATGAAAAATCTCTTTTTCAGTATCATCATCATCATCGTGAAAATGATTTGGTAGCTAATTAGTATGTATGTTAGTAGACAATTAGTAAAATATAAGGGAGGTATCGCATATTTACTGACGAAATAGATTTGAAAAAACGAGTCATTGTATTGACTCGAGAATCTACGGAAATATTGGGATCTAAATGTGTATAGATATAATAATTACTGGCTTACTTACTTAATTACTCGCTTACGTCTGTTACTCCCCCAGTGGGGGATAGGCCACCGACCAGCATTCCCCAACACACTCTGTCCTCAGCCTTTCTTTCTAGTCCTATCCAATTTTTGATCATTCTTTCCATGTCTGTCTCTATTTTTTGACGTAATGCGTTGTTTGGTCTTTCTCTTCTTCTTTGACCTTGAGGATTCTAAATGGGGGATTGCCTTGTGACGCAGTTGGGTAAAGATGTAATAATAATAATAATAAATATTATTATTACTATAAGCCAAGACGGATAATGGCTAGCAGTGGAATCCAGAATGCACGTTTCGTTCCATTTCAGAATCGTCAGCTGGATGTTGATGTTCATTCTCGTACTCGAACTCAGTACAGTTCATTTTAATTCTTTTCTTTGAATACCGTCATCTCTTGTCTACTATCGTATAACATAGTGTTTTAAGCCATTTTACACCATTTTTTTGAATACTCAGTTATGATAAGCTCATGGAAATTCATTACAATGTAAGTTAGCATGGCTGTATATTATTAGCATTTAGTAACCTTTAAATTACTTTCTCTACTTTGATTGGTTTGTCGTCATGATGACTAGCTATGATACGTATATATGATGAATTTATAAAATACAATTTTTCATTAGTACATTATACAGCATGTTTGTGAATTGAATGAATGGCAATGAATTTGAATGCACGCAAAAAAACGGCGGCCTGCTTGAATATCTGGGCTACCTGTTTCTGTCATCTAATTATTTCAACAAGTTATCTGTTTTTTTTCATTTTGTTTTAACGTCTCATTATGTCCATTAATCGCATAACCTATGCAAGCGCGTTTATGAAAAGCCTACGACATTGGCTGCAAAAGTTACAAAAAAGTACTATAAAAGACATCGTGGTGCTTGGCAATATGTGTTAAAAAGAATGACCATTAATCGTATGTCGATTCCAGAGCTGTTAAATTCTAACTGAAGATCACTAATCAATAAAGTGAACTATCTGCAATTCCTACCAAGTCAAAATATGTATCGTAATTGTGGTGTCATCACAATTCAAGAATCTTGGTTAAGTGATTTACAGGACGACTGCCTAGTATCACTACGTGATTTCAAAATTTATCGTCAGGATCGACCAAACAATAAAAAGAGTTGTGGCGGCGGTGAAGCTACGTTTGTAAACGTGAACTGGTGTCGATCTTCGTTTGCGTGTTTCAAGCTTTCAAATGACTTTATCGACTGTCTAACTCTAAGATGTCGTCCAAAACATCTGAATAAATACAAATATGTTTATGTTACCAATATCCAGACTGCACGTCATCTGCGTTATCTGTTTTCGCTGATGAGTTCACTGAGTTCGCTGTTACCGCCTTCAGTGATTCACTTTCAGTTGTATGTGGTGATTTCAATTCATGTGACTGTAGCTTCCTTACGTCACTAGGTCATCAAAATGTAGTAGATTTTCCTACCCGTCTCGATGCTCATTTAGACTTCGTTTTCATTAATGATGTGGGTATATATGCGACTCGTAAACGTGCTCCATTGTCTAGCTCGGATCACTGTATAATTCATGTTCTACCTAAATTATATGGAAAAGCATGGGAAGAGTACACTCTTACATCAAACCAAGAAAGTCAAATATAGGAATTACTCAGACGAAAGCATCCAAAATCTAACAAACATGTTTCATACGACTAACTGAGAAATATTTACAGATGACTCACTGGAAATCACTACCGATGTTATCACCTGTTACCTTAAATTCTGTTTTGATATTTGTTGTCTCACTGAAACAATTTTTGTAAGTTTTGATCAACTTACATCTTCACAACTAAAGCGACTACGGAGGGTGAAAGAAAGAATGTACAAGGAGAAAAACTCCAATGAAGTTCGTAAGCTAAATGGTCTGATAAACCTAGAGATTAGACGTCTCAACTGCATGTTTACTCAAAAACTCTTGTCTTGCAAAAACTTTCCAAGTATGTGGAAACTCTTTAAAGAACTTACAATAATAATTATTATTATTACAAATTAGACCATAATTATAAATTAACCTTAATACTTAAGTTATTCAAATGAATTTATTTTTATTTTATTATTGTTATACATTTTATTGATTAGCAAGAAAAGCATATACATCGTATTGAAACAATGCAATCACAATTACGTCGATTTGAAGAAGAAACTGCTAATTTAAATCAAGTTTTAGATGAACAAAGAGTTGGATTAGAAGAAAGAGATCGTGTTATTCGACAATTACGATCGGATCAAGTAAAAAATACAACTTTTGATTAATAACATTTTATAAACAAAGATGACTAGTGGCTAGCAGTAGAATCCAGTTTGAGACACGTTTCATCCTATTTGGGACTGGTCAGCTGAATGTACCTGCATCTCAGAGTTGTTGCTCACTCTGGTACTCGAACCTAGTACCATTAGCCTTAAACGCCATCGTATTATCCACTAAGCTACTGAGTCCTGATAGCCACTTGCTTGTACAATGGGATGAAACGCTCATCCTGGATTCCACTGATAGCCACTATCCATCTTTGCTTATAAAAGCTTATGAATTAAGGCAATATCAAGGCATACGCATAACATGCACATATGCCAATAACAGACTGATCAATTGCAGTCTTAAAACCTCAATGGGAAGATACAAGCCAAACAATACCAAGTGAATAACATATCATGTTTCATTTCTGAATTGTTTGGAAGTGGTCAAAATAAAACTATACTTTACAAAGGTTTCATGCTAGTTAGGATTCATCGAAAAATCATACTTAAAGTATTGATGGTACTGATAATTCTTGTAAGATTTGAAACGAGAACACTCTAATTCACATACTGGGTTATTACCATTAAGTTATTCATCTCACAATTGATGTTCTATAAGATTGAATTGTTTACAACTGGTTATTTAATTGTGTAGTGATTATTCTTACGTCTGTTTAGTCATTCAGCGTTAATTGAACTTAATCAATCAATCTTAAATTTAGATTTTATTGTCAGTTCTAAAAGTTGAATCATATTGGTTAGAATGGAACAGTTATCATTGGAAAGTATTGAATAATCACATCATCCAATGTCATTGTTAGGTCCCGATAAACATAATGAATGGTAACTTTGGGATCCTTTTATGGACCAATACTATGCCTACATTTTTATCGTATAATTGTTAAATAACTAAACTGTTCATATTCATGTTCCTGTTATCATAAGCTTTATTTTGACCTATGAACTATTATTATATCATTTACCATTTTTGAATTATGCCCTGTTTATCACTTACTATCTCCTACATTCACAGCCACATTTGGCCATATTTTGTACAAATGTTATTTTCTATTTTATGCTACGTTGTGGTCTGTTTGATTGGTATATAAACTCAGTATGTTTGAAACATAACGATTCATATCGCAGAGGCTCGGATTGGTGTTTTGAACGTAACTGACTAGGCTAGGCGGAAAGCAGGACCAATCAACATTCTAGACTGCTCGCACGTATTTTACGCGTCCTTGGTCCGATCGATAAATCACTGCTCTCTCATCGGCGGTCACAAGATATAACACTCATGTAAACTGATTTATTGTGAAATACTGATTTCCAATTCTATTGAAATGATGTTAATCACTTATAGAGAAATTCTTACGGATCACTTGTATCTGGGATTTATCCTGATTTTTTGTTGTTTAGAAAGACAATGTTACTTACTTACTTACGCCCACCTGTTTCGTTGGTCTTCGATGTTGGTGATATTAGCTTCATAATTGAAATCATCCATTTCAATGAACACTGTTGAAACAACTTCTTATCAAAATGATGTTTGTATTCAGTAGTATAAGCATAAAATCTAAAAGATGTTTCTTTAATATCAAATAGGTTTATCTGATTTTATTATTGTAAACTAAGAAATTTTCATCAGTACCTTCGTACATATATTTATACACTTTCTAATTATTGATTAAATAATATCCCATTTCATGGGAGAAATGAAATGAAATGATGTATCTTAAAAGGATAATTTAAGTCTAAAACTATTGAGAGGTCATCATCAGTTTATGTTATAACTTATGAGTTTATGCCCCTATCAATGTATAACGTGATGATACCGCCAATTATCGATTGGATCAAAACACGTACGAGCAACCTAGCGTCCTTATCGGTCCTGCTTCCTGCCTAGCCCAGCCTGTTAAGTCCAGAAAACTGATCTTAAACTCTAAAATATGAATCGTTTATTTCAAACATGCTGGGTTTATATACCAACCAATCAGACCATATCGTACCAATAAAATAGGAAACAACTTTTGTACAAGACTTAGGCAATTGTAATTGTGAATGTTGGAGGTAGTAGTTGATATACAGGGTATAGCTCAAGAATGTTAAATCGTATAATAATAGTTTATGGGTCAAAATAAAGCTCATAATAAGAGGGACACGGATATGAATAATTTAGTCATTTAACAATTATACAATAAAAGTATACGTATAATATTGGTCTATAAATGGATCCCAACAGTTACCACTCAATATTCTCATCGGGATATAACAGTTTAGTTTACAGATAAATGTTGATAGACACCCATAGATGTCATTTCTTAAGACATTTGATTCAGCATATATATCCTAAAATCATAAACACTATGATTGTTCTTCAACAATAATCATCGCATTTCGTTTAAACATTAAGGTTATCAACCTGAACAAAATGCCTGATAACTTATCTCTAGTAATGCTGATTTGTTTTAATCTCATAACTTTGAATTTTGATAATTCAGGGTTTATTATATTAACGTTTAATTAGACGAAAGCATCTGTTCACTATCTAATCATTCTGAGGTGGTAGTGATCGATATCATGTATGTCAGATCCTACTTAGTGCAGATCGAATCCTATCGACCGAATTGCAATATGGCCATCAGTCTAGGTTACTCGACATTGTGTGCACTATATTGAGATAAGATGGTGGTTGAAGGTACTCAACAGAAAACCATGGACCTAGGTTTCGTGCTATTTTGGCACTCGTCAGCAAGGTATACCTGTAATCTGATACTCCCTGATGGATTTAATCCTGTATCATCCAGTTTCATAGTCAGAGACGTTACCACTGGGCTATCCGGACCACTACTGACCTCCTGTAGGTATTTACAATTGATTGATCACTGGTTGGTGATAAATGTCATGTAATCCAAGTAATTCATCACTCTTTTGATAAGTATCCAACCTTGAAAAAAGGTGCAGTATAACAGTTAAAACTCAGTTTTTCAATGTAATTACTTTTTAATGAGTTAAGTTGAAATGAAATTTTATTAGTTATAAATGATTGTTCTATTTTTCATAACTAATAGGCTCAAGGATCATTAATTGAACTTGAGAAATTAAAAGCTGAACATAATGGTTGTAAAGATAAAATTGAACAATTGAACAAACGTATTGCCACATTGAATAAGCAAGTTGAAGATCAATCTGATGAAATTTTAACAATCAAGTAAGTATATGTACATATTTTTCTTTAAATAGTATGATCATAATAATTAATATGTCAATTCATGAGTCAATTGAAGCTAGACCACCATGGAAAACCTGGAAGCACTGGACGGCCGTTTCGTCCTAGTATAGGACTTCTCAATAGTGTGCATCCACGAGCCTGCCTCACGAGTTTCGAACCCAGAACCTGTCAGTACCGCCAGCGAACGCTTGACCACTGAACCATTGAGCTGACCGGCATCCAGCTGTGTTATTGTCTAGCTTCAACTAATCCACGAAGTTGCGCCACCGTCCACCTTTGTCATCAGTGAGTTAATATCTCACAATAAATCCGCTCGAACTCCACTGGTTACGGCTTCTCATTAGAACTCCACGAATAATGAAGTCTGAGATGATTGACTGATATTTGCAAAAGCAACAATCAAGTTTGAGACAATTCGTTGACATTTTGCAAATGAAGTATTTACTGTATAGTTATCAGATACATTCAGTTGTCTCTATGTGTATTCTCGTTCACTACAGTTTAGTGGTCTTGAATCTGACTCCAGTTAGATCACGTGATTGATCATTATTGAGATATACATATATTTTTTACAATCATTGATCTCGACAGACAATCAAGTGAACGAAGCTAATAGAAGTGAACGAAACGAAATGACGCGCAGTGGCGACAGTTGTTTCGTCCTAGCATGGGATTCCTGGGGAGTGCGCATATACATATACATTGAATTTACTACTATTTTAATATCAATTATACCATTAACAATTCAAATTCATAATTAATGCTTCATATAAATTTTAATTGTTTATTCTCTGATGTATAATCAATTCAGACTGGAATCACTTACCGCTTCATTATGTGAAAAAGAAGCCAATATTGCTTTAATGGAATTGACTGCTCCAAAGAATACAACTTCTAATCAAGCTTTAGAAAAATTACGAATTGAACGGGATCAATTACAACAACAACAAAAACAACTTGTATGTCACTTGAATATTTATTTTTGAAAATATTTCATTAATAATTTTAACTGATCACATTTAAGCTAATGATTCAATACTATCACGAAATTATAAACTGGTATTGTCTTGGATGAATTCCAGCAGTTTTAAGTATTTTCTAACTTTTATCTAATCGATCTGACATTTTAAAACATCTTTTATTGATGTTAGATGTTTATCGGCAGTCATTGGAAGGTGTTGGAAGAATACTGAATACTCGTTCGTACTTGTCAATATGGTGTGTTTCTAATATTGATGGGACTGATGTTCACCACAGGATTAAAGCCTGTGCCGTCAACTAGGAATCACTGGGTTATTCAGTCCTCGGTTGAATTTCTGTACGACTAAGATATCGAATCCTATGATCATCTTAGACAAAATTGTATAGTCACTTGAATAATGACTACTGACTAATATTATGCATAGGTTCATGTAATTTGAAATTCATCTGTTTAGTCTGTTAGTATTCTAGTTGAAGGTTATATGGATTACTTGAATGATATAGAAATCTAATCTATCCATTGATCAACAATATCAAGTGGTTTTCAAGCTATTATCGATAAGTACTCCTAGAGTAAAGAAAGTCACAGAACTGATGATGAAACGCTTTCTCCAACTTATCAAAATGAACAACCATTAGTTTCACCGATACCTTCTATGACCACTCTTTGTCATCAATTGTTTACATACGTTTAAAAATGTCTTAAAACGTATACTATGTTGAGAGCCTTAAGCAACTTATTGACTACTCAGGATACTCTGCCTAGTTATGTAACCATTAACAATAAAAACCACGGCAGCATAATAGTCTTGATGTCATAAATAATGTTTTACATGTAAATTTATTCTTTATCATAAGGGAAAACAATTAATTTCACACACGAGGAGTTGGGCTAGTTTGTGAGTTAGGGTTATAACCCTAACCCCCCAACCAACTAATACCAGCAGTAATGCAAAGTCGTTAAGGTTAGGTAAAAGAAATTAAGTAAGATTATGAATTAGATTTTGATTATTTATCACGAACTGACATTAGCTATAATGAAATAATGCTTTACTATCCTTTTGTTTCAAAACTTAAGAAACTTGTCGTTGATGTTAACAGTCAGTAGGTAGTTAGATTGTGAGAATACTATCTAACTACATAAACACACTTGGCTACACATTGTATCAACTCAACATACAATCTTCATCAGCAGAAGAAATTTCTTGTAATCAAACTTCAAGACTACAGCATATTCACTGTCTGGTTGTAAAGGACATATTTTTTTATCATTTTTTAAAAAGGCATTTTAGAGATCAACTATTGTCAATCTTTAATTTTATAATCAATATTGAGCTTTTAATTTCACACAGAAAAAAAATAAGCAAAAGAAACTCTTGTCCGGATTTTTATCACGCGACTTATCCACCAATCAGGATACGACTTCTACAAATCTTCACACTATGCCAACCAATGACGTTCAAACGGTACGAGCAGTCTAGCGTCCTTATTGGTCCTATGTCCTCCGAGCCCATCCACTTGAGTCCAGAATACAATACCAGCTTCTGCAATATGAATCGAATCGAATCGTTAATTTCAGACATACTCGGTTTATATATCAATCAGACAGACCATAGCGTACCATAAAATAGGAGGCAGTAGTTAATAAACTGAACATAGCTTAAGAACCGTAAATCGTATAATAATAAATTATAGGTCAAAATAAAGCTTATTCTTATGGCTTTAAGTTGGGTCGATTTTTACCCTGTGCTAATTGTTGTGTCCTTGACTGGAAAAATGAGAGAGCAGCGTACTTATCGACCTATTACAGTGACACGTAAACACGAACGGACGGCCTAGAGTCTCGATTGGTCTCGCTTCCCTGTCTAGCCCAGTCACTTGAGTCCAGAACACAAGTGACAGCCTAAGAAATATGAATCATTATATTTCAACCATGCTTTGTTTATATACCAATCAAGCATACCACATCGCACCATAAAATAGAAAACAACATTTTGTACAATATTCAACAAGTGAACAGATATCGACCAATAGGAAATGTCCATTTAAAGTCCAAGGACACCATTGGACTTAACATGATAATTATTGGTCTATTCCTCCGCATCCACAACACTTATAGTAAGGGGAATATAGATATACATAATCTAATTATTGAATTGTTATACAATAAGAATATTTATAGAATATTAGTCTATTAACAGTCCTCGGAAGTCACCTGTAACTTAATCTTCGCTCGGATATAACAACTCTCTTAATCCTGATTGACTCATTAGGGACCGCCAGTACAATATAATTTTCCCAGAGTATCTATTAATGATCTAATGTTTTCTTTTTATTCCCGTATTATTTCTTTTAGAGTAATACACGTGCTATGCTTTTAGAAGAAAAAATGTCACGTCGATAATTTCTTACTTAGTTCAAATAAATTTTATGAGTAAAGTTACACGATTCGTACCATACTTTACAACTCAGTAATAAAACTATCCATCTCAGTAATCTGTTATCCTACCTATCTATCTATCCATCTATCTAACCACACTTCTATCTATCTGTCTATCCATTCACATATCTATCTATCTGTCTACCTATCTAACCACAGTCTATCTATCTATCCATCCACACATCTATCTATCTATCTATCTATCTAACTATCTATCTATCTATCTATCTATCCACACATCTATCTACCTATCCATTCACACTTCTATCTATCTATCTATCTATCTATTGTTGAGTCATTGACACTTTAATTATATTAAACATAGTTATATTGTTTAATTTCAAATTTCAATTTTTATTTAATTATTATTGTCATTTATATTTTGATGATTTCCCTCTCATCTTTGTTTATTTCAGTCCCTTTCTTTCTTTTCTTTCTTTGTTATTTTCTTCTAGTTTAAACTAAACATGAATTGATATTTACTTATCATTTTTCTTTTTTGACTGTACAGATAATATCCCTTTTAATTCTTTAGCATCATTATTCATATAATAATAGTATATATAACAAAGGTTTTATGTAGTCAAATATCTTAATAATTTTGTATTTAACACTTGGATATATATATATACATATTGAATGCATTTAAACAAATGTGATATCAATGTCCAATTATTATTATTATTATTGTCAAGGTTATAAATCCATGTCAGTATATCATCTGCATTATATAAATTATCTATTATTATTATTATTATTGCAGAGCCACTCTCTAATTTATAATTATGTCGAATTACGAAGTAAAGTTTCATATTTATAGTTTATCAGTTACATCATTTATGATCGATTTAATGGAACACTTGAACTTTTTAAAATAACTAAACTGATACTAATAACTTGATCGGTGCGTGATTTATTGTTTCAATTCTAATCATTTCAATCATATATATATGCACAAGGGAACAAAGCAAGGTCTTCAAATACAATAGGGAGTAGAACCAACCTAATCAAATTTGGTGGAGAAGTTCTAGAAAATGTTGAGTCTTTCACGTACCTGGTTAGCATAATCGGTGAACAAGGAGGGTTCAATGCAGACGCAAAGACAAGGACTGACAAAGAAAGGACAGCATTACTACAAATGAAGAATAGATGAAACTCGAAACAACTATCAATTAATATCAAAGTCATAATCTTCAATACGAACGTCAGGACAGTTTCCGCTCCATACAGTAGAACTGTCTTGACGTTGGTATTAAAAATTATAACTTTGATATCAGTTGATAGTTTTTTCCAGTTTCATATGTTCTTCAATTACATGAGGCTGGTTTGTTCTCTTCCGCAGTAGGCTGTTGCTGATGGTATCCGGCCAATGGATGTCCTTATCTTAATAAATCCATTTCCAAATTGTTACCACTCGTTTTTCTTATCAGTGATGCTAAAGATTTAAGTATTTATCCGCCAAATATTAAAGATTATCATCGGTATCCAAGCCTCCTATTAATGTTAACGATGTGATCAATGAGGTTTTATACTGGATTTTCAGAGGTTCGTTTACTTAAAGTTGGATTTTCATAAACAGACCTCTGGATATCATTTCAGTGTTCGTTCAGTAGCATATCCGTTGTAATAACAAACGGCAGTTGTAAAGCTCTTTGAGATTTCGTAACATTAGGTTAATTTGCCAGAAAGGATTGGTTTTGGAATGCTTTTTTCCACCAATTACATAATAGAAAGAGAAAATCCTTTGATTACGTGCAACATGTTGAACTTTTACTGTAAAAACCTCTATAAATAATAAATAAGCTATCATAGTTAATGTTCAAGCATGCATTAAAGAAGTATTAGAAGCCAAATCATTTGGAACTGTCAGATCATAGGTTATTGTATGAAGCTGTGGTTCATTCCCACTTATTTCTGTTTTCCATATCGTAGTGTTTCATTTGTTACAAAATAACTATTTCTACTTACTAGCCGAATATCTGTTAAAAACATAAGCTGATCTCATCCATATATCAAACATTGTAAACGTCTAACATTTCAGTAAGCTAACTGCCATCTCAGGTTCAATAAAAATCTTAATTGCCAAGACTAATTTATGGACGAACCAATCAAGTAAAAGGTAACAGGCCCCGGATTTTGGCGCGGAATTCGCTCATCCATTTGGCTAAATGGCGTCTAGCCATTCCAGTAGATGTCAGCTCATGATGAGAACAATAAATATAATTCATAACCTTAACCATCAACTTTAAGTAATAACTCTACTCCCTTACACTTGTTCATAACCCCAAATTTGGTCCTCGTTATTAGGTGAACACTCTCAAGGTCAGCCAAGTGTCGCTCAAAGTTCGTCCATAAATTATAGTCTCACCTTTTAATTTTATCATTTATGATATTTGGACACAAGAATTTATATTTTCTCCTCTACAAAAACATAGATAACCCTTTTCTTGTAATTATTATGGTAGATGTATACATCATAAACATACTAAAATTGACAGTAATGGAATAAATCAGTAGTAGGACGTCAATTCAAATTTGCGTAAGTGGATTAAATGAAACTCCATCTACAAACTATCGTGTTATTCGCCAGAAAATAATAGAATCATAAGACTGTTTATCTATATTCGGTTTGTGATACACTTTTTAGAACGTTTGTTACTTCATCTCTCACTATCTGAAATTCTGTTGCTTTAATCATCATTAATTGGACTTACTGTTTTCGTGCATTATCATTCTGGTAAGGAATATCGTTTCCCACTTTTTATTCGTTTTTTAAAATTTTCTCGTCCTGTCTTCTATCATACTACTTAATTTGGTTAATGAAAGTCATTGATGTGGTCGGCCGTTTTTGCTCTTGCCAGATGAAAATGATACGCAGTATGATAGCTGTAAGAAATTGTTTAATAAAAGCTACACCACTCTATCACCGACTGCGTATAAACTTTGCTGCAATCCATTTTCACCCTGGTTATGTAAAGAATACTGCCTGAATAAAGCAATTATCCTATACAAAGTTTCAAAACCTCTCATTCTGATCAAGTTGCGAAGTTCTGGTGCACTTTTAGTAATTCGGACATTGGGCCTGTAAGAGACTACTAGCACAATCACTAATAACGTCAATTCAGCACTAAGCCTAGATTAAAAGGTTGAGAATCCTTTTATCAACACAACTGAAGAGCCGAAAGTCTCCGGTTCAAGCCTTCGTTACGTGTAATTGTAATATGCTTAGTACTATCACAATAAAAAAACTACCACCCATCTAAAGTTGGCCTAAAATAAATACTATCGGTAGGGTAAATACAGCCATACGGTGTGAAGAGAACAAAACTCATACAAAATAAATTAGATAGCACAGATGAATTGATTGGTCTAAAAGTGCAAACAGAAACGACCATTCAATTGGAAGTATCGATAGTGAGTGGGAATGGAATACATTTAAAAACGACACAGGTATTCAATGTTCGCCGACGCCTTTACATGTGTACACGAAGTATAGCAACCCATTCGTATCAGAAGTCAGAAGTGAAGACGTTCGAAGATACATATGGAAGACCATCGATATGTTGAATAGTATTTGGTCTAAGCCAGCCAAAGTTTGTACGAGTTGCATAGCAAGACGTACCCACTTGTGATCTGGTGAGGATGCGTGACCGGGCGCTCTTAATTAAGTGTATTTGCCAAAACTAGTGCGGTCAGCATCAAATGTAGAAGACTTACAGAACATATTCACCTCTACAACTCCTCATTTAGTAGAATAGTGATAACCCTAAAACGTGGTCAACCGGGGGTTTAAGTCAAACGAGTTTTTCATAAGTAAACATTTCTGATGGCTTGTTGTGTTCACCAATATCTGATCGTCTTTCCCAAATATGAGGGCCATATGGAACAATATAACAATGAAAAAAGTGCAGCGAAAATTTCGATTTGTCATAATCTTCGTCAGTTTTTCATTTTTTTCAGTCCTCCTACAAAAGAGGAGTTGCAATTGCATGTCAAACTACACTTGTACGTGCCTAAGGACACACAACGGAAGAAAAATGGAAAATAAACCAGTACACTTGGGTCTGGTGAACATACTAGTGATAAAATTCTCCATTAATTGTTACTTTCCAAAATTCCATTCAATATAACAGGAAGAACAGGCTGGATATACCTCCAAAGCATTTTATCGGACAGCATTGTCATCTATTTTGTTTCTTCTCCCTCTCGTGTATTTTAACTTTTATTCAGATCTCTATAAATCACACTTTGTGTTCTTCAGTCTTCCTCGTCTTAGCTTTTATTATGAGACCTCCATTAAGGACTTACCTTTTGTTATTTATTTTTTCTGTTGCATGTTACCGGATTATTGACAATAATGGCGTGTTTGAATAAGCCCAAGGTTATACCATGGTTCACTGTATGACTGTTAACCTTTGACCGTCTGTTTGGAAAGGCGGCTGGAATTTCTGCAGAAACATATCTGACTCCATCTTGATGAGAATATTTTTGTTGATTCTCAGGTATCGAACTCTTGTTTATTAACTGTTACATTTTTGTTAAGCACGCTAGTTTGTGTTTGAGAAACCCTTGGCTGTATAGCACAGGTTGAACCGTTAGAGGTGATTTGTACTTTGATATAATTTTTCCTCTTTCTTAAATCAGAAGTGTTTAAATTGAGCATAGAGTTTGTGTTTTGATATGATTTAATGTGAGTCACTCAGAGGCGCTTTGTATGCTATACATAAGAACGTAGTCTAGTCTAATCGAATAGATTTCGGCTCGTTAGTTCTATGTTCAAACCGATCATTGGCATTTTGGTCGTTACATTTAGTGCATGCAAACATCATACCGACTTAAGGATGTCGTTAGATTTAAGTAAATGTGGTGGACAGCTGTTTAACTTCGTGAATTGACGACGTTGAAGAGGCCCATACTAAGACGAAACTGTCCTGGAACAACCCTCACATTCTCATTCCTGTAATCTGTCTGTTGGCCTTTTTAACCAAAATGTATCCTGGTGACAGCAAGTAGTACGAACTTGACCAATCAATTAAACATACTCTTTTTGTTCTGCTACAAATACTTAAGCATCGTCAAAGATTTGTATCTATTCGCTCTGCTATCGTCTTTACTTTCTCCTTCCCTTTAACACCACGTATGTATCAAGCAGCTATACATTTTTCTCTAACTGGGACCGTATTCCTAACGTACGCGTTTATTAAAGTCATAGCTTATACGAAGCAGCTTTTCTATGTCAATCTAAGATAAAGGGAAGCTTTTTTGGGTAGTTCGATTACTAGACTCCAGTTGATTCTCAGACGATATTTCCTTTGGAACAATTATTGACAAAATTCTCATAATTTATTAGTGTAGTTTGTGTAATAGTCTGCTGGATTCGCACACTAAGCCCAAGATCTTGTTGCACATTGCTGATCGTGCCAGCGAAAATGGTATGGAACAGCTGCATCAGAATATATAACAGCTAAAAATTACTATTGTTATTGTCTATTTGTGACCTGCTTCGCTATCTAGACCACCGACCTGTAGATTTCGAAGGAAATAATCAGTGTATATAATAATATGTTAGCATGTAGTACTGTATCACATTTACATGGATTACTCCGGCTTCTGGACAGGCCATCTGATCTATTTGTTTTGAGTCATAATCCACATCCACTTTGACCTTGTTGAATATCCGCTAATAACCGTGACTGTTTCTATATAAGCGTATATGTTCACCACCTTATTCATCACATGACTTTATCATTTTTCCGTCAGACCGTAAATAGTGGGTCACACCTTATCAGATCTGGTTCGTACAATAGCATTCTCCGCCTCTCATCTTTCGTTGTCCGTTTGCACGAAACAATGTGCGAAAATCCTTCACTTATACTTTGGATTGCCACTGCTGCTTAAGTGTGGTTCGCCTTGGCAGAATGTACGAAACTAAATTGATACTTCACGTTCACAAATTGTTTGTCGTTCGTTCGCGATGGAGTCATATAACGGGCTTGGGATGTTTTGACTCTACAATAATCCTTATACAGGATGCCGGCTCCCACTGATAGAAACCTTCATCTCAACACTGATGAATTCAGGATCTCAGTGGAAGAAGTTACACCCAATCCATCAGGTACTCCTGAAAAATCGCACGGCTACAGTTTCCAACAACAAAAACGACCTGTGCATCTCTCCTTGTTATAGTCTGTTTGTATCTACTCATTAGTATTTTACAGTCAATAAAACATAATCACATCTGAGGTTTCATTCTACAAAAATTTACAGCATGACTCCAGAATCCTTCAGAACTGTTCTCAGTGTTTGCCTATGACTTCACTTAGAAAAGCACATTTGTTATGTTGCCTTTACTCATAAACGATATCGCCCACTTGCAACGGAAATTATGGAGAAAAACTGAAAAGCAGATCCTACTTAGTTCCTTTTCAATTTCTAGACGTACATCTACTTCAGTTTAGGATAATTAATGATGATACATCGATAATCTATCATACTTTTTGCAGCGCCCTCCACTCGAATAGACTACTGATATGTTTCAATCAAAATCAACGGATAAAAGGACATCCATTTATTGAAGAACGCCAAAGAGCTTGTGCAAATGCCTGCTCGATATCCAGATATACATCAGAGAGCATCAACAATTTACTATTTTTGTCAGACACAGAAGAAGTTGAGCCTTTGGTTCCTTAAATTCTCTACAAAAAACATTAGAATTCATCGTCAACATGTTCACGAATGTTTGGCAAAATGAAATCGAAAAGAAACAAATGACTGATTAGAAGTTGAACAGCAATTGATAAATACCATTTCAGCGCCGATGGGCAACCCAGCTTCTTCGAAGCTTGTAAGGAATAAGAAGAAGCAAACATTCAATCCAAATATTAAAATGATAGACATATAAGATTTTTAAGAAAAATAACCTACGTAATTCAACTGTTCTGTTCGCTGCAATAGTTGGGACGATATTAAAAATGAAAGTTAGTGTCCGACGACTAGTCCTCTAAAGTAAAAACGGTCCAGCCAAGCAACGAGATCCTCTTGAAGACCCTGACCACATATTTTAAAGCTAAGCTTGGATCTATACGGATCACACGAAATAAAACTGTCTATTCGACTTCCTACTACTGATCAGTGATTGAAGTTTAAGCCATCTCAAAGATAAGCCCAGTTAAGTTACGTCTTCGTTTACACCATGCTTAGTACCATGTAGACCGAATAACTGTCCACCATGAATAACCAAACAAATCAAGAAACTTCTTCGACGTTGGAATAAGCATTGGAATATGGTCATGTCTGCTGGCTTGAAACAGAACACACATAGTTATTGTAAGACTAAGAACGCCTGCAAAGTGTTGATAAGTAAGACTCAACAGTCATATTAAAACGATTGGTCAGGGATTGTAGGAATAGTCCGAAACAGTTATTCTCATATATATAAGCAAACTCCGTCCGTTCTACTACACAATGTTAAGCAACCTTCGGCGTTCATATCCAAGTGCCTTGCTGCTCTTCTGTTTCTCTTTTTTCTCCTTCAGAATCTTGCTTTGAGAGCACAGCTATGAAACTTCTGACGTTTGGAGCAAACTTGACGTACGCGTCCTCCCAAGGTCATAGTTTACAGCAAGCGCTCTACGATTTCACTTTATAACAACTATAAACTTAATAAGTTGGGAAGCATTTTGCGAACCAACAAATGTTGTAATTTATAGATCATGCCTGTAAAAACGGTGTGTACCTGCACATGCAGAAATATATTATTATTATTATTATTATTAATAGAATCCCACCACTTTCGGTGCGAGAAATCCGTTAGTATTGGCAAGAGATGATGCCGATAAAGCTGAAGCCTTATCGGAATATTTTAGTGAAGTGTTTTCTACCAGCAATGAGGGATGACCAACACCTAATCATGATCTGGGCGAGTTGTTGATGGATTCTGCTGTTGCTAGGACAGCTGCTAACTTAAAACTAACTCAGCATCCCGACCCCTTTAAGTTCAATGGCTCTGACGATAATCATCCTAGGATCATTAAAACCCTGTAGGGCTGTTTCTGATAGAGGTTTTAGGATATTATAAGCCATTCGTAGTTCTTTGCAGTACTCAGACGAAGAAATGTTTAGTGCTACACCCGACTTTCATGAATTCGCACTTGGAATATGGAATTCAAAAGGTGAGCCTTTGTTTCAAGTGTGAGGCGATTATTCTGGAACAAGCCCAACGACGAGGGACTAAAATGAAGACAGACTGAGACACCGCAAATTATTTCCATTATCTTACAACAGATTATGGGTTGATCTAATATTAGCTTACCGTATAGTAAGCGATGACCCTGGTGTTATTATGTCTTATCTTTTCCTTCCGTCTGGTCCTGATCATTTGAGAGGACATCTTAAGAAATTTCAAAAACCGAGATCAAATCGTCTGTGTCTGGAGTTTCGCTTATCGCATAGAGTAGTGAAATTCTCTACCACAACACGTAATATCAGCATCTTTTTTGGATGTCTACAGTGCTTCAGACTGCAAGTATTATTATAGGTCAATAGACCTCTTATCCTTACTACTGAAGACTGAAAGACTTTCAGCGCTTTGTATAAAAAAGTGCGCCACAGGAAGGTGTTGGTTGTATGATATTATCGTTATTAATAATGGCTTGGTCTGATATGCAATTCTCAGCACAATGTATTTCAACAAGTTTCTTTACAAAAATAACAAAAAAGAAAGGAAAAAGGTTTAAAAAAATCTGCAAAGACTGTACAACTATCCAAATTAGAGACGTCAAGAATGCAGGTTATTGACTAGGTTAACTCTAACAAATTGTAAAGTATTATGGAACTTCTATACTTTTGCTTGCTTGTATGGATTTTAATGTATTGACGTCTCGTTCTACCAGAAGTTATAGAGGGACCCGAGCTGCTAATTTTGGGAAAAATTTGGCCCATTTTGGGGAAGCCGCTATAGTAAATTTTGGGGAAATGGCACAAAACCCCCAAACTTTGGGGATTTCCCCAAAGTTGGGAACTTGAGGAGAAAGATAGTGGAGTGGATAGTTAGTATCGAATAAGATAACACCTACCAGGAGTTTGCATGACTTTAGATGTCTATCCACAACCATATTAATTATGACCTCGAAAGATTCACCACACACTTTGGTAATTGCCTTCAGTACTCTCCGCAATACAGCAAAGACTCTAACTTAGGGACGACCTTTGAACGAATCTTAAATGACCTTGACAATTATTAGCCAAGCAGAAGACACTTAGTATAAAGTGAAAATATATTATAAGTAAGTCATGAATTACAGTGGATATTCTTCTTTTACATAATTTAAAAACTTGTTGAGGTTTGATAAGGGTTCAGAGGTTCTGAATTCATAATGCATATGGTATAGAAACTCGTCCATAGGGTTAGGGTGCTAACATGAGATCGGTTTACAACGGATTCTAGACGTTAGGGTTGTAGCCGATCTCATGTTAGCAGCCTGACCCTAATCCTATGCACGAGTTTCTATACCGTATGCATTATGAATTCAGAACTTCTGAGCCTTTACCAAATCTTAACAAGTTTTTTAATCATGTAAAAGAAGAATATCCACTGTAATTCATTACTTTCTTGCAATATATTTTTACTTTATACTGTCTTCTGATAGGCTAGTAATTGAAATTGCTCAAACGCTTCTCACTGGCTCGTCCCTAAATTAAAGTCTCGCCGCCCCATATGTTGTAACCTCTCATTAATCACCTCCTCTCTAAAATCCGCTGTAAACCGATCGTATGTTAGCATCGCGTGTTGAACTTGGCTCCGTGACCTTGAAATTGCTCAAACGCTTCTGATTGCCTCGTCCCTAAATTAGAGTCTCGCCTTATTCGACTTTTTGCCTATGTTTACCCTCATTTTCATCATAAATAAAACGCCAAAACATGTGTCATTTACTATCGACTTGATTTAAAAAACCACATGACTAAAGTCATTTACTAATGGGAATTATCATAGTTTATATGGAGGTTAATAACAGACAGATACTCGAACAACAATTGTTACGTATTTTCATTGTACGTGCGAAGTTCTGCGGTAATTTACGCAGACCTGTAAAGGAAACTATGGGTATTACGTTATACATCAAGAATATCCTGATTTCCAATCGCATATTCAATCAAGCGCGCTCTCACAACAGACAATTAGTTGAAAAGTATCTCATGCAAGTAAGAAACTCAGTACACGGTAAGAGAAAGCTTTGTTAAAATTAAGTTGAACACATAAATAGGTTTTAATCATAACATCTTTCTTAAACTTAACTATTCCGAATCAAAACGATCATTCTGTGAATTCTAAAACTTGATAAATACAAACATTTACAACGATGCCCAACTGCCAGTCTCTTAAGCAGTTGTCGACATGAAGTGAGATGGTAGTGTTCCATAATACTGAACACCTCACCTACAGAATAACAGTGAAAGGTTATCATTTTAAATTAGCACCTACGTGTTCTGTTTTCACCCCATGACGATTTTGTAGTTTGTCTTTCATATTGTGGAAACACCCTTGCGTCGTGATGTCAGTTTAGCAAGTTCTTTTTCGGTGACGGACGACGATAAAAATCGTGGTGTTTGTGCGTTTGATGGTTAAAAAGAAAGAAATACTTTATCTGTTTCAAAACAAGCTTGCGGTAAAAGTCCATTGAAAAAGTATGAAAAATAGTAGCCTACTTTTTTAAATAACCAAGTAGTCATTCCATTGTTTTCCTTTCCTTTAGCTTCCTCTATACTGACGTTCTAACTGAAAAGTGTCAGGATTTTCCCTTTACGTAACTGCAAACTGTTGTTTTTACAAATGCGATTAAAATCAGTTTCTACACAATTATATCGCTATTACACATCTAGTTTTTGGAAATTCTCCAACTATCCTAGTAGATGTTTGTATACATATCCGTCGAGTACTCGCAGAGTCCTTTGCAGTTTGAACACAATCCAGCCTAAAATCTTTTGTTGTTCAGACACTATAACTAATCCAAAATCAACACTGCCAGCTGCTGTCACATCAGATAACTCTGAATTGTCAGATGTTCAAGATGAAATCAAAGGAAAGATGTACATTGAATTCACATGCAAGGTAATTAAACGCATAATATTTTTATCAGGAAATCTTTTCTCTTTAGAAGTGCGCTACTCGGTCAAGTAAATATTTTTCTAAGTTGGCTTATGAAAAAGGCATAGTTATTATTCGTTGTGACGGGTGCCAGAGTCTGCATCTAATTGCTGATAACCTGGGATGGATTAAAGACAAACATTGGTTGGTTGTTCTTTCACTTTATAAAGTTATTGTTATTAATTATAGGAAATTAGAGGATTGCGTAAAGGTTAATAAAAAATCAGTATGTATAGCTTAAATGGACATTTTAAGACAGAAACTACTGTGATCAAGTTGATTAAGCTTTACTTATGTACATCTGTAAGGTAAGTCTAAAGATAAGTTTTTTAAGAATTTTTTCCGATACTAGTTTATCTATTACGTTGAACTATAGTTTCGTAGTATGGGAACTCAACCTTGAGATCTTTCTAACGTTAGGCTACACTTTATCCACCATATAACCAATCCACTCATTATTATACACTTGCAGTATACCTCATATTTTAGTAGGAATTTATTTATTCAGGTTTAAAATATTGTTCTTTAGTTAATACCCAGTTTACGCCAAGAGTTAAGGATCAGTTAACGTGGAATATCCTTTATAAGCACCGTAATTTTTGGGTCCACAATGTGAGCCGGCTCACTGCTTTCCTCTAAAACGCCCCCAAATGCCCTGGTATGTCCGAGAGTAGGGTGGGCCCGCCCTCCCTCTTCAAATGCTCTCACACGGCCACGCGTTTACAGCCTCTGCTAGGGAAGTCCTACTCACTGCCTTCTCGTGGCGGGGGTGTTATTTATAAAAATGAGAGAACGAAAAGCGAATGTCCGGCGCTTTAACCGGATCCCAAACCAATGGTGCACATGGGCTCCAGTATCCTGCGGGAACAAATGGCGTATGAACCAATCGTCGGTCACCGGCTACCATGGGACTGCATCTCCTCACGATGCTCCACTGCCTTAAGGGTCAGACCTTTAGGTCCAAGGCTCGGGGTGTGGCCCCCTAAGAGAACCACCTGCTTCGGTCTGGGCACCCGGGCATTATCACAGCCCACATACAAGTATGATGAAATGTCGATATTTATGGAAAACACTTGTCTTGTTTCGATTAACAATCAAACTATCCATATTATTATTATTATTATTATTATTATTATTATTATTATTATTATCATTATATTTACCACGTCATTTATTCACTCTCTTTTATTCCCACTCTGTGTATCCTTATTTTTCGACTTATATAGCAGCTCGCCTATGGTGGAAACTCGGTTCTATCTAAACGTTCTCCAGTCACTGCCTGGTTGAAAATTGTATGCTACCACCGAATACGAATACTGAAGCAGTTTTTCTGAAACCTCGTGCACTATTCAAACTGGCTGCCTTCAACGATCGCACACTTATGCAGGTCGGACAACAGATAGGGCTGGCTGTGTCTTTGGAAAGTGTTAATATTGATGTTTGTTGTCTATCCGAGACCCGTATTCAGGACTCTGGTGAAGTACTACAAATTCGCTCTCCATCTGTCGCTTCGAAAAGCTTGTTTTACGTGCGCTTATCCGGGGACCCTGTGGCATCTTCGCCCGGTCTTTCTGGCGTTGGGGTCGCACTAAGCGCTATAGCTGAGGCAGCACCAATCGATTGGATCCCCATTAACAGCCGGTTATGTACTGTTAGATTAGAAAGTTCTATCAAAGTGAGAAGAAATCGGCGTGGGAAACGATGTCTTTTCGTCATTTCCGCCTATGCCCCGACAGATTGCAGCCCAGATGCAATCATGAATGAATTCTACCACCAGTTAACTGTTCTTCTCCAGAAAGTGCGTTCGACAGATATTGTAGCACTAGCCGGAGACTTGAATGTTCAGGTCGGGTGTCAAGGCACAGAAGAGAGTCGTTTAGGTGGCCGATGGGGACTCGTTGGTCGCAGGACAGATAACGGGGACCGTCTACTGCAACTGTGCACAGACCACAACCTGTTTCTGGCCAGCACTAACTTTCGGCACAATCATCGCCGATGTGCCACCTGGCGTCCTCCTTCTGCATCTCAAGCCTGGACTCAGATTGATCACATCGCGATCATCTACCACTGGTGTGGTTGTGTACAAGGCTGCCGCTCCTTTTGAAGTACCTATCTGGACTCTGACCATGCCTTGGTCTGCGCCAATCTTGCCTTACTTTTCAGTTGCCAACGAAGTGACCTTCACCAAAGTATTGATGTCAGCAAGTTGGTTGCAACTTCATGACGCCATGAAAATGGCGAGTAAAGCCGCTTGCGGCTTCGCGAAACGTCCCGCTTATAAGCACTGGGTTTCCTCAGGCTACTTACAACTCATCGAAGTCCGTCGGTCTACTCCGGGTGACCGTGAGTTTGACTACAAACGAAGGATGTTATGTAAGGAAATTGGGAAAAGCTTGCGTACGGACCGAGAAGCCTGGTGGTCGGAGCGTGCTAATGAATTGGAAGCAGCAGCTGCATCTGGTAATTACCGGAAGCTCTTCCAACTCATCCGAGCCACTGGCAGCAAGAAGTCTGGTGTGAGCGAAACAATCTACGAGGATGATGGGATGCCAGTCACGAACATCCATCGACGTCTTGGACGATGGGCTGAATTTTTCGAAGGGCAGGTCAACTGGCCTGTTGCTCCGGCAACATCAGTCAGACTGTCCTGCCCTCCATATCCGGTCACGACTGATCCACCAAGTGAGGCGGAAGTCCGCAAGGAACTCCAACTCTTGAAGCGTTACAAATCACCTGGTCCAGATGACTTACCTCCGGCTCTTTTCAAAGATGGTGGTGACTTTCTGACTAAGGAACTGACGACGTTGTTCACAAAGGTGTGGGAGCTCGATAGTGTACCAACGTCATGGAATGAGTCGATAGTTGTCCCTATCTTTAAAAAGGGTTCACGTCGTTCCTGTAACAACTATCGGGGGATAAGTCTACTTCCGATTGCGTCCAAGCTATTGGCTTCCGTCATACTTCGTAGGTTGTTCAAAACCCGAGAAAGATTGACTCGCGAGGAGCAGGCTGGTTTTCGTTCCGGTCGATGATGTATTGATCATATCTTCACCCTCCGTCAAATGTTAGAACTTACTTACTTACTTACGCCTGTTACTCCTCGTGAAGGAGCATAGGCCGCTCACCAGCATTCTCCATCCAACCCTGTCCTGGGCAATCCTTTCTAGCTCCGTCCAGTTGTAATTCATCGTTTTCATATCTGCTTCTATTATCCGACGCAATGTGTTCTTTGGCCTTCCTCTTTTTCGCTTCCCTTCAGGATTCCAAGTTAGGGCTTGCCTCGTGATGCAGTTTGACGATTTGCGTAATGTATGTCCTATCCATTTCCATCGTCTTTTCCTAATTTCTTCTTCAGCTGGAAGTTGGTTTGTTCTCTCCCACAGAAGGCTATTGCTGATGGTATCCGGCCAATGGATGTTGAGTATCTTGCGTAGACAGTTATTTATAAATACTTGTACTTTCTTGATTGTGGTTGTTGTAGTTCTCCAAGTTTCAGCTCCATACAGTAGAACTGCCTTGACGTTCGTATTGAAGATTCTGACTTTGATATTGGTTGAAAGTTGTTTTGAGTTCCATATGTTCTTCAATTGTAGGAAAGCGGCCCTTGCTTTGCCGATCCTCGCCTTTACGTCTGCATCGGATCCTCCTTGTTCATCGATGATGCTTCCCAGGTATGTGAAGGACTCTACATCTTCCAGAGTTTCGCCATCAAGTGTGATTGGATTGCTGTTCTCCGCTTTGAATTTGAGGACCTTAGTTTTCCCTTTGTGTATGCTGAGGCCTACTGATGCAGAGACTGCTGCTACACTGGCTGTCTTCATCTGCATCTGTTCGTGTGTACGTGATAGGAGGGCTAGGTCATCTGCGAAGTCCAAATCGTCTAATTGATTCTGAGCTGTCCATTGTATTCCGTGTTTTCCTTCAGATGTTGAGGTCTTCATAATCCAGTCGACCACCAGAAGAAAGAGGAAGGGAGAGAGTAAACAGCCTTGTCTGACTCCGGTCCTTACTTGGAATGCATCTATCAGCTGTCCTCCATGCACTACTTTGCACTATAGTCCGTCGTATGAGTTCCGGATAATATTGACAATCTTCTCAGGAACTCCGTAGTGTCGAAGAAGTTTCTATAATGTCCTATCTACACTGTCGAATACCTTTTCATAATCAATGAAGTTGATGTATAGTGATGAGTTCCACTCAACTGATTGTTCGACGATGATCCGTAGTGTTGCAATTTGGTCTGTGCACGACCGATCCTTACGGAATCCAGCTTGTTGATCTCGAAGTTGGGTGTCTACTGCATCCTTCATCCGGTTCAGCAACAATCTGTTGAAGACTTTCCCTGGTATTGACAGTAGTGTTATGCCTCTGTAGTTTTCACATTTGCTCAGATCTCCTTTCTTTGGAATCTTGACGAGGTGCCCTTCTTTCCAGTCCATCGGCACTTGTTCCTCCCCAAATCTTTTTGAATAGAAGATAAAGCATGCTTGTGGTTGCTTCGATGTCTGATTTCAGTGCTTCAGCTGGTATGTTGTCGGGTCCCGCTGCTTTCCCGGTCTTGATTTGTCTGACGGCCATTCTAATTTCTTCCGTAGTTGGTGGATTGACATCTATAGGAAGATCTATGTGTGCTGCTTCGATGTTCGGTGGATTCATTGGAGCCGGTCTATTCAGGAGCTCTTCGAAGTATTCTACCCATCTGTTACGCTGTTGTTGAATTTCGGTGATTGGCTTGCCTTCTTTGTCTTTGACCGGCCTCTCTGGTTTACTGTATTTCCCTGATAGTTTCTTCGTTGTATCGTAAAGCTGTTTCATATTTCCTTCTCTAGCAGCTTTTTCTGCCGTCGTTGCTAATTCTTCCACGTATTTCTTCCTGTCGGCTCTAATGCTTTTCTTCACTTGTTTGTTTGCTTCTATGTATTCAGCTTGTGCTTGGACTTTTCCTGCTCGTGTTCGGCTGTTGTTTATTGCTGCCTTCTTGTTCTTCCTTTCTTTGATCTTGTCCAGTGTTTCTATAGAGATCCATTCCTTATGATGGTATTTCTTTAGACCGAGAACCTCTTGACACGTTGAAGTTAATGCTTCCTTGATGCCTTTCCAGTTGTCCTCCATAGTAGTTTCTTCTTCTTTCAGTAGATCTTGTAAGGCTTGGAACCTGTTGTTGAGAGCTATCTTGAATTCATTGAGTTTGACAGTATCTCGAAGGAAGGCTGTATTGAACCTTTGTATTGCTGTTTGTCCACTTGTCCAGTTCTTTTTTAGCTTCAGTTTCAAATTGGCTACAACTAGGTGGTGATCTGAAGCTACGTCAGCACCTCTCCTGGTTCTCACATCTTCCATTGTCCTTCAGAATTTTTTGTTGATGCATACATATCAAAGGCCAACAATCGTAGTGTTTCTTGACATCAGGGCTGCCTTCGATTCGTTGGATAGGACTGTTCTCTGGGATTGTCTATTGAAGAAGGGTGTGCCTGAGAAGTTTATTAACATCCTAAAAGCCGTATATACAAACACCTCAGGCAGAGTGAGGGCATACAACCACCTTTCTCCATTGTTCCATTCGAGCAGTGGCGTTAGGCAGGGTTGCCCAATCTCACCATCCCTCTTTAACTTTGCCATCGATAACATTCTGGAAACAGCTCTGATGGATGTAAGTAATGGCGGTGTAGACCTGTTGCCTGGAGTATGCGGATGATATTGTCTTACTGTGCGATAATGCCCAAGGCATGCACTTAATCAGTTGAGAATCAGTGTTCGTAGGTATGGTATGTGCTTTGCACCTTCGAAGTGCAAAGTACTTCTACAAGACTGGCAGGATTCTAATCCTGTACTCACCCTGGATGGTGAGCAGATAGAGGTAGTCGAGACGTTCGTGTATCTAGATAGCTGCATAAGTGCTGGTGGGGGTGTGAGTGATGAGATCAATGCACGTATAGTGAAAGCCAGCGCGGCTTATGCCAATCTAGGCCATCTTTGGCACCTTCGTGATGCTAGTCTGGCTGTAAAAGGTCGGATTTACAATGCGTCGGTGAGAGCAGTTTTGCTCTGTGCTTTTGAAACCTGGCCTCTCCGAGCTGAAGATGTTAGACGACTTTGTGTTCGATCATCACTGTCTCTGAAGGATTGCTGACATCCAGTGGCAACATCATGTTAGTAATGCAGAGGTTCGGCACCGTGTGTTTGGACGCAGAGACTGTAAATCAATTGATGTCACCATCTTGAAACACATACTTCGGTGGATTGGACATGTTCTACGAATTTCATCTCAGAGGATTCTTCGTCGTGCATTATTTGCCGACTCTGGGACTGGTTGGAAGAAGCGGAGAGGTGGTCAGTGCATGACATGGTGTCGTGGTATGAAAGAAAGCTGCAAAGGACTGGCTTCTGTCGGTCCTTCATGACTCCCTGGTTGGGGTCCGAGAGATAGTGCAACACAGTGGCTAGAGACGTTATCAGATATGGCTCAGAATAGAAGCCAGTGGCGAACCTGCTGTAACCTTTTACTCTCATAAAAAATGGTTGTCTCTTTCTCAACTGAAAGATTTCTTCTGATTGTACCTTTCCGTTTCCCCCATTATTATTATTATTATTACTATCATTATTATTACTATTATTATTATTATTATTATTACTATCATTATTATTACACTACCATAAACTAATCTGTGGTCGTTATTGTTCTTTTCTTTTTTCTTTTGCGCTCCTTACCTTCTTTTTTTCTCCGAATTCTCATTGTTTTTTGTGGCGCATATGTATTGGGTGCCCCCTTGTACCAATATTTATGTGTTCAAATAAATAAATAAATAACCTATAAAACTGGAATCTTGTGCTGTTAATTCATATGGTCTGTATTCAATTATGCTTCATTTATTTATTTTTTTAATGGTAAGTTATGTAGTAACCTAGGATGTAGTTGTGTGATTCATATACCCATTTTCCATCTGGGATTGGAGCATAATAAATCTTTAGTAGAAATTATTAAAAATTAAATATGACAAACATTTACAAAAACATCTATATTATTTCTCATTTCAGAACACACCACCCAACAAGATCAGTCTCCTCAGTCAATGTATCTTGAACTCATATTTACATTGTACAGTGTAAATAGAATAATAATAAAATCCCTGAAGTTTTGCTGATTCTGAGCCATATCACTCAACGTCTTCATCCGTTTATCCCAGTTATCGCGAGGACCCCAACCAGGTAGTCTACATTTACCGACATATGTTAGACTGACAGTCGATGGCTTTATTGACTGATGTTATGTTTTCGACTTGGTTGCCACTATCTTTACTTCAACCTACTCCTATACCAGGTAGGGGGTGGTTGGACATGCATAATACATGTCTCAGTCACAGTAAATAAAGACCCACGGCTTCAATGGATTCGCCACTTTTCATCTTACCTCGAGACTGTTTATTCTATACTCTCATGATCCATGAGCAATGCTTCAAGGATACAATCAAAAACTTGTAGTCTACTCATGTCTTGTTACCATGAATCACGTTTCGCAAACATAGAGTAATAAACGATGAAGCTATACTCGGTATACTTGCCGTTCGGTCGACAAACGAATGCCTTATGCCAGAGGTGACTGGAGCTGGTAAAATCCAAGGTTTCGTCAGACACCAACCCATCAGGGCTGAGCAGACTTTCAAGATAAATAAAGTGGTCAGGTGCTTCACTCCTTATGATTGATCTAGGCAGTAGTGCAAACTATTATGACCTTGAATCGCTTTTACCCCGTTGATACTTGTTATGACTTGACCTTGATCTGTCTAGTCTAAATTATGACCTTGATGCGTTAGGCTGAGCGGCTTCACCTTGAGTTAGTACGCGTGAGTTCGAGATGGGGTAGAGAGACAACTATTCGAGAACCTGATTGGTTGGCAAGCACGCAAGTGAAAGAAGACAAGACAGTTGGAACACTGGACTCTGGATTCTCTGAATTCGGATTAGTGCAAAAATGTACATGAATAAATAAGTGAATATACTGACCACAACGTACGATAATTTGGAAAAATACAATTATGTCCGAAACTGGGAATTAGGGTAGAAAATAAGATACAAAATTGTATGTTTAAATTACAATATTTTCGGAACAAAAAGGGTATGGCAGTGAATGATACATAGAACGAAATGTTGTGTAGAATAAAATAGGGACAAAAATTAATGTGTTTTACAAGGTTTGAATGAAATGAAATAACGTCCCCAAAAATAGCTTTCGTAGTTTGTCTGGGCTTCTTATTTCCCCGTTCACAACACAAACTATTTCCGAAGCAATATTTTGCATCTAAAAGGGGAGGAACATTCAAACCGTGCTTGTATTTTTAGGTCATCAGAAGGTTCGACCCTTAGTGACTTTAAATACGACCATGTCGTATACGTATTTGAAGTCGATAAGTGTACCTCTTGGTAGATTAGTCTTTGAAAAGTTAGGTGAGTGTAGTTCCTTAGGAGAATATCAATGACAAAGCTGGAAGATGGTGAACAACCCTGACAGACGCCACTTCATATTGACAGTTCTTCATAAGCTCTGACTCGGCTAATGGCATTTTAGTAAAGGACCGCCACAACATTTATGTACTCCTTTGGTACGCGTTTCAATGACAAAAGTTGTCAGAAATCGTCCCGGCCAACAGAGTCGAGCGTCGGCATGTCTATGTCCTGAAACCAGGTGAAGGGTGGATACTTAATCGATCTCACTGACGGCTGACCTTTTAACACTTGGTTCGTTGCTGAGTCGAAATAATTGTTCAGTTTTATCATTTTATAGTTCATTTTCGACCCCTCGCTCCCGTTGACCATCATTGCGCAAACACCATGCTGGCCTATGTTTGAGTTCTCTGCGAGTCTGTCAGAATCAGTTTTCGGGTAACTTAATGCGACTAGGGCTTTTGAAACCCAATGGTTTTTTTAACCTTCCGATTAAAGTTGGTGGCAGATATAACTGCTGTATTTACAGTCATATGGATATCATCTCTAGCTTCTTCGGAATAGAGGCAGTCTCTAAGATGGACCAAGTGAATGATCACGTTTGAGTTCCATCTGCATTTTAAACAGGGTACCTCGATGCATGAAATTCTACGATTTCAGCTAATAGGGGTTGTTACCTCATTTGATATAGGGTTCGTAATTCGGAAATTCCAATATATATTTTTAATCTTGGAATGTGTCCTGAGCTCTATGCTTTCTACTTACAAGGGGCAAATTCAAGTTGAAGGATTTATTCATATGCTTGTATTTGAAAATATATACATTCACAAGATATAATATGTGAGGCATTTATGTGAAAGTCGTTGTTGACATTACTATGCATGTTGTTATTCAAGGTGATGTTTTCTTCATTTTCGGTCTCGACTTTGGACCCCAATTTTTTTCAGGATTTATCTGATATCTGTCAAGAAAAAAAAGTTGGAATGAATGAAGTACTTTTTAGTATCATATTTTAAAACAAAACTGGTGATTTTTTTTATCAATTTGGAACAAGTAACTTATTTTTGTATGCAGTTAAACACTTCCTGGTCGTCTCTATACCTTCTTCAAATGAGACTAGATATATTGATAGTAACCGAAGTTTGCTTTCTATATGTATACAAGAGTAAGTTTCAGTAAAAATTTACGGGGACAGCTTTTAAAAGTCCAGTCTTTCGGTCTTGGAATAAATCTGTACTCTGAATTTAGGGTGTTTCACAGAATTATGAAGTGGTGGCTTAGTGATTCAAGAGATCGATTTCCAATTACTAGGCCAGCAATTTAGTTTAGGATAATTAAAAGTAGTCGAATTGGTGATCTAAGGATTCCCAGAATAATTCAAGGTAGGTAGAGCTCGATGAGCACAACTGAACGTATTGTTTTTGGGATTTGAATTAGCCAAGGAATAATGTACAAGGAAATCATTGTTGTATATAAACATCACAGAAACCCAGTAATATTACAAGCTCATAGTTGAGTGCACAACTATGTACTTAGCAAATGAGTTTCCTTACAAAAATTTCCGAAATCGGTTCAATTTTAACTTAATCAAACAAGAGAAGTGTTAACTATCCATTAGATAAAGCCTCCAATCTGTACACAGGTTCTTGTCTGATTTTGACTTCAACCTAATATTGTTTCCATTTTATATTTGAGGATGTGACCTTAATTTTTAGTTGCTTTATACATCCCCTTAATGTTTCCAACCTTATTAGCTTTCAGCATTAATTCATTCGTTCTATCTTCTGACCAGTTTGATCGCTAGACTCTGCGAGATTGTATCACTGAAAGTCGTACCAAGGAAGTACATCAACTTTGCACAGGCTCTCCACTCGTAAACTGTTGGGCAAGTCAAAGCTTATTGCGAACCGTCATTAGAATTTTCAACTTCAAGTGGTGTTCGTCAGAACTTTCCACTTTCCTCATTTTTATCTAACTTCGTCATAGACTTCCTCTTAAAATTAACGCTCTCATCGTCCGACTTTATGGGTTGATATCCTACCACAAAATTCAACTGTTGATCTAGAATACACAGATCGTATAATTATGCTTGAAGACATACAGAGTCTCCTGATCTCCTTAAGCAATAATGCAGGTATATTTAGATTGAGATTTTCTCCTTCCAAATTCAAAGTGTTGCTTCAAGACTGGGTGGTCAGTGCTTGAATTAATGACAGGGAGTGAATTATTTGGGTCTGTCGAAATCTCGTTACGGATTTAGAAAGCTCAACTGGCTTTTGCCAACTTGTGGCATAGGTGTAACATTTGTCTACGAACCAAAGGACGAGTCTACTACGCAGCAGTCTACTTCTTTCTACTCTATGGGTGTGGAAAACGGTCATTAAAGATAGAGGATATTCGCACGTTACTAGCATTCGATTATAGTTGTCTTTGAAGCATCGCTCGTCCATTTCGGGACCAACAAGTAAGTACCAGGGTTGGAGATAGGGTACTAGGTAAAGATGAAAAATCGATAGACGAAGTAGCAAATCTTCAACTGAGGAGCCTGGGGCGTGTGTTACGTATGCCTATCCACCGCTTACCTCGAAGATCGATATTGTCTGGTGCAGGAGTAGGTTGGAAGAAAGTTAAGGGTAGCTAAGCCAAGATACAGAACCAGTCTATGAAGAAGTCATTGGTAAGTGAGCAGAGCCATATTATTAGGTGATCCGCGAGATTATCATAACTAATTGATTAGAGATCTTGAACTATATGGTTAAAAGTCGTTTGCAGTGGCGCAGGTACATCTACATTTTGTCTAATCCTAAGTTTCTGGATTTCTCATAACCTTTTTATTTCATTGATTTTGGTTTTCTTGAATCGTAATCTTCGGTGCCTAATCCTTTCTATTGTAGTGGCTTTGCCTCGTTAATTAATCACCTCGATCACCATTATAATATAAATCTTAACAGTTTGAAATCAGAAGGCAATGAGAAGCAGCAACTACAGTTTATTTGCGGATAGCACAGATTACAAAGCTATAAGCGCATCAAGCGAATTTGAAGCAGAGAGGCGAATATATGTATATATGAGCAAATACATAAGCTAATTTATAGTCAAATCGCATAAGTGTACAGGAAAATCTAGTAATAGGATTCGAGTACATAAATATATGAGGAAGAGAATGAATCATCGAGGGAAATTTAAGCAATCAACATTTTAGCTAGTCTTTCATGTCTAGTGACCGTAACAGTACGAAGAAATAGACGGATTTTTACTATTCGAATAACATTGTTTGTTAAGTTAATAAAACGAATTAACCATAATCGGAACTGATTGTAGGATAGTTGCTATACTATTACCACCAGTACTGTTACTACCTCTACTACTCTGGGATTCGCCCTAACAATTTAATCTTGGTGTGGTAATGGGGTATGGCAACTTGAAACGATCTGAACACACATCAGGTTTCATGTTGAATTTGGCTGAGTGACTGCCATCTGCACTAAGACTAGAACTCAGAAATTAGGCGTTGACTAATGCTGGGATAAGTTAAAACAATGATGCTCATCAAAGATCTCATTTCTATTCACTTCGGTTTCGCAATCGACAAGTCGATTATTTTATAATTTCAGAGTCACTTTCATTGAAAAGTTATCCGATTTCTACAATTTCGTACCAATTACAACTAATACAGTTCCCAAAACTTGAAATACTTGTCCATTTTTAATTACTTGTTCCAATCTACCGTGGTGTACGTTTACCTCATACAAAACTAGCAACTATTCAATATCGACAGATTTTTAAACAGGTACTTCACTTACCTAACTAGACCATCATTTTTTGATGGAGGTTCAGCAAGCGGATGACGAGTGAAAGATACTGATGGATTAATTGGTCTGGTTCGTAAGCTGATGCGTACTGTTTGACTATGTGAAACATTACTATCCGATCCAATATTTGTCTCTTCCATGTTCGACGAGATTTTCAAGTTACCATCAGCATGCTTCTTTCTTCTGAAGCGTCTTCTGCTTCGAACACTGACCTTTGGTGTTGCGTTTACTTCTGTTTCGGGATCTCCTTCATCATCATCATTTGATTCAAGGTCAGGTTTTTCTCTTTTACAGTTTGTTCCAGTTCTATCACAATGAGATCGAAAACAGTCGAGTACAAATGAATGCGGAGCATCTGTTTTCAGAGAATTTTTATCAGCATGCGAGCAAGAAACACGGTAGTTGGCATTCAGAAGACAAGAACTAATGAGCAGAAAAAGTCACGATATCAGTTAAGTGTTTTAAATAATTTGTGTAACAGATACTAACTGGTAGTTAAAAATGAGATGTAGACTATCCGACTATGTAACAAACGTACAATGCTTACGTGATAGCAGTTTTCATCTATTCATGTCTATGATTTAATTCACGATTACTCGTCCTTTGAAAAACAGAATTATAATGGAGATTGAAGTAAGAATCTACATAAAACTGCAACTTATTCATGATGACATCAGAGGTGTTTATTAATTCTTGGCAAAATGAGAGTATTCAAAATTAGACATCGAATCAAGGTTGCACTATAAATCGATCCAGGTGTTGATGTGAGATTGAGCGATAGTGAATAATTAAATTGATCATAGAATCCCAACGCTCTCGAAAGTTCTGATTTGCCTAGACATTTGGACAAGTCGTAAGTATTCAGTATTAAATTTTAGCGACGTTTTGTTTTCCATTTAATTCTAACTGAGCGTGGGGAGCGTATACTAGTAGATGAGTCAGATCGCTAATTACATCAAAATTATAGAAAATAGAAACCCAGGTGTTGTGATCAACGTGATATCACTTTGTTACTGTTCTCTGAGTGATGCGAAGATTGACCAACCCTTCTTATTGTGTTATATTAACACATGAAATAAATAATTTCCGTTGACTTTAAGATTTTTCCTGAGAGCTTTTACGGGCTTTGTGGAAATCTGTTGGAGATGCTAAATCACTAAATATAGCATTTAAGAAGAAATCAATCTTACGATTCATTCACTTAACTAAAATGAAACCTGTTCCTTGATCTTCAGTGTATTCCCATTTGTACTGATTCATATAATACGAAGTTAGTTTACGGAATTTCATTGTATTAGTAAATTTACTGTTATTCAGCATTTAAGTTATACCCTGCTTAGTTGGTAATCACTGGAATTAATCGGTATATTATTGCATTTGTCTTTTGAAGTAGAATGGAACAGAAGAGAATAGATGTTGTGTAGTGAACATTGGATGTGGAGTGTGGTGTTTCAAACAGTTGTCAAAATTAAGTGATTAATTCTGTTGTACAGACCGATTTTCATTTAGCAGGATGCAGTCATATTTCAATGTTTGATGTCTACACTTATACTCGTGTTCAGTGATATAGGAGTAGGTTGGAAGAAAGCTAGGGGTGGCCAGACCAAAACATGGCACAAGTCCATGAAGTCAATGACAAGTGGACTGAGTCGTGTTGGTAGGTGTAGACTACCTGGTTGGGGACCGCGAGATGATAGCAACCGATGGTTAGAGACCCTGAATGACATGGCTCAAAATCGTTTGCAATGGCGCAGGTGCATACACTCTTCGTGTTTTCCCAAATTTTGATCCCCTTATTCCTCCTTGTCTCTTTTTTTTCTCTTCCCAAATTTATTTCACTGTACTATACTCTTTAAATAACGTCTCCAAACACTAATTTTTCTGATTACTGCTTATACCCTTATTACCTCTACCACTACGGGATTTGAATCGACAACTGCATCTGTGTGCTAATGTGGTGTGGCAACTCGAACTGATGTACGTACGTACAAAGTTCCACGTTGTTACTGATTGACTGACTGACACTTATACTCGAACTAAGTACCAACCATTTTAAATTCTAAAAACGACATAGTAGTAAGTTAGAAAAAGGTTACATGTAGCCAAATAAGGACATTGGATGGGTTAATGAAGTCACTGATTGTTGGCAGACTGTCAGGTTGAAGTCTGTGGGATTATAGTGATTGGTAATTGGATATACTGTGTGATATGACTAAGAATTGGTCACTATGACATAAATGAATTCACTGTCTGCTCTTAGATCTTCAGTTCTAAATTCACTTTGCACATCTTATTTTGTGATCTCATTCTTTTCTCTTAAATCCTATTCTCTATATCTAATCATTTTTACTTATTATCACTACTTTTGTATTCATCTTGATAATTGTATATAGTGCTAACAACTTGAGACAGTGCGTATTTCTGTCACGTTTTATATTGCTTGTGACTGACTGACATATCAAAGAATTATCCACTAAACTACTAATGAGTAACATCGTACGAATACCTATAAACTTCTACAAGTTTTTTGCAACAGATTTAATGTCTTAATAAACAAAATGTTCTTAGTGTTATTCTCCAAATAACTAACTAGGTATGTTTTCAATGCCCTTTAAAAATGAATTCTGTTTTATTTATGGCTAATTAAGGCTATATTCAATGAACAGAAGGGACTGGATAGACATGATATTAATCCCAACTTAGAAATCAATACAATTGTGAATAGCGGAAAAAATGAGACCATTAGAAGTATCCTTCAAAGCTAGAAGAAAAACATTTTTTAAACACATACCTACACTACTTGGTAAAGAAACTTTTATTAATCAAACAAAAAATAAAAATAAAAAAAGCCCACTTACTATAAGTCTGGTTGTTTAGGCATGGTACAACCAAAAACTGATGCTAATTGATCAATTATGTAATATAAAGGAACATCTGGAAGTTCTTCATACGCCACAGTAACCATACCGATGATACGTTTAAATGTGCGGTAATTTTTATTCGTTAGACTATGAGTTGATACCTCAACTTTTGATTCACTTGATCCATTACCTGGATGGATAGAATATCAAAAAATGTTATTAGAGAGTGGCAACGAATAATTATCACTGAAGAAAATGTCACGCAAACAAACAAGTGTAGTAAAACTTCTTGAAAAGTACGTAGGTTTCAAGTGTAGAGCAAAGAGATGCTTACATGGTAGCTTAGTGGTTAAGGGATTTGGCTTACAACCACTAAATTCCAGGTTTGAACCCCACTTTGGTTTGAGCAACCGGATAGTATCACTGGGCCTCACACTTGGATGGTGGATTATACCCAAGTACCTGGTGAAAAAGTTAATTAAATCATTAGACCACCTCCTACTTTGAACTTTAACTTTGGCTGAAGTAAAAGTTGGAAGAAAACTCGAGATGACCAACCGAAAAGATGACATCACTCCATCAAATCAGTGACTGCTAGTTTGAGCCAGGTTCGTAGTTGTAGATGTATGTGAAGTCGTAAAGAAAATCCTTGCCACTGAATTATCTTCATTCCTCCCAAAATTACCGAATGGATCTCTTTCGTTATTAATACGATTTATTAAAATGAGAAAGATCAAAATACTCTACATAACTAGTACTGTTATCCCCCCCATAAAGCTAATATTTTCAGACCAATAATAAACACATAGTATAATTATTACCACTAGAAAAATGCATTTTGTGAATTAAACCAGAGAAAATTAAGGAGAAACTGTTCAAAACTTTACAATCGGACTGCTTATTAATCACCAACAGACAATTATATTTACCCATGTTCTTTATTATTCGCCATTCAACAGAGTTATTCTAATGAATGTATGCTGTATGATAATAAGCGCAGTTATATGCACAGAACATAAGAAGCTTTATAATAATAGTTAGTCACATCCCACATGTAGGAGATTGTAATACAGCATTATCACGACATTGGAACCAGCAACAGCACGACTAACAAGTTTTCGGTACATGTTTAAGTACAAAGATTCAACAACTGGAATAAACAGGATACACTGGATATTAATCCTCAAAAATATTATTCGAACTAAATTATTTTCTTTTTATCGCTTAATTACCAAAAGTCTAGTGTCTCGGCTACGAAAAATACCTGTTGAGATATTAGCGATTTACTTACACTTCTAACTTATTTGTTTAATAAACATTGGACTCTTCAGTATATCACCAGTTTAAATAATAGTCCACTGTCATTTCATGACTCGTTTTGAAGAAAAACTTTCGAAATTTTTTTAGCCTATTTAGTCAGCTTAACTAAAAATAAGGACGATTAAAGGACCGTTCCGCCTTTCTATGATGTAACAAGTCATACTGTCATCCCAATCTAGAGATAAGAATATAATGTCGGTGGCTTAAACATTTAATCCTTAGTCATTCGATTTTACGTTTGATCTTCGCCCCAGCTACACTGGTTAGGTACTGTGTTCACTCGAAACCAATCTTTAGACACTCTTTAAACCTTCGGTGCCTCTTTGATTGATCTCACTTCATCGAAGAAACCAACTAAATCCCTTCCCTTTGCCATCGCCTGGTACGTAATAACCGATTGTAGCACTCTAAAACCAATAACATTCGACGAAACTGGCGATACAACACTAATTTCTACGGAAAACGAACACAATACCAACATACTTATGTCCAATTGTGTTGAAGATGAATGATTTTCACCATTCAAACAACTTGATATACCATTGTCGACGTTTTTGGGAGGGTAGCCTAAATCCGAGAGAAACTCATGTAGGAATGTACGACTATGTAAAGGTCCAATCCAAATAGGACCAAACACATGAAATTTCGAACCACATTCTATACATTGAGGTCCTATAGGTGGGCCAAGAGCTGCGGCAACTACTTTACTAGTATTAACTGCTTCTCCAAGAGGTTGTATATGATGGGCCTAAAAACAATAAAAGGTAGACAAAAGTACAGTACGTTGTTCGGATGAAAATATCTACAAAATGTTTGACTTACTGAAAATTATACTACACAAGTTGAATAATTGTTTTTGTCTTTTTTATTTCCGTTAATGATAGGGAGATTAATGATTAACTTTCAAATACTGTGATAACAAAATTAAGCGATTGCTTTTAGGATAGTCTACCTGACAACTCAGCTTTATTCAAACAGCTATTGAAAATTAGGGGCCACTGGACGGCTATATTGTCCTCAGCGGTATGCATCTACGCACCCTCCGTCAGTGATTTAATCAACACTACGTGTCTCGATATTGGGTGATTAGGTTCAATCCTTAGTATTAACAATGAGTAACACAAACTCTAACAATTATCTTTCACGTTTTTGCTACAAGTCTTATTTTGTATATTATCTTAGGCATGTATTCCTTCATATACTTTATCTTCCTGATAACCATTAAATGAACAGACTCTCATATCTCGCTTCCATATGTTATTTGTATTCTTATTATCCTCCAGCTTTAAATTCTGACCACCTTTAATGCCTCTGTTAATGACGCGGAAGCTCTTTTATAATAGACCCTTATATGTAAAAAAACAACCATAAATAGGACTATGTAGCTTTAGTGACATCGTCCAGAAGGAAATTTTCTTTGTCAAAACATCATTCTTTTTTCTTTCATTATCGTATATCTGACTATACACAACTGATCTTAAAATCTTAGATTATCCGAGATATTTCCGATAATCCAACGGACAAAATTACAATTCCAGACTACTAAACAGTTATTATTAATAATAAAACAAGATTTGGACGAAACGGAATATTCATAGTTGTAGAAATATTACTCACTAAGCATCCACGACAAATATAACAAATACCATGTTTAGCTGCAATAGCTTTTACAGATATCGGACTAGACCAAACACGTACAAATACACGAATATAGAAATCCACTGACAACGATAACAAAGGTTCAATAACTTTACCATGCTGACTTGCAGCCAACTGCATAGCATTTAAAAGTATTCGTAATCCCTAAACCAAAAAAGCAACATCAATTACTAAACATGGTTATTATGATGAATGACATTTTTAACTTGGTTTTATGAATATGGAGATACAATTTGTTTTATAATGGAAAAGTTAAACCCTGAATCATCTGCAATTCTAGAATAAAACTCATGGACGTAGATTCTGACTTTTAAGAAAAGGAGATCATAAGAAATGGAATAGGAGTTTTATGATGTGCAAAACACGAATAAATTAAGGCATCATAACTTCCATCACATTATGAAACCTAGATATTTAAATATGTCGAAGTGAGGTATAGATATGTTGGACTTATTTGACTTCTAAGGATTTCTAGGGGAATCGTAAACAATGGAAACGGAGGAGGGATATATGTATTGCCGAGAAAGGGAAGTACTTTGAAGGACATAACGTTGATGCGTCCTAAGTCGTGTGGTCTTATGACCTCAGTTTGCGTATTTATTGGAAAAACAACTACATATATCGCATAGGTGAGGCAGTAAGTTGTTGGTCTAAATTCGGCAGCAGCTACCTCGATATGTACGACAGAGGAGGACCACAACTCTTCACACAAAGTTCGTAGTTCAAAGCTGAGTACGATGTTACTTCGAAATAAATAAAACATCATTCTGTTACTGAGTATTTCGAAACCGGTTTCAACTGATAAGACTTTTTTAAAGTCACAGCTCGAAATTCCAAAAGTCCTTATGGTTATTTATTTAAACATAAATATTGGTACAAGGAAGCACCAGATATGTATGCGCCACACAAAACAGTGAGAATGGGAAGAGAAAAAGAATGTAAGGTGCGTACGAGAAAAAAATAGAGAGAACAATAACGACCACAGATCAGTGTATGGTAGTGAAAAAACAATAATAATAATGGGGGAAACGGAAAGGTACAACCAGAAAGAATTTTTCCAGTTAAGGAAGTTACAACCACGTTTTATGAAGTAAAAGGTTACAGCAGGTTTGCCACTGGCTTCTATTCTGAGCCATATCTGATAACGTCTCTAGCCACTGTGTTGCACCATCTCTCGGACTCCAGCCAGGAAGTCGACAAGGACGAACAGAAGCCAGTTCTTTGCATCTTCCTTTCATACCACGACATTATGTCATACACTGACCACCTTTTCACTTTTTCCAACCAGTCCCAGCGTCGGCAAATAATGCACGACGTGGAATTTTCTGGGACGACATTTGCTGGAAATTGCTTTCTTTTAGTAGAAACAAAGAAAACTGTGAACGGGATGGTAATTTTCAGGCATTAATAAATGGATTTTCAGTTGGTTTTTATTCTATCTAGTTTACATTTTTAGGTGTCTTAATACTATTCCCCAACATTTTCACATCATAATTACTCAACTAAAACATTATTTTGAGTTGACTATCACCAAATTATTTGCTGGGGAATTAAAATTATATTCATCTGCCACCTAGTGAACGAAACCTAGTCAATAGATCACTCTATGATAATTGCAAGAACCTAATAAGTCCGGCGCTTTAGCTAGGTTGGTGGACACGGAGAGTTCACCTAGGGGAGTTGGAAAGCCCTGATTCCAAACGAATGGTGCACATGGGCTCTAGTATCCTGAGTGGAAAAATGGCGTATGAACCAATCGCTGGTCACCGGTTGCCATGGGACTGCATCTCCTCACAATGCTCCACTGTCTTATGGGTCAGACCTTTAGGTCCACGATTTAAATGAACAGTTTTTTGAGCATGTTGAGGTGTGGCTCAAACGGTGATACTGACCTTTCTAGGAAATAATAAATTATGGCTTAGTGAGTCGAAATTATCGATACTGATGTTTGATAAGACCAATGGCAGAAAACAGCTTTAATCAAATCCGAGCACTTATATACTTGTGCCAACAAGAGACTGTCGGGTTTATTGGGATGTACCCTGAGGACCTTACCGTGTATAGGTCCCGGATTTTTCTGAATAAATAACTCCTAAAAACAACTGGAAATACTCTCACTGCTTAATGCTAAAATAAGTCTTCCGGTAGTATATTTGAAATGGAATAAAACATAAAGCCATCAGAGAACAGAAATATTCGTTAGAAAGTGACTTCTCACTCCTTGCATACGCCATTGAGAACAGTAACCGAGAAATGAATTCAAGTGAAAGTTAGCGAAACTCAGAAAATTTAACATCATGCGATTCACTAGATCATAGTTTGTTATTATTTTACTGTGACTAAGGATTCAGAACTTACAACTTCATGTGTAGAGCCTGTTTTAATAGCCATCCCACCATATTTTCCCATCGAAGTTCCAGGAGTGCTCCCACATAACACTGCCAAATCTGTTGAAGTGACACAGAGAAGTCCACCACTCCGTAAACACTGGACGGCCGTGTTTAAAAACGGACTTGCTGTTCCAAATGGGTCGATATCAACCACATCAAACCTAACAGTAGTCAGAAAAAGTTGGATCACATGAAATACACAAACGAGACAATCAGAATTTTCAACAATGAGACCACTAATTGAAGGCCATAACATAAGCATTACCTAATTAGTTGGATAGCTTTGTAAAGTTACAGTGGATATAATTTTATGACAAAGTATATATATGCATTCTGGATGTAGAAAACTTATATTGATCAAGGCTCGGGAAACTTTACGCTCAGCATTCATTAGTCTCAGGTAATTAATTTTGACCGTTTTTCTTACGCATTCTAACTCTTCGATTACTGGTGTGAAGTGTTAGTAGCATGGGTTCAATCGTTAGGGAGAGGCAACAATTAAATTACGGATTCATACACCCCAAAAATCATGTTATCCATAAAAAATAAATAAATTGTAATCACAACCGGACAGTGGTAATATAACATATGACAGTGTCAATCAACTTAATTTATAAGACTACATCAGAGTGACGAAACTTGGCACGACTGAAGTCATGGGGATAAGAAATAGTAATAACACTAACGACAGGATGAAAGGAATCGGTTGATGAGTGAGAAACGTATCAGCAATCTATAAGTGACAAAATATCCCCTTTATTTATCCTACCTACAGAAGACAAGTTAAGGAACTTTTTGGTACTACCAAACACTAAAGTTGATTCCGCTGTTTTCTGTAACAATCCTGTATAATTGTGGACTATAAAAATCTCCTTTGATGGGAAATATCCAGGGATATACAACTAGAAACTAAACTACCAAAAATACCCCACTGAACATACAACCAAATTTATTGCTTTTGCTTTTACTAATTAAGACTACATTTTAGATAAGCTTTCCGTGGATGCTCAAAATTAATTCTTATAATAAACATTGTTCGACATTCCGGATATATATAAACAAATTACTGATAAATCTAGTTGTCATACGACCTTCCGAATTTAGTCATACGGAGATGCTTCAGCTGATGATTATTTGTGAACTGAATTAACACACTGGGAAAAAAACAAACTTTTCGCCAAATGACCGACGTTGATGCATAAGGTCGACAGCGTCACCACAGACTGTACTGACAATATTCTCCACATTATTGTGAGCGACATTCTTCTGTATCAAAGCAACAGCCTCTGGACTAAGATCATTGGCAACAATACTCGATACATTTGAAACTTCGAGAGCCATTCTAACAGATCTAATTCCGGATGCTGCTAATGCCTCCAATATCTTTAGGCCACAAGGAGAATCAGGAGTTTCTTTCGTAGTGATGCTTAATGGTCATCAAAAGGAATCATACCACTCATTTTGTCCTTCATTTTCAGAATAGCTTCTCTTCTGTGCAACTTTCCAAACTGATTTACTATAGCTATTGTAAGGTCTCTGTTAAATTCTTGTACAGGATTGTAAAACACGCCATCTGGAAGCATGACTTCCGCACAGCCTTCTTTAATCAAAGATGTGCTAGCCATACGCACGCTGCACGATATACGTTGAAAAAGACGGACTGCTTTGAGTACCAAGGTCATCAGGGCAGTAGCGCATCAACATCAGACTTAGTTACAAGGACTTCAGTTTAAAATGGCTCAAATGGGATAGAAAACGATTTTTCTTAACGGCTTCCGTATCTAATAGCAGTAGACCACCAATGCCTCGAGGTAGTAACCTAGGTATATTTAACGGTTAAAAGAAAAATATTATAGTGAAATACTATCCTGAGTCCTTAAGAATCAGTTTTATTTTGGAGAGGACAGTAGACTACAATGCCTGTGTTAGTCATAGCAAAAGTGTTCTCTCATTTGGTCAGATTATCTTTTGAAGTATTTGGCAGATGGAGCTCCAATCACGTGTTGAGGTAATGAATCCCATTCGATGGGAAAGTCGATCGTCGGCTGACAGGTAATTTGTTCTAATCTTATGAACTTTATCAATCCTCTTATTTGAAAGACAGGAAAAATATGGACATATAAGATGCAAATTTATCACTAAGTAATTTAAAATCTGTAATCATGTCGCCTCTGGTTCTTCCACATGAAACTGGAAATATGCTTAGTTAAGCCAGTCGAGCATCATATGGAAGCTTTGTTACTATGGGAATCGGTTTTCTCTTAAAAGACTCCTAAGAATTCACTATCATCTAATGTTTCTCTTTGGAAACGCCTTTGAATTCTTTTACCGTCTGATAAAGATAGACAGTTCGTCGTCTCTTGTCTCTAAATAGTGTTTGGTTTTGGAGTTGGTGAAATAAAATTAAGTCTCAGATTTCCCTGCCAATTGAAGGAGGGAGGACAGAACATAAATCTCGGTAGCGTATTTCTTCAAATTTAATATTGTGTCCCGTGAAATAGTGTTATAGATGAACAAACCACAACTCGGGATCACTACGATCTAATTCTGGGAGTCGGACATCCGTATTCATAACAGTGTCTGTCTCTGTCGGTGACGAATTACATATGTCCTCCAGGCTTTGGATTTGGACCTAGTCTGATATGCGGCATATGACCAACATATTAATGTAAAATGATAGGGACAAAATAATGTCAACAATACGAATATTTATGGTGGAAAAACCAGTACGTGTATATATATACGAAATTTATGTTCAAGTTAATAAGGTTTATTTTTACTAAACCAAAAACTAATAAGCAAAATAGAAACTGAATTTGTGTTCAAAATTGAGCTCACCAGCATCGAATTATGGTCTAGTTCGGTATTAGTACATTTATCTTCGCTACCACAATAATAGACCTAACCCCTAAATTGTAGATTTATCATGACGTGACTACCTAGTCTATGAGGTCTTACGTGGAAGTCAAATCATTGTCTTCACTGACTCGTCCGATGGTGACCATCGGCAATATAACGTCTAGCATTTTTGAAGGACATACTTGAACTGAGGAGATAGTAATATATTTGTCACAAAAAGAAGTTATGAAGGGTGACCATGTCTACAGGACCGAGCCACACCATCTTGATTCATCCTCCCGCTCTCACCATTATTTTTCATTTCCTTCTGTTACTTGTCGGATGTAAGTCTTCTCAGTAAGTGTACTATCAACTTCAAGAATCTTATGATGCAGCACCACTGCAATGTTAAATTTTAAGCCACTTCCCTCAGCTTTATCTTATACCGTACGTTACTCGCTCTTATTGCCTTAGTGCACTGATTCCTTGCTTGATAACACTACCTATATGTGCTGTCGCCACAAGTTGATTTGTGTTCCGTCCAGTTGTACCTTTCAAGTCTTAACAGTCGAAGACTGCGAGTCTTTATGACTATATGTTGCGTGTAACTGTTGAGGATAAGATGTGAAGTAGGTTGACGGTGTATGACTGTTTCTCCACCGAGTTGCTAACTCTACATTCTCCAATAGTCCCAGGTCCTCAGTAAGGTTGAGAAAATGAGCTTCAGTAGAGTTGTCACTTCCAGTATACATGCGTCTATCAAAATTGATAAACTCTTGAGTGTACACTTGGTGTGCTGCCAGACAAGATAGAAGGTACAGGGCTACTCCATCCCCCATTCCTGTTGTTCTGTTATTGTAAAACAAAGACATCCCGGACATTGCTATCTCTTGGTCCGTAATTGGAGATATCAATGTCTCGGATGTTCTTATCAAACGAGTATTATTAGCATTACTGAGTTCACACAGCTTATCCATTTTATTCAGCAAACTTACGTTATTCATACATAAGCAGTTTATGGTTTCACTTTGGAACGTTTGAGCTTCCCGTCCTCTTTATCTGTATGAGCTTTCCGAGTTGGGAATGTTTGGTATCCTTCCATCGGATAAGTAGTGTGACCGTCAGTGATTCAATTTTAGGGAGTTTGAGCTTTCTGTTGAAGTCTCCTCAAAGCGTCTTGTCGTTTAGTCCTGTAAACTTAGAGGCAAGTCAAAGCTGTCTCTAAAGTTCATCATTATGTGACAATCATTGCGAGCCGCATTTGTTTTCTCAGGCCTATTACCACTTTGATGTTGGTATCCTTTTAGTTTGGCAGTTGTACTGCATTTTGGGGTCCCGTGCTCTTTTCTGGCTGGTTGATCAATCTCAAGCGTAGATTGCACGGCTGATCGATAAGCGAATTGTCTTACGAGATCTGGATTTTTCAGCATTTTGACGGTGACGTTTGATCCCCTACAAGTGTTCTTAGTCACAATGGTGAAATATAAGCTATTAAATAAAGACCACCCAATGTTTTAAGTCTTCAATGCTAATCTAACATAGATCGTTTCATGATTTTAATAAAAATGCAGTAAGCTGTAAATTGTAACATGGTGGGCTGTAACGGAATGCTTTGTGGAAATCAGAAGCAAGATTCTTGAAGGATGTTCGTTTAAGTGAATAGTGTAACGAAATAGGGTAAAAAGCTGGTCGGTGAGTCTATCCTTCTATCTTCATCGGTTTTAGGCTGTTTTCGGAATAATGTGAGTAGTACAAGGTACTCAAATTGTCATGGTGAACCAATCTCAAAGCGTGGTACAAACTTTGATATCTTGCAATCTTCCGTCGATGCAATTTTAAAGCTTCGTAAGTAGGCACTTATTTGAATCCAAAAAACTTCATCAGTCAGCTCTGTTGAGTGCCTCGAAAACTTACGGTAGGTTGATATGCACGAGATAGTTCTGTTCCAGTGAGATGATCTCACTATCTCAGGAACCTAATAATTTTCTGTTGTCGGACCTACCAGCTTTGAAAAATTGAACTTGCTTTTATATTTAAGAATAGAATTACTAACAACTCTTTCCATGACATCTGCTACTGCGGAACACAAATAAATCGGTCCCAACTTGGGCGCTTCCTCTGTCTGTGTTAAGCTTTCCGCCTTTGAGTTGCTCATTAGTCAACCATAGAGTGGGTGAGAGGGCAAGATTTAGGTATTCGTTAAGTTGCCTCGCAAGCCTAGATTTTCTTACACAAATCTTGATGTCGTTTGAAGTGTGAGGTTTATTGCATCAAGATTTAAGGTGTGCAACCATATCATAAGCGTCCAGTGTTGTATTGAGTAACCTGGGTTGTGCTGATGGAATTGGGTGCACTGGTGTGAGGAGTCTTGTGACTTGACTGACGCATATAGTGGTCATGTCGAGTCCTCTTAAAAGAATTACTATTGACTTATGTTATGGGTCAGCGTAACTTCCAGGGATTTAGTTAACAGTCTAGAATTCCCATGGGCTATGATTAAACATTTAGAGTAGCCTCTATACAAGCCAAAACAGGCTCAGAGTTATAAGTTAAATGACAGTGGCTGTCTCATTTTTTATAATGACATGGCATATCCGGAGGTAATAAATGAGCATGCAGAAGTATCAGTTGTATTCGATAAGTACTACCTACTGTACGTTCAGTGATCTGAAAGTCCTATCTGGAATTTAACGAATATTTCTTGTTGTGTAATGTTTGAGCATTGTTACACTTCGCTTGAAATTCTGATCCTGGTATCAGGAGATTAGAAGCTTTATAAGTGCACGTGACGCTTAAAATGATCTGTCAATGCTGATACTTTGAAATGCTCGAATTCCTGGTGTACTAGGCATGGATGTTTCACGCTGTCAGCTTCATCGTTATCTTTCACCACTGACGGCAGATATTGAACGAAGATGACTGGTCGAGAGATATCAGTTGTCACATCAGTAGGAAGATCCCTTGAGTCAGTTCGGAGGGTGAAGCCACCCGAACTTGTGTTCAACCGTGTCACGTTAATGAGCCTGTGGCGTAATCACTTTTATCGACGTCGACTCTAAACAAATCTTCATAGTTCATGTGCTAGTATTCGAAAGGAATACCAGCTGTAGCGTTAAGATTTACATGATACAAATCGGGAACTGTTCATACTACTTTTCCTAACGTTATAGCAAACAATTTACTAGTTTAAGGGCGATCGGGATTGTTTTTGGTACACAAAGCTCCGGCGTTGCGTCCTCCTCTCGATCACGGTTATTATGATACACGGCTTCGGCACTAGAACTCATAGAACCCACAGTCGCGAGTTGAGAGGGAGAAAAAAATAAAGACAAGAGTCTAGTGAGTGTCCGAAAACAGGTGTATTTATAGTTTTTGGCACGGACCATGACATAACTTTAATCCATCCAAAATCTCCAGTAGAAAGTTTACCCAGTCGTTCAGTCATAGGATGGAACGTTGATATTCTGGAAAGCTTTATGAGATTCTGATTGGATGGAATCTCTTATGCTCGTTTAGAGCCTCTGTAGGTTTTGTACTACCTTCTAGGAGCCATCCTATCAATAAGCGGTATGGCGTTCGACATTTCCGTCACCTGATCCTGACCGTATGTTTGCTCCTTAATTTCACAACGCCTAATCAACCTGGATTCGTTGGGTTTAACTCTTCATAAAATAGGCAAGACAGATGCACATGGTATTCACTTACAACCTTCAGTCTTCTGTCAGTGCCAAAATCGTGAGCATTGATAAATATCATGATTAGTGGAGAATATACGTGGTCTATGTTTTACCACTGAACTATTCCATTGCTCATACAGCAAGTGACAATTCATCTTTGTGTTGTA